GTAGGAAGTTGGCGAATCCGAGGAAGCATTGGAGTTCCTTGACCTTAGTGGGTGGTATCCATTCCGTAATTGCCTTCACCTTCTTAGGCGAGACCTGGTTCCCTTTCCCTGATAGTACAAATCCCAGGAATTCTACCTCCTGTTTGTACCATTCCGTTTTCTCGAGGTTCCCGTATAGATGGTTTTGTTGCAGTCGCTCCAATATTTTTCTCACAAGAGTCGTATGCTCTTCCTTAGTCTTTGAATATATTAAAATATCATCCAAGTAGACTACTACGCCTTGATCTAGAAGATCCTTGAATATGGTGTTGACCATGACCTGGAACGACGCCGGTGCATTGGTTAAGCCAAAAGGCATTACCCTATATTCGAAGTGGCCGTACTTCGTTCTGAAAGCTGTTTTCCATTCCTCGCCAGCAGCAATCCTAATCAAGTTATAGCCATTTTTCAGGTCTATCTTGGTGAAGAATTCTGCTCCTTTCGTCGAATCGGCCAACTCTGTCATGAGGGGAAGGGGGTAGCGATTCTTGACCGTGATAGCATTTAAGCCACGAAAGTCTACGCATAACCTCAGTTTTCCATTGGCTTTCTTTACGAACAGGATTGGTGCTGCTGCCGGGCTGGTGGAGGGGACTATTTTGCCAGAGGCTAGCATTTCGTCCAAGTATTCCCGGAGTGCCTTTTGTTCCACTGGGGAGAGCGCATAAATCGGTCCCCATGGAGGCTGCTTTCCTTCCATAAGGGGAATGGTATGGTCCCATTCAGAGTGATCAGGTAGTCGATCAGCTCCCTCCTTAGAGAAAACGTCGACGAAGTCCTGGTACTCCATCGGTATAGCACTAGCGAGAGCCTCGCCTACCAATGCCCTTGCCCAGAAGGGGTGTTGCTCGATCATCATCTGTGTCTCGGGTGACGACCTCAACAGCCTGATGACCAGCTCCTCTGGGTCTTCTTCATATATATCATACATGGTCCTGAAGCATCCCTTCACTTGACAATTGATGTTGTCGAAGGTGACCTTGTTCTGACCCCAATGTATGGTAGGTTGATGCTCCTTGAGCCATCGATGTGGTATGACGAGGTCTTCTCCTGCGAATGAGCCAACCTCACAGACGATGTCTCTGTCTAGATGGTTGCCGACGCGGAGGGTAAGGGATTGGGTGATGTGAGTACCGGAGTTAGGCATAGGGGTGCCGTCAGCCTGTCTGATGATGAGGGGCTTGGGTCGAGGTTGAGTTGGGATCTTAAGACGATGGACACAGTTCCAGGACATAACCCAGTCCTCTGTTCCACTGTCTAGGAGTGCGTTGACTATTTCTGCATGTTGGGTGCTAGTTGCGGGGTGGTTCCAAGAGATCTCAATCTCAAGGCGGGTTTCTTGGTGATGTGAAGACATGTTCGTATGTTTAAAAGTGTAAGGTAAGGTAGATTGTTCTTGGGTCTAAGTAGGTTGATGTTGATAGTTCTTGTTCTGAGCGCGGGCGAGGGAGTTTATATAGAAAATTCGAGCGTTGATCAAAATCATAGTACAACACTTATGCACCAGGTATTTTCGGAATGTAACCCTGCTTCTTGAAATGTGTGTAAAGAGAATTTAAATTGCGCAAAAACCGATAGAACATAACATAACCCGATCCCTTAGAAAAGTCTTTTTCCCAAATAAAACCCGTAACACAACATAGAATGAAACACCGCATAAAATAGAAATACCCAATCAATTTAGTCCTCCAAATTCGTAATCCTTGCCCTAAATGCCTCATTTTGTGGCCCCAATTTCCGTTTCTTATCACCCTCCCTTCCGTGGTCCTTTCTCCCGGAAGGATATTCTTTTCTCTTCAGGTTCGTCAACCTGACCTTACTCGTCGCCACGCAATCCTTTACGAAGTGGTTATCTCTACCACAACGGAAACACTTTCCTTCCTTCTGCCATTTCTCCTTCTCTTCTTTGGTGACACCTAAGTCATCTGAGGTCTTGGAGTTGTTGGCTGATGCGGGAAAAGTTTTCCGAGGATGTGCGTTGTTGCGCGATTTCCGCGGTTCCGTTTTTTCCTCGCGGGGTTTCACCGTATCCTTTCCTCGCAGGATTTCTTTCCGAGCCTTCACCTTGTGGTCCTTGCGTCCGACTTTTCGTACCCAGGCTAACCAGTCCACGAAATCATTAGGTTCCTCAATCGCATTGGAGAGCCGTTGTTCCAGCGAGGAGTTTATTCCTGTTAGGATCATGGATCTCATGACAACTGGTCCAACTCGTGCGTCCCATTCTAGGTTCTGCATCTCATTGATGTAGTCGTCGATTGGGCCAGTTTGCCGGAGTCTGTCCATCTTCTGCTTGGCCTGTTCCTGACTCGTGCGGTTGCCATATTGAGTGCGGAGTTCTTGCTTGAACCGTTCCCAGGTGCCGATACTGCTGTCCACAGCCAACCTCTCCGTAAAATTCCGCCAAAAGTTTGCCGCACTACCGGTAAACTCGAGGGATGCCCACATAATCTTGGTGCCGTTATCCCAATGGACCTTCTTCTGGAGGCTGATTAGGATTTCCATCTGGTCGATCCAGAGTCTTACATCTTGATCGGCTCTTCCGGAGAAGGGAATGTTGGCTTTTTTGGGTGCATCACCTATGGTGGCGCGAGGGGGGTGCGAGGGTTCTTGCTCTCGTCGGCGCCTCCTTTCGTGTCTTCGTTTCTTACGTTCCAGCCGCCTGCGGCGTTCGTCTTCCGAATCTGAGGAATCCGATGGGGATGACCCGGGTGCTTCCGGGGCGTTACCTCCCTCATTGCCATTCCCGTTACCTCCTCCTTGTGCTCCTTGACCTCCTTGCTTCCCTTGTTGGCTTTGGTCTTCGAGGTTTTCACTGGATTCGGAGCCAGCTGGAGGGACGACTGGTTGTTGGGGAGGTGGTTGGGGAGGTGGGCCTGATCCGCCGCCACCTGTCTTTGGGGCCAGTGGTTGTTCCGCAGCCGTTTTACGGGCTGTTTCCTTCATCTGCTCTATCATTTCTTCTAGAGCCGTCCTTGTTCCAGAGAACCCATCTACCAAGGAGACCTGCTGCTGCATGGTCCTCTCCAACTGTGCCAGTGTAGCTGCTACGCCGTCTGGGACTTGGGCTGGGCCATCTTTCGGCAGCCTTTGAATCCAGTCGGCCAGCATAGTTATATGCTGGGCCTGCTCTTCCTGCCGCTGTTGGTGGGCCTTAGTGGTATTGGCGATCTGTTCCAAGACTTGGCCGAGGTTCGTAGTGGTTGCGGCTGTCTCTGCCCGCACTTGCGCGAGGATGTACCCCTCTCGGCGTTCCCGTTCTTCTTGGTCCTGGTTGAACTTCATCTGCAATTCGCGGATGAGTTCGGTCTGCTCTTTGTGCTGCTGGGTGAGCTGTGCCGCGTGCTGCCGAGTAATTTCCCTGATTGCGGGCAGGTCTTGGACGCTCACAGTGAGGTCTCCAAGTCCGCGACTCAGCTGCTGAACCACTGGGGCTCCTCTCCGTTCGATTTCCTGCCCGATGATTTCTCCAAAGGGGTGCTCGATACGCCGTTCCTCTACGTCCATATCCGTATCCTCGTCTTCGTCCGTTACCCTGGGGACCGAGGGCCTCGGAATAGAAGATCGTTCTCTGATTGGCGTTTTGTACGGGGAATAATCTCGATAGTCCCCTTGCCTGCGGGAGCGGGGTTGGCCATAGGATTCGGCCGGCTGAGTCGATCTGAAGAGGTCGCTGATCGGCATGTCCAGATCCCTCCTGTGGCGCTGTCTCGCCTGGGTCTCGACTATACCTCGATCTCTCACGGTGATCGAGCTCTCCATGTTGTAGTCTTCCTCCTGTCGTTGTTGATGACCCCTTGACATCGCTAAGTTGCTCGATTCTGAGTTGTGGCTGTCTTCTGCACCAGGGTTGAACGACGAACTAAGGGACGGAGTGAGCTAATCCGTGGGATTGCTGACTGAGGGTGACTTTAATGGGGAAGAGTTCGGGATAGTTGAGGATCTCCGGGTCGTGTTCTTCGAACGTGCAAGTAGTACCTGCTTCGGCAAAAAATCCGGCGTACTCAAGGTATCCGCAGTAGAGGTGTTCGGCACTGCCTCTGCGAACGACAAAAGAGGTAGTGCAAGTAAAGTTGTTGATAGCTGCTGTTGCTACTCGGGGATGCATACGGTATCAAAGAGCCCTTCTAATAGACTACTTTCTTATTCTTTTACTTGAGCGCACGGTGACTATCCGCCACAAACAAAATACTCTGAAGTATTGGTCTAAGCAAGTAGTTGTCTTATCGGGACGTTGATAATATGCGATCGGTAAAATAATAGCGTAGTGGATAAGGTACAATATAGTGTTTGGGGAAATGCCAATGCTAAGCGATAGTTCTGTAGCTTTTAAACTTGTAATATTGTAAACCGGATTCCGCTCGCTGAGTGACTGATAATGCCACTAAGACGAGGCAGAACCCTCCCTATTTATACATATTGGAACCTATGCCAAGGCCCGCTTTCTAATACTAAAGAGATAACGATAATAGAATAAGATAATCAACCCGAAGATAACCCCAGTAGAAAAGCGTCCCCGCCTAGTTCCGTTCCTCCATTCTAATTCCGACACGTAACCATGAACTCCGCAATTGCCAGTAACCGAGCTGTATCACGCTATTGTCCTAGAGCTACTTCCATAAGTAGAATGGCCTGCAGCCATAAGCCCCGCTTCTATTCCGTTCCGAGTGAGACACCCAATAGTAAGCGTGCCCTCACAACAGCCTAATACTAGTGTGGTTGCACCCGGTGCCCCCACACCCCTCGGTACCTTTCTATGCTGGTTCCCTCGTTACCCGACCGTACTCGCATCATAACCCATCACTCGTATTATCCTTATTCCTTGACTTAGGAGCGGTGTTCGTGTTTCCTATAACAAAAGGAATCGTCTATAGTGGGGAGGTCTTTGTACTTATAGTGAGTTCTACCAATATCAACCCTTGCGTATCGTAAGCATCATACTGAACTGAGTGAACAATTAAAAGCGAACAGCTGAACTCAAATGTTCTAATCAATACCCTGCTTCACTCCTAGAATGCCAACGGTCTTTCTCCCGGGTTTTGCTATTCTCATCGTTTCGTAGAGTGTCGGGCGAGAATAGACTGATTCTCATGGTCAGTACGGAGGAGCAAGTCAGCACTACGCCATGGACGAAGCAGAAGCGAAGTTGAAAACATAACCGCAACTAGCAAGCACTTTCTGTGGCTCCTGAGTGATATCGGAGGGCTTATGGTACTTAAAAAGTACTTTCCGGACCTTTATTATAAGAAGAGATTTTTTACTCGGTGTAGCGTAAGTGAAGCACACATGCACAAGAACTGAGGACATGAGTTATACATAGAAGAAGAATTATGATAATATTGATCCTCAGTTGATGAAGACACGGAGAGTAAACTCGTCCTTACGGATGTCAACGATATATTCATTGCAAGGGTTGAGTCTCGAGTGTCATCATCTATCCGAATGACATGATATGGAACTAGATATGAGTACTGTGAAGTAATAGAAGACATCAGAATGGTATTTATCAAGTAGAATATTTAGTTATCGGTGAAAAAATGTATTCGACTATATTTATGAGACTAATTCAAGGATCGCGATCCAAAAGGTGTACAACTGTTAACAAAAAATTTGAAAACATCACCAAAAGATTGCCCAAGAGGAAAAACAAACAAATAATACTGACGGTACCAGATGAAAACGAACAAAAAGATATACAAAGATCTGCCAAAGAATACCCAAAGTATAATAATAATCAGACATGACACAAACCGTAACCAGGAACGCCGCAACCAAGATTGTCCCCAAAAAGTCGAAACTGATGGATCTTTAGTTCCAGACATTTCTGCTGAACTTTGGCTTGTCCGATTTAACGGCAGCCCTGAGAGCTCGGGCGTTACACCTAATATTCGCGGAAGGGCGAACGGCAGCGGTAGTAACGTGGGAGGTAGAGCTCCCCCGAGAAGATGCGCGCTGGGGGATTGCAGTGCGAAGAGAGGTAGTGGAAGAGGAAGCGGTTACAGCAGGGGCTGAAGAGGTGTTTGGTGTCTGAGCGTGATGGTTTGGCTGACGGCTCGATGTTGGGGGAGGAACAACTGTGGTATTTAATGAATTGTTGTTTCTTGATACAGTGGGGATTCTTGATGATTCAACTGGAACCGAGGCTTCGATTGTAGAAGAGCCCTCAGCTAGTTCGATATTGGAATGGATGAGAAGCATAGCGTTCCCAACGGAAACCTTCTTATTAAATCCAAAGGAAATATTTGCGGCAGATCCATGAGCAACCTTCTTGGAAAGTGTGTTGTTTTGAGCCTTTCTCTTTTCGATTCTAGTAATGGCAGACTCCAAAGCTGATGCAATCTCAGCAGAGAATGACTCAACAGCCTTCTCAACTGCTTTCATAGCATGAGCAAGGTCTGATGCACAGGCAATGTTATCGAATACATTCGTAGAATTGCTTGAGAAAGAATCTTCTTCTGACGAGTAACCACTATCATACGACGATAGAAGGTGGAGGTTATTGCTCGATGGAGTTGCTGGGGATGCGGTAATAGGGGTAGAAACATCGCCATGAATGGAAGAGGATGGTGCACTGATTGTAGACGGAGTAATTTTGATAGAACCAGTTTCGAAACTTGAAGATGGTCGTTCTCCATCAAAGTTGAGCTTCCTGACAGTAGTATCCTTGATGAGAGAAATGGTTGCTGGGATGGCCACATCACATTGTTCAAGGGTTGTTGCCTCCTTAATGAGAGACAAGGTGGCAGGTGAAACGTCAATCAGGGTTGGTGCGGTTGAGGAAACATCAGTGATAGATGGAGAGATAGCGGAGGTTTCAACTGATGGAGTAATTGGAATAGTAAGATCGGTGATACATGCATGATCGACTATCTCGATGGTGACGATGGAGGAGACTTTAACTTCTTCGGCAGCGGCGATGATAGGAGACGGTTGGAGGTTTTCAGCTGCGACGATAGAAGAGGTTTCGATTATTTCAGCGGGAGCATCAATTGAACTTATCTCAACCTCATCGGCAGTGGCTACGAGAGCAGAGGTTCCATTGTTTTCTGTAACGGTGGTCGCAACAGGAATGGTGATAAGAACTTTAGTTGTATTTGACAAATCAAATCTTTCATTGTGGTGAAGAGTCGAAGTATTTTCTTCACCGTCCTCTTGAGAGCCATCCATGACCGACTCGAAGGAAACAGGCGAGGTAATAGTTGTAATAGGCTGAGTAATTGGTGCGTTGTTCAATGGTTTCAAGGCAGAAAGGGGCTCAACTGCCTGTGAAGCCCTTCTGAGAAAGAGCTTTTTCGGCAGCTTTGATGTAGGGGTCGCCTCAACTGGTGCTGGTACAAATGGCTTGCACATGAGAGGACGAGTAGGGGTGGCCTGTTAAAGCATTAGAGTCTATTGGGAAGAAGGCATGATTGATTAACTTACGGAGGGAATGGCAATCAGATGAAGAGTATTATCAGACTTGGTGCAAGAGCGGAAGATCAATTTCTAGAGAGAGCAATTAGCGGGAGATCGGCAATTAAGACAAGGTATCTTACATTCTTGAGGAAAATATCCTCGATGGGTGTTTTGGCAGACCTATTCTTAACCTACAATCATTAGTTTCGTTGATAGCGCGGAATGTGATTCGATACTTACAATGGAATTTTCGTTCTTTGTCAGTTCGGTAATTACCGCTTTGAATTTCATGAAGTTCAAGGTTCGGAAGTGTTCCAGGATTTCCTGTTGAACCAGGGAAGATTGGTTACAGGCAATAGGTTTGCCGCTTACATTCTGGACAATGATGTCGATATTTGGGAGTTCGAACTGCGCGATCACCGAGGGTCTTTGCTGAGTAGGAATCGTTGACATTGATTGCAGCTGGCTGGTAGCTGTGAATTGTTGGATGGGTTCAGATACGATGTTGTCACTGGGAGCAGATGATGGGGTGATTGTTGCAAGGATGGATCTTGAAGAGGTAATTCCTGTAGATGACCGTCTACGTGCCTCAGCAGACTATAAGTTTATTAGTAACGAATCAATAGTTATGTAAGATTCATGGAGATCATACAGAAGGCTTGCACGGGATTGTCAAAACACCATCGATTTCAGATGGGTCTCCCATTGAATAACCCTAATATGAAATGTCAGTTGAATCAATTGCAAAATAGTGGTTGTGTTAGCTTACATGTTTCATCAGAATGGCTTCAATTTGTTTTAAGTGAGAACCTTCGGGTCGAACCTGTAAACAAGAGATATCAGTGATCCTGCCAGAAGAAATAATAATAAAAAATTCAAACCCCCCACCCCCAAAAAAAAAAAAAAAAAAAAAAAAAGAAAAGAAAAGGGGGGGAGATAAAAACAACAGCACATACGCTTTGAAATTGAAAACTCCTGACTGCTTTAACAATGTTACGGTAATTGAAAGCAGTGGTTTGAGCCGCAATGGCCCTGAGCTCTTCGTTCACTGCCTGAATAGTGCGGATTTCCGCAGGGCTAGATGAAGGAGGGGATGAGATTGCCACGATGGGCTTATTGATACTTGCCGCATCAAGTGAGGGCTTTCGGCTGTACTTCAGCTTACTGGTGAGCATGCTCTGTAGTCTGTTTGGAGACGATGACATTGTGATGGATTTAGTGATGTCGTTAGATTTGCTAGAGAATGATCAATATTTTTCGTTTTTTAAAAAAGGGAAATCTATGGAATTGAAGAAGTAGAACTTACCTGAAAGACTTGAAGGATGGAAGTGATGTTATTGATTGTTGTCGAGATGATTCGTTGATGGGTTTGTTGATGTTGTCGAAGTTGTTGTCGATTTTGCTGGGTTGTCGATTGTTGTATTGAGTGAGGAAAAGGAGAAGAGGCGCGCATACGGTCTGCAAGTATTTATACGGGTTCTGTGTGTGGTGTGTGTGCAATGGGTCGTTAGGTATTAGGTCTTTGATTGATCCAGCCCTGATAAACGGCATTACTCTAGTCTCATCTAACCCCCCTAACACCCAGGGCATACTACTACGGAGCCGTGAGTTGAGGGGGGACACCCCTCCCTCCCTAACCCTGTCAAAGGGGAAACCAAAACTTGTAAGGTCCAACTTTCTTGCCGCAACACTAAAATGATATACATACAGTACCAAAAAAGGGAATGTAATAGGTACTATACCAATAAGGAATTGTGCAAAGATTCTGGGTTAAATCGGAATCCTAACTATTAAACCGTAGCAATACCGTAGCAATACCGTAGCAATACCGTAGCCTTGCAGTGTTCTGCTAGGTGTGGTACTGGATCCCGCTTTTTGGTACTGTAGCAGGCAATGTTCCTTCACTCTTTGCCCTTCAACTAAGGAAACCACTATACCGGTCACCCTCCCTTCTCTTACATTGTTTACATATACATCTATGTAACCCCTTCTCGTTGGCTGGACAACGAAATCTAATCTCAACTCATCAATTTTGGCCCACCGATCTGAGAGGAAACGCACACACCAAAAGCTCTCCCACGTACAGATTTGATATCTTGTCAACATGGATTTTGTAATACTAAGGTTGATACGCATTTACGTTATTTATATACAAACAGAGATATCCGACACCCCCAACCAGCCATTGATCGATCAACTGTTCTTTGAATTGTATAAAGCGTCTACAAATCTGTAAAAAAAAGAAGCTGGTTGTGTTTCTCTATCTGGCCACATTCCTTGCTTGCGTCGAGGCCCTTTGCGTGTAGACGTGCTCTGCATAATTGCTCTGAGGCCTCTCTCCTCGTACTGTAAATGTGAACGAGACGCATCTACACCTGTTCATCATGCCAGAGCATCATCTCACTTCTGCTCCATAAATTGAGTCGGGATCAGCTAGCAATCTCACCGTGTAGGTAGGGCTCACGCAGTGGGAAAGCATCTATTTCTTCACGCACGAAAGGCAACCAAGATGCTGGCTGTGGTTGACTTTATAGACCACAATGCTCAATGCCTACCAATTACTATCAATCAATCCCTTAATCAATTGTTGCTCACCATTAGCTTACAGGGTTAATTGGTGGGTTTAATCGTACTTTATCACTTGTTTTGGTCGCCTCGGGTCCTGTTTCAGTGTTGTTATCCTGTTGCTGGGTCACCGCACAGAATCGCGACAGGCGTCATCACGCGAACACCGACAAATTCATGTACTTATCTACTCATGCAAATACTGGCTAGAAACGGCTCTTCTAAACATACATTTTCGTCAGGTATCTCCTTCCTACTAATAAAAAGAATTGTACTCCGGATAAAGATTTTTATTCCAACAAATCAGAGGATTCAATCCTTCTTCCAACAGTTCCCTGGCTTTATGTGTATATATTACTCGGACGCCTAATTGAGGAAACCTCCTCAGGTCTAATAAGGTCATACGGCCTGCTTCCAAGAATGCCTTTTAATAGTGTGTCGACACTTACGATCCCTTGGAAGTCATCAGGGGCTTCAAGGCAAAGGTGAAACAAAGGTGTCACTAAGAAGATTTGACAATGCCACACATTCCCCTCCGACTGTCAAGTATCCCGCTTCATGCTCCTTCTCATCCTCCGAGTCACCACCAACCACCAGACCTACCATATCACGACTAGATCCGGCAGTGAGATTACACGCCAGCTCAGCACTTCACCCATACGCCCCATAACACTACCCCCGAAATGAGCTATTCACCTTTCGCCCGCTGTCTGTTCGTCAGGCTAGTAAGAGAACGCTACTTTACCGATGATGATGACAATGACACAGTCTCCAATGCTGCCCAGGCGCTTCTCACTATCGCCACGTTCGTCACTCTTCCTTTTCGGCTTCACCTATGCACTAACAAGCTTATTTCTCTTCTTTAGTGATACCTCTGCTAAGGCCAAGGCGGAGGAGGAAGAGCAGACTGCTTATGAGGCTATGATGGAGCGGGTGAAGGAGGCTGAGGCGCGGTTTGCGAGGTTAAGGCGTAACATGGCAAAGGTATATAAAACCATGAAGAACCTCAAGAAAAGGGTTCATGTTGACAGAAAGCGACAAAAGAATAGTAAGAGGAGGAAGATCACTCACAGTGGGGACACTGACGGCTACAAAGGTGTCAGTCAATTAAGTGTGACACCGCAGACACGTGAGAACGATGAGGAGTCTCAGAAGATCACAGCGGAGATCAGAAGACTCGTGAAGGAGCTTGAAGCACTTACGGAAGAAACGAGCTCGATGATGCACGATAGTGGGGTGCGTGTTGTCAAGGAATAGCGCCGGGTATCGAGGACAACCTGTAGGAGTTCAAATATCAACGGGACCAGAGATATAGGAGATCCTTCTTTTTTATTTTGTAACTCAAGAGTAGATTCAATTTAACTACAAGTAGCTTGTCAGTTCGAACTTCGAAGTGACATTGTGAAATACTGTACAGCTCAGCAGATGGAGTTCGAAGTGACATTGTGAACTACTATACAGGTCAGCGGGTGGAGCTGCTCCACAGCTGAGCCTATTTACAAATCTCCATGAACAGAGGTAAACGGGTCTGAGGGAGATATTCATCTTGCGACCATTGGAATGCTTCGGTGAGTCGGAGGTCAGTCAGCTTCCTGGATTAAAATGCTCCTTTCGAATACATGAAAGATCCAATGCATCATGCCGGCTTGCAGTTACTGCTACGTCTTCTCAATATGTAAATAACGGCTGTAGAAGTAAATATATTTACGTGCATAGGAATGAGGTAATTTAATTACAGACATATCAATGAACACACGTGTAGGTACACCGTATATCTTGACCGCTCTGTAACTACTTTGAATTCCCAACTATGTAATCATTACGTCTCCCCATGAACTACTGATTCCGAATCATCTCGTCCCCCAGACTTGAACACTGTACAATCTTAAACCCAGCTACGTTTTCCATGACACACCTAATATTCAATCGGACCTTCTTGTTTGACGTTGGATCTTCCGTTCACATAACATCATAGTTCTCAAACAAGACCGATGGAACACTCTGCCCGGGTAGAGAGAGGGTAAAGAAACAGTGAACCGGGATATAGTTACAGGCCAAACCATATTGCAAAAAAAGTTGAGATTTGGCTCAATTCTTTCCTTCAATTGGGAAAGAACACTGTAAGTTCCCATTGAAATTAAAGGAAGGATACAGTAGTGGGGTCAGCAACCAGAGGTCTTCCTAGTTCTGCGAATAGCCATGTTGAGGCTTAAAACCTCCACCGGTCGCCCATAAAGATAACTCCTCAAAGAAACCCAGCCCGAGCATACTTCCTTCCTCTATCCGGCAACGGAGACCCAAAATATCCTGAGCGAGATTTATCTACCGAAAAGGACAAATACGTTGTTGGCCACGAGTCATTCACAGCGACACCAATATTGGATCAGTTGAAGTTCAACAGTGGCGTTCCGCTGGCGTTACCGAATCGCTTCAACTGATGGAATACTCGGCTCAGTGAACCCCTTTGTTGCAATTGGAGAGATGGCTTGATGATCTCACAACTTCTAAAGGTAAAGAGCGGCGTTGCAAAAGTAAATAGAGGGTTGACGTCGAGAGGCGCTTTGTCCCTACGAGGCCGTTGTTGGTATTAGTTGTCTGTTTGTGCGCTTGGAGAATGCGCAACAAGCGGGAAGATCATTTGGTGAGCCCGCGGCTTCGAGGATGAAGTTAGCCTTATCGAAACGATGTCGAGAGGACCGTTTTGTCTCTGCGTAGCCTTTCTTAGCGTTACTTACTTGTATGTGTATTCGTACAGAAAACAAGCAACGAAAGTGACTTACCAGAAAAAAAAAGAATTTTTTCTTTTTGAATTCCTGGACATCGTGACTGCCCAAATGTTATGTAGGTATACATTGACACCCAATATTCTATCAGTCCGGATTCAGTTTGAGTGGGGATATTTCGCCACCAAGCATGCCGTCGCCGACTGATGGAACACTCGGCTCGGTAAATCCTTTTCGTGTGGTGCTTCTTTGGTGCACGGTTTTGCCGAGGTAAAAGGAGAGTTGAGGTCAAGATAAGCCTTTTATCCCTGCATGACAGGCAGGCCTTAGCGTGGTATCCGTGCGCTAACTCAGTCTTGACCACACCACATGGAAAACCAGAAACGAGCAGGGAGTTAGGGCCAGTTGGGATTCGCTTCAAGCCATGATCTAGGCGTAGTTCGCAGAGGTCAAATGGAGCTTTGTTCCGAAATGTATTCTGGCTTTTTTCCCTCTGTGTTGATTGACACAATGGTGAATGGCAGGATTGTGGTTGAGGAAAAAGAGCAAAATTAGAATTTCCCAACCTACAATTTACGCAACTAGAACAACACCCAAATCAGTCGAGCTCAACACCACCACCCACCATATCCAAGCTGTGTTTGGATTCACAAAATTGTAGTAAAAGACTACCAATCATGGTCTGGGTGGATCATGATCCACCCCATCTAGATCATGATCCCACAAAATTCCCTTTCAAATGCCACTCGAACCTAGAATCTAGACGGGCCTTTACCATGAGATTGAAGGAAAAAAGGCATTTTATTTGATCTCCGCCCCAGCATATCCCCACGCGACACCCAATATTATATTAGTGGAGGTTTAGCGACATTGGAATTCTTTCTCCAACTGTGGCAGCTGCTCCACTGATAGAACACTCGGCACGCAGAATACATACTTCTGAGAAGTGCTGGAACGGGTGTTGAGCATTGATGGGAAATGAAGTTGTCGAAGTAAGTGGGGGATTGTGGTCGACATAGGCATTTTATCTCCGTGTCGTACGTCTTGGTCTTCTGCCCGTCCGTGCGTGGACCACAGCCCGCCGAAACCGACATCTCGGCAAGACCGATGGAACACTTCCCTCTGAGGATGATTGGGAAGTTTGGACAACACAGTGGTGGATGTTCTGTGCTCAGCACATGTAGTTTTGTGGGGAAGGGATTGTCGAGGTAAGTGAAAAGCTGACGTCGAAATAAGCGTTTTGTCCCTACATTTAAGGTCTTGACGTTTCTCTTTGTGGGCTAGCTAGCAATATCAACCAGAAACAGCAGGAAACGAGCGACGGACGGGGACTTACCGAAGGGTAAGAAGAAAAAAATCACATGTGAGTGTAATTCTCCGATGTAACAGCACTTGAACACTACACCCAAAATTCCATCAGTCAGGGTTCAGTTACAGCGGAGCGCATAACCGCCTGCTGGACTGCTCCCCCACTGATGGAATACTCGGCCCGGGGAATAATTGTGAGGTGATAATAAATATCTTCATAAGGCGCCTTCATGGAGGGCGACTTTATGGAGAATGGTGTTGCAGTAGATGAATTGTTGGAAGAGTGGGGAAGAGAGTGGAAGCCTGGGGGAGATTTTACGTCGAGATAAGAACTTTGTTCCTGCAGAACTTGGCACCGTGATTGTAGTGTCGCGCCGGACTACCATGGTTACCTTAATCGCCCATGTAACGTGTTAGTTGATAGGATTCAGTCCGGAATAACCGTATGACTTGATGCAGGGCTAAGAATCCGGCAAAGCGTCTGGGTTTATCGAGAGAAATAAGTCTCATACAGACAGCTCTTTAGATTTAATTTATACTACAATTGAACTAAAATAAGTGTTTTGCGCAATTGGGTAAATTTGCGCCATTGTCTTATCCCAGACCCTGAACGGATTGCCCGGGAATTTACCAATTAACGCGGAACCCAAAGGCGTCTGAGTTTATCGAGACTACTGTGACTGTACACTCGCTCGATTGTGCATCGGCAAAATGAAGAGCAAAAGGAGCCCAAAGAATGTACACAAGCGACACCCAATATTCTATCAGTCAGGGTTCAGTTACACGGGTGCTCTTCAGCCCCCGTTGTCCTTGCCCCCGACTGATGGGATACTCGGCTCGGTGAGTACTTGTTGGGAGACATGATAGGGAGGATTGCGGATCAGTGCGTAGCTGGAGGTTATGTGTGGTGAGTGGTTATGTGTGCGGTGGAAAGAGGAGTTGAGGTCCACATAAGCGTTTCGCTCTTGGGTGTCTGGTCGTGGCGGTCTCTGTTTGCACGCTTGGAAAGGCTAACCATAGGCAGCGGAAAATAGGAATAAGCGGGGACTCACCAGAGAGTGGAATACAAAAGAAAATAATAAGGGAAATAAACTCCGAAGTAGTCAAGTTGCTTGCCGGAAGATATCCAAGCACGACACCCAATATTCTATCAGTCAGGTCAAGTTTCACGCGAGCTCTTCAGCCCGGGTTACGACAACAATCACTGACTGATGGAATATTCGGCTCGGGGAATACGTATGAGGGGCGACGGGGACGATGGATCACTAATTTAATTCCCAGTTGTAGAGAATGTGGAATTGCGGTTTTCTGGGAAATTGCTTCCGAGTACGTGTACTGTTGGAGAACCGGAGGAGTGGGGAAGTGGAGAGAGAAGTAGATGAGTGGAAACTGGGGAATTGGGAGAGAGACGTCAACGTCGAGATAAGCATTTTCCTGCATAACAACTCTTGGCAAGGTTTCTGGGGCTGGTTCTGTCGGACAAGCGTCAACCGCTGCGGCAAGGGCCGGGTGGGGGGCGAGCGAACATGCCGGAAGTGGGGAGAGAACATCCGCCTGGGATGACCTTCTCGGGTAGATTCTCACCTTGATTGTGATTGTGAAACCCCAAATACTGGACGTCAGGTCTTTCGGTTGGCCCATCCATCAATGGGACAAAATGAGCGGATAGAAGTAGGATAACCACACACTGAAATGCTAGATGGGTCAACAAATCTAAAGAGCTGCATGTACGTACAGTTAATGTTAGTAGCACCTCGGTTAGAACAGCTAGCAAGAAGCACAGTTTCCTGCCACAAGTCCTCGTATAATCTTCGTGGTATTTGACACAACTGGGATATAGAATCCTGGGAAATTATACGGCTGGCGTGTGCTCAGTCAGGCTCTTATTCAGAACAGAGAGGTTCAAAGCCTTGAGGTTGTGTTACCTTTCCTATGTCGTGAGATTATCTGTCACCTCTACTGGTGACACGACGGTCTCAACACTGTCTTTAAGAGGGGGAAAAACCGGTGTTATCTCTTCATCTCTTCAGGGTCCTGTCTTCGCGGACTGTATTTCTCAGTGATCTTCTAAAATCTAAGCTTCCCATATAATCAACATCCCACCCGCTCATCCCACCATGGAAGCCACCTCTAGCACTCCCGCACCTGGCCGCGGCATCACTCCTCCCGCCATAGAAGTGACCTCTAGCACTTCCCCATCCGCCCGTGGTATCACTCCCCCCGCCATGGAAGCCACCTCGAACACTTCCCCACCTGTCCGCAGCATCCCTCCACCGCCTGCCCGCGGCACCACTACCCCACCTCCCCGGAGCACGACTCCCCCACTTGCCCGCGGCATCACTCCTCCCCCCTCCACAGGCTTCAGCAACCCCCGTGAGCTCGCCTTCTATTGCATCGGTAGCCTCCTCGATCTCTGCACGCAGTACCGCCGCACCCTCGACCGCGTCGAAGCCACCCGCCTCCTTAATGACCGAAGAGTCTCCCGGCATTTCGGTCTCGCCCTCGACCCAATATTCCACGTGCCCACGTCCAAAACTCTCAGATGGCTGACCGCTGCGCAGCTACGCCTCTGGAACACCACCAAGGCCATGCTCCTGTCTTGCACATACCGTGAGCGGCGAGAAGATAGCTTCGCGCATGCCCTCGGCCGCTCAGAAGCCATCCAGAGGCGCCTAAGGAAGCTGATGCTGGGTGACTTGAGCCGTAATGAGGGTGATGCACTGTGGGAGTTTGATGATACGGTGATCTCAATGGCGGAGGCACTGGAGGCGTTTAAGGACATGGATCCGATAAGTGTTCGGTGGATTGAGGGTGCCGCAGTGAGGCAGGTGAAGGATGAGTATGCTCAGAAGGCGAGGCTCATGAAGGAGGCGTGGTATAAGGAGAAGGAGGCGCATGTGGCGACGAAGAAGAAGATGTTGGTGAAAGAGATTCGGGCGTTGGAGAAGCTCGCTGAGGCCTATAGGGAGGTTGCGAGGCTGAAGGAGAAGTACGAGTGTGGTCTTCACCCTGAGGATGACTATCTGCAGCAGCAGCAGATAGATGATGCTTTGCACCAGAAGCAGATATACGAGGCTGAACAGCCGCAGACGGATAGTGAAGGGGCGGTGAGTAGTTCATTGGGTGTGAGAAGGAGTGCAGAAGCTTATTTCTTCATAGACATCGCAAGATTCGAGGCCCGCGCCAGCCGAACCCAGTTTGGGCCGATCGCTATCCGGAAACAAGAGAAAGCGCGAACTCAACAGCTCGGGGTCAGAGTCAGAAGCAGGCACACTTATCAACGCCCTGGAGCATACTTCCATTGGCACAAGATAGATAGAGGCGATAATCTTTGCCTAGGGCAAATGTGTTGTCCACGTCCGAGAAGAGAGATTTGCTACCTGCGATGTATTTTATTATTGATGTTTACTAATAGCGGCGCATCTTATTCTGTATGTGTCGAGTGATGGAAGAGAATGGGGTGAGATTCTACGCTGTAACAAAGAGAGAAGGATGGGGCGCAAAGATGCGCTTTCAGTGAGCCATTCGAGGCTCGATGTGTTATTAAAGATATAATTCAAGTGCGTCAAGATCTATCTCCTTAGGGATCAAAAGGTGACTGTTCAAAAAAAAAAAAAAAAACTCCTAACATAACATCCCGAATCTGAAGGAATATGTTGTATATATATAACGCCGCCGACGGCTTCGGAGGCATCGAAAATGGCAAGAACCTTTATGAAGTACATCTTCCCTTCTGTCGCGCAATTATTCCACCCTACTAATCGGGCGAATTCCACGCGACGCTACCATTTGCTGTAAATTCCGACTCAGTAGTTTACTCACAAAAAAATCGGAATGATAAGCAATGAAAATATCACCATACACAGCTAGCTAGGTTTCCCGGGGGTGTACGTTGTCGTCTTTGCCCGCAGGGTAACCGCCGCAGCGAGGACGAACTAACCGACGTCTGCCGGACCGTGTCGTGAGGGAAAAAAAAGTAGAGCCTCGCTGAGAAAAAAGATTTCATCGATAGGACGAGAAGGGGAGTTTTCTTGACCAGCTCCGGCTCCTTTTCCGGCTGCTTGGTGGTGGACGCCATGTTTATCCAGGTGGGAAATGGGACGGCGAGCTAGAGCTCGAACCCTGGTGAGTAGGGTTCTGAACTGAGAATATAGGACTTCAAGCGTGGTATTCGATGTCCTTATCTAAATTTATAAAGGTATTTCATCCCCCCCTTTTTTTTTACTCCCGTAGGAAGATGCATGGGCAAAACTGATGACCTCTCTCACAATTCTCAACACAAATTGGTAAGAGGCGGAAGAGGCGTTGGTTCCACCCAACGGTTAGCGCCAGGGCTAGGGTTAGGGCTTACCGTTTATATAACCTACCGCCACAACGACAACGACACACACTAACAACATCATTTTTTTACTACACTTTTCCACCTCTCCACCAACCACCAGATACCAACCACCAACCACCTCTCCTCCCCCTCACCCTCTCCCGGATCGATCCTCCAGTCCCCACGAAAAGACGGTGCCTCTATCCGTTGTCCGATCTAGTGACCCGGGCGATTGACTTTCGTGCTGTTGTCCAGCGCGTTAGAAATTTCTGAGTGGTTACTAGACCGCTCAAGGGAGTGGAGACATCACTTTACGCTGCTCGTCCGTTGCCCCATCTGGTCGTGATCGCTAGCGACCCCCTGCATGCTCATCGCCTAGCATGCGCGACCAGATGGCTCAAGGGAGTGGGTGCAGTTGGCGTTCCGTTGGTATGTCTAGTCACGGAGAGCAGGGACGAGAGCAAAGGCTCTGCCTGCTCCGGCGGTTTCGGTGACTAGATGTATTCAGGGAGTTGTCACTTTGGTGGGCATCTATTTGGCTGTGAATTGGGGTGTTGCCTTCCGTTGGTCCGTCTGGTGCTCTCGGCCTGTGAAGGCGAGTGCTCTGCGCTGGTTTCACGCGGTGACTACTGGATGGGCTAAGGGAGTGGCATTCATGTGGGCCTGTGGGTAGGGTGGGAAGATTCGATTCGTCCGTTGCTATGTCTGGTCATTGTTTTGTGGCAAGTTGGACTTGAGTCCACTGTGCATAAGATCATGACCAGATGCATTAAGGGAGTGATTAATCCGTCTATTGGTGCGTTTTGCCGGCTTTCTAGTAACCACACTTGTTGTGGAGTGGCTTGGGAGGTTCACCTGATGCATTTAGGGAGCAGACATTACCACCACATGTACATAGTGGCAAACTGCCTTCCGTTGGTACTTCTAGTAATGGTCTTACTGCGGGTTGACTTGTGTCTTCTGCATTTGAGGCTATTATCAGATCTATTAAGGGAGTGGTATTTTACAACATTTACGACTTAGGATAATCCTTTCCGTTAGTCTATTTGGTTAGAGTAGATGAAAGTTGGGTTTGCACAGTGCGCCGCCTTGATCTGATTCTAACCAGCTAGATTAAGGGAGTAGAATGTCTTGAGGATGGGATGCTGCGGTACTCTGGGAAGATGCTGTCCGTTAGTGTGTCTGGGATTCTTCTCACACACCCATATAGCTGATACTGTTTTCTAAGGTTAGAAGTTGACCAGATGTATTAAGGGAGTGGATGTTAGCCCGGGAAGAGAGAAGAAAGGCTGTAACAGGAAATGAGGGCAGTAGGAATTGATACAGTATAGCTGTGGCCAACAAGTACATTGGACCGTTTCGGAAAAGGTGCTATATTTTATGAATTCCTTTTAAATCAATTTCAATTTTCTCAATAGGGTCCGTGGGAGTCAAGCTGGTCGTTTGAGAAGGATAGGAATTAGATGGATAGGTAAGAGTTAGTTTTCACCGATGAGACCTGGGCGCGGTCTCAAAACAGGTTGTAAATACTGGTGGCCTCAAAATACAAGAGCTCATAGCGAGCTAGTTCCAGGGAGTACTGTTGTATAGCGCACACCGTAAATTACAAAGAACCTCGAGACGAGGTGCTGCGCTAGCTTAACCACGAGCGCAGTTGTACAGAGCTTTGGTACTGTAATACTAGCTGAGATAAGAAAAACACGAACCAAAACGGTGTAGAAAAACACTCTGCATCCTTGACTTCGAAGGAGGGCATGTCTTTAAGTTTGATCTCTCGAGGTCTCGCCCAAATAAAACTCCTACACTAGTTCGTGAGGAGTTGTGAGGATAAGAGATGCCGTCGCTGCTTTGCGCTGCTACAGTCGTAGAGCTCGTTATAGGCTTATCTGTTACCGCCCTACTTTATTACTGGTGTGAGCAGCTTGCTGCTAGGTTAGAGATTAGTATGAGACTACGCTGGTTGTGTGGTTAGTTTTTGGAGTTCTGAAGACTAGCTATAAAAGTAGTAGATGGGAGTACGTTGGTAGAATTTACACTTCTTCACTGGAGCTGCTCACGTCATTCCTGTCTTTGCAAGGTAATATAATCTCCACCTATCATAGACACCACGACTCGTTCAGCACACCCGGCCGCATTGCTGAAAAAGAGCAAAGAGGTAAGAACGTGGCTTCCGAACCTGCTCCACACGTGTCCTCGTAGTCCACTTCCTATTATACGTGTGGTGTTCTTCTTACTTCTTGTCATAGCTCTTACCCACACAACCTCTCGCGCAATCAGGCATCATTCTCATTATCCAAACTCTTATATTATATTAGCCTTGCGCCGCTGCTGTTAGAAACAATGCATCCAGATCCCTCATTTGTTGTATATTCATTAGTTCTTCAAGACTCAATGCTTCAAGACTCAATGCTTTTTTCTTACTTTGCCACATTTTGGCAGGAGACAATGGGATTTCCTTCTATTGCCGATTTTGCGCAGGACCCAGGTCTATTCGCTGATCCCCCACCCATGCAGGACACAGCCCCACCTTCTCCGGTATGTGTTAAACTCCACAGTCGTTAGCCAATCTAAACTGAAATTGACTTATCACTTAATTACGCTCTATCTAGGATGAGCCTCCCGTTCCTAAAAGATCACCATTCAAATTCAAAAAAAGACCACGAGTCACGTCGGAATCGCCTGAATCGACGGTCGATCCTAGAGGATCACCAAGAATCAAGCTGGAATCGCCTGAACCGACCATCGACACTAATATATCGCCACTCGGCGTAAGAAGACCACGATCCGAGTTCAAAACGCCTGAAAGGACCGTCGATCCTAATGTCGAAGAGACACAGGCGGGACCTGTCTGTGTCAGGGTCAGATTCATTCTCAAGTTTGGTAACGATAGCATTGACGGTCTATCAAATCTACTCAAGCTATATGATAATTGGGATTGGGCGCCAGATACGGAAAGAATGGAGCGGTTACGCGCAATGAACGATATCTTCTGCAAATGGAAAAGTAGGTTCTTGGATCTCAAAGCTGTGAGACGGCATCTGGAGCCCGAGCAGTGCCGCTATCGTGAGATCAAGCGTTTGGTGGCGATGTTTGAAGAGATGGGATGGGATATTATGAAAGCGCAGATTACAAACTTGGGATATTCGCACCATGTACTAAGTAAGTTAATGTTTGCGAAGTTTGCTTGGTCTCATCGCAGGGCGGCCGAGCTCTTGTGGAGGGGCTACTGAAGGTGGCGAGACGAAAACGCAAACGCATCCCCCACACGCGAAAGCAGATTAGTAGTTTCTTTAGTACTTTTTCTTGTCAGTTATCTAGGTATGCAGGGTGTATGAGGGCGCCCGTTTGAAGGTTGCGGTCCTGTGAACGGAGTACTTCTATTTCATTTTGGCTCTGGTTATTTCCTGTAGCCGTCTATCAAATGTATATTCAACAATCCTAATCTTCACTCTAATTTGGGATGTGAGTTTTATAAATTCTATTCATTAGGTGATTCGGATATCCTATCGGAACCGTATATTGCCCATTTGCTGTTTATGTCACTGTTATCTCGTCACCCCTGGGATAAGAACATTCATTATAACTGCTTGGCCCCTCTTTCAACTGCCGATATCCGCCAACTGTTTGACAAATCGAAAGTTGAGAGGGAGAAGACTTAGTGATGGCTTGAGCCTAGGATAGAGTTTGGTAAAACATTAGTAATGATTGGGGGAAGAGACAGCTGGATGATTCATATGAAAATGTATCTCCCATTATTCATCCCGATTAGGGATTTTATATGTCGAATTATTGGAAGGTCTATTCTTAGATATAAACATGAGAGCTCGATCCTGGGCTGGATACTAGCTCCAGGGCTGGAACAGCTCAAGCCTTTGCCTCCATACTCCAAGCCAGCTCTAGCTCTACCCCGACATCGAGTTTCTTTCAAGACCAATCCTCATGCAAAAATAGAAAAACCATTGTCGATCAGAGATATATCACCCGGAGATATATCCCCCAAATTTAACCTAATCGCGCGCGATCTAAAATATTTGCATCCTGGTTCACAGAGCCCGCGTCCTGCTACTTATGGGGAGCCAGGTGGGTTCCCTTCACCAACGTTGGCGGAAGAGGGCAGTTGAGGAGAGACTGCAGTATTTGATATGGTGGTCCATAGAAGAATAATGAAAAACCACTAGGCTTATCGACCCTGTTCCAGCTCAATCAGGAAGACCGATTATCTAGGAAGCTTCCTGAAGTAACCAGTTTGCCAAAGAGGTTTGTTCGGTGACTGGTTTCTTCCTGAATGAACTAGGTCTGAAAGTTTGCAGCCCACCGAGGAAGCCCAGGTAGATAGAAAGTTCACCCACGAAGCATCACCGGTGAGGATGCAATCCGGGGGTGATTCATGGAGCTGTCAGCATGCTGCTTCAGTGCGCTAGCGATGCAGTCCTGGGGAGTTAATTAGCAATGGCATACTAATATTTGTGCGAAGAAAATCACCGCTGATCTTATTCGAATCAACTAGTACTGAGAGCTGGGGGCACAAACATTCCCGCTATCGCTATTTTTCATATTTATGGCTACTAGTGTGCTCGCAAAGTAAAAGAATGTGTGATAATCTCCTGGATGAACTGATTTGCCCCTGCAACTTCCTCAACGGATTGGAGACTTTCAGATCTAGTTCATTGAGGAAGGAACCAGTCCACCCAGGAAAGTTCTTCGGCAAACCGGTTCATTCAGGAAACTTCCTAGACAAGCGATCTTCTTTGGTGAGCTAGAACAAGCTCTTTTCAAAATGGCCAAATATTCAAGTTGCCCAAATTTTCAACATCCTTACCTATACCCCCAAAAGTACAAATACCACCGGGCCCCGCTTCAAACACTCCACACAACCATACATGAGATCTAACAATGTCGACCTCAGCCCCTAACCACAACGCGCACGTTATCTCCCACCTAGAGCTCCTCATCAGCCTCCACAAGCAGGTCCTCGACCACGTCCGCGACCGTCTGGATATGCTTCTTGAGCTACTAACCAGAGACTCTTTTACCGACGTGCGGGCACAAGCAGAAAATGAGCTCACGATGCAGCATAGTGAACTGGTGCGTATGCGACTGCATGAGTTTCGTAATAGCGATGGCGAGATTTTAGAACTTAGGGAGCACTTGGAAGAGGCCCATCTGGATTGTAGGTATTTGGCGGATTTTTATGAGGATCTGAAGAGGTATGTTGAGAGGTGTGAGGAGGCGCTGGTTTTGGAGAGGTGCGGGATGTGGGGGTCGTGGTAGAACAGGAATAGCAGGATACTGTTTTGTGCGTGCAAAATTGGAAAAAAAGAGAGGTGGATTGAAGGAATAACTCACTGAAATAGGAAAGCAATTAAACTTTGACCGAAGACGTTATCAATCTAGTTTCATGAGCCGAAACCTCATATCATTCGTTGAGTGAGAAGAGCTTCCCACGTACGGTCTAAATCAAATATGAATGGTCCCAATTTCCTCCTTATGTGTACATACGTCTTCGGCTGATAGTTGGAAGAGAGGCCTGCCTCACCCCCGAAGATAGCTCTCTTCCAAGCACCGCCACAATCTATATCATTACAGCCTCCTTGACATTGTTAAACTCGAATCCCCGTCATTGATAAACAATAGGTTATCAAAATCATACTTCCAGACCGGAAGTGGCCGACCTCTTTCTCCAATCTCCTTAAGGAGGGCGGAATGAGAGGTGGACCACTAGAAGCCTCGAATAGCAAGATAACAGAATGATAGAAACACTACATTTGTATGTAAGCGAGAAGTGTAGTGTTCTGGACAGGAATAAAACTCATACACCATACGGAACAGAGGCATGTCGAAGTAATTTTCTTTGCTGAGCTTGAGCAGTAGTTTAAGGATAGATATTGAGAACACTGTATCTTAGCTAGAAGAGAACACTCAGCGTTGTACAAGTAGTATAGGTATACCAGATTAGCTGGTATACCCCACTCAGAGACGGGACTCTTCCCTGATCATAATCAAGTCAACTATCAAACTATACGTGACTTTCAAGTAGAGTCGTGAACCACAGTTCTAGTGCCAAGAGTTGGGTTACCATACGTCTTCACTCATCCCTCCATCGCCCTCCAACATCACAACACCTCAGCAAACACCCCACTACCTACAATGTCTCTCTATACCAAACTCACGATCGATGACCACATTTTCAACATCCCCAACGACCCCGTCAAGAGCTTCCGCTTTATCCGTGAGCAGATAATCACCTCCTACCGCGCCGTGACAGCCGGCAAGTCGACTCCTCGAGACTTGGCATTTATTTTCGGTACTGCTACGGAGGTCGCCACTACAGAGATTCCCACTATGGAGATAGCGACCGCGGAGGCCATCACTACGGAGGGCGCCACTACGAAGGTTACTACTACGCAGACTACGACGGAGGTTCCAACTATGGAGGTAGGGACTACGAAGATTAATACTACAAAGGTCACCAGCATGGAGGTTGCCACTATAGAGAATACTGCTACGGGGGTTGCTACTATGGAGGCCACCGGTGGCGGGGGTGCCCATAATGAGGAAGTTGGAATTTCATCACAAGGTCGGAAACGAAAGCGCGCGATCTTTGTGGAAAACGATGATGAGGATGGTGGCGGGGACGGTGGGGGCGGTGACAAAGAGGGCGAAGACGACGAAAACGACGAAGACGAAGAGGAGGAGGCGCACAAGACGAAAAGTAGTCACGACGGGAAGAACAGAAATGGTCTCTCAGGCATCAGCTTTGTATGGCCAAAACCTGAGGAGGTTGAAGCGCGTATGAGAGAATTGCGAGCCAGTGAAAATTCGGGTATTTTTGTGGGAGATTTCAGCAACTTTGACGATGCTTTGAGGAAGACAGGGATGAATTACCAATGGCGACAAAGGGCCTATATAGAAGGGCGTCTCACCATCGAAGGCCGTTCGGCTAAGGTTGAGGTGAAGTGTGGGAGGGATCGCTGCGACGCATGTCTTGTATACAGTTTGCGGCGTGAGACAGAGTGTAAGGTGCTTGTGACGCATGTTAGTAATGCTATTCACACTTACATGTGTGCGAATTGTATGAGGGGTTGTCGAAGTTGCTGTTTTAGTAATTGGTAGAAAAAATAATCGGGATCCTCGATCCACAATTAAATAAACTCGTCCCTCATCACTTGTTTCTAGTTTGGCCTGGGAGATATTGACGCGAGCATACTCGAGGCGAACACTCCTGCTCGCCTCTTTCAGTGACGCCGAAGTGAGAATTTGCTGTATCGAGTACCTACTTCTGTTTTTGAAATTTGCCCTTACTTCCGGCGGTGAAGCAATGACTGTACTCAGCTGTTTTATCGAGGTATTTTACTCGCTATAGTGGCACACGGGGGAAAGTAATGTGCAGCATTGCTGGATTATGGGAATCCCGCACACAAAGACGTAGTGACTATTAGGTATTTGGTAGAGACACGAGCTTCCTCGCATGTACAAGAACGCAGAACCCCAGTTTAAACTCCGGTAGAGCCCAGAGTATATCATTTCAAATTACGACATTTAATCATAGATTATCACTCGGTTATTACCATGACAGGAAAAATGGAGCACAAGGCGGCGTTATTTCAGCTGGGAATAGTAACATACAATAAACTGACTCCTGTTGAGAATGGCTGCTAATGTAAGGCAGGTGTTCTCAAGAAATAAAGGAATAAGGTATGATCTGTATGGGTACTCTTATTCCTTTGTACTATCTTGGAATGCAACGTCTCCGTCTTGTTTTGTTCAATACACGGTAACCCCCCCCCCCCGGGCCTCCCCGGCCCCCGCGGCCCCGGGCACCTCCTCCCAGACCTGCGCACCTGCGGTGTTGAGCTTCAGATGTTCAGTGTCCTCTACATCTATGTACAATGCCAGTTCGTCGCGTCCTCTCACTCAATGCGAACAGTTTTGTTGATGCTTACATTCTCAATGACTCCCTGTCCAGGGAAATGTGTTTTTACTCGCTTTCCCAGATATGTACATTTTGTCTGGCCGGTAGGCGGTGGGTCGCCTCAGTATTTCCAAGCCCTCGTTGGTTTCCAATTTCAAACCGCCTTCTCACAACCGTTCAACAAAACGTTTCAGGTCGATCTGTCTGCTCACTGTTGAGTTGGTTGATTCGGTTTCCGAGTTTTGAAAAACCCGCACCCAAACGTTACCTAATTGCGCGCAATTTAAAGAATTTGCACTCTTCTTCACACAGCCCATGCTCCGCTACTTAAAGGAGAGCTAAGTGAACACCCTTTATTAACATTGACGGAGGAGGGCGGTTTATAGAGCGACCAGAGGACAGCCTACGCACCCCTCTATCTTTCTGGAGCGCTGGCCTTATTCAGAAAAGCTTTTATCAATATCATGTGTGATCCTTCAAGCTGTGAAGCCAGCACGCCATAGTACCTCGGAAACAGTACTATATAGTTTCACTGTATACTTGGATTAGTATTATGGCGGGGTAGAAGATTGAATTTGATCAATTGGTTGGTAGAAGAAAAAGAATGCAAAACTGGAGGCATATCGACTGCTCTTTGAAGAAAGATATTCAAATCGAAACGATTTTCAATATCGTTACCCCCACTCCGAAAGTACAAATACCACCAGACCCCGCTCCTGACTCTCTACCAAACAATACTCGTGATCAACATCTAAGAATGTCTACCTCAACCTCCGACCACAAGGCCCACATCATTTCCCACCTGGAGCTCCTCATCGCCCTCCACAAGCAAGTCCTCGTTCGCGACTGCCTGGACATACTCCTTGAGCTTCTGACCAGAGACACGTTTACTGACGTGCTCGTGCTGGTAGAGGCAGAAAATGAGCTAACGATGCAGCACACCCAGCTAATGCGCATGCGGCTGCATGAGTTTCGTAATAGCGATGGCGAGATTTTAGAGCTCAGGGAGCACTTGGAAGAGGCCCATCTGGATTGTACGTATTTGGCGGATTTTTATGAGGGTCTGGTGGGGTATGTTGAGAGATATGAGGAGGCGGTGGTGCTGGAGAGGTGGGTGTTGTGGGTGACTTGGTAGAAGAATTGTACAGTCGAATCACTCTATAAGGGTAGAAAGGTGGCGCGAAGTCGTACCTTACACACAAGGGTAATTTGCGTCTACGAAGGCTATTATAGCTCGAGAACCCACACCCTTATAAGACGATTACCTTTATAAGGGGTACCTTTATAGGGCGGTTCGATTGTAGGGTGCTGTTTTCTGTATGTGAAATGAGTATGAAAGAGCGAATGAAGGATTAAAGGAATGACTTGCCAAGATAGGCAAGCAATCAGAATTTGAACAATTAGCTTTAATGAGCTCATAGCTCATAATTCTCCGAGTGAAAACAGCCCGTTTCATGGGGTCCAAATCAAGAGAAAACCTTTGCTAGAATAGGGTCAATAGCTGGGGAGAAGACCTTAGTTCCGGGTAGGTGATTTTCGGGGTGCCTGTAGAGAGAGCAAATATGATGCGAGCCCAGGGCCTGGGTAGAATTAAAATACGGGCAGCCTGAAGAAACACTATCGTTTGGATTCCGGTCATTTCGTACCACCTGCGTACCCTCTATGATAGCGTCTTGTGTGTTTTGGTCCACTGCCTCTCGATCGTAACTCGCGGCGGCGGGGGGATCGCGCAGCCTATGAACCCAGGTGATATAAACAGCGGCGGGGAGAGATACAGAGATTGGTAGATCTATCTCGAAGACCTACTCAGAACCAGACCCTATGACCCGGTAGTAGTTTCCCATTTTGAGTGTCGTCGTCAATCCCTTCTCGTCTTTATGCGTTCCTTCACTGCGAAACCCTAGATCCCAACATGGCATTAGTCGCTAATTATCACTGTGACTGTCAGTGGTGAACGCACATAGCAGGTCTTTTATAAGTTTCCGAGAATAATTGCGCGCGTATCACCGCTTTAACCTTATGTCTTCAACCCCGCTCGGGGGAAGGAATATAGCCCATGGTGTAACAAAGTAGGGCGACCGCGCGATAAATTGCAAACCTCCTCACTACCGTTGGTCAGCCTAACAAGAGCAGGAGTAAATAAAATACCTGCGACATGTTTATGTCGCACCGATGAATGACCACCCAGGTCCCCGGACGTCTGAACGTGCGCCTGTCGCATGGCCCATCAGGTGAGAGCACAGCTGATTTCAGGAGAGGTGGGAGTGAGAGGCTTGCGCGCCAGAAAAGAGATTGGAATAAAGCGCACAAGAGGTTTTCTCGTTCTTTGTCGGCACTGCTTTGTTGTTTTGTATGCGGCTGTCAGCACTGGTCGCTTATTTCTTTTTCGCGGGGTGAATGACGGCGGACCCCTGCAGCGACAAGCTTTGTGGGGAAGCACGGACCAAGGGGCACCAGCAGAGCCTCAACGCCAACGACAAACACCACAACCGTTGATCTCCTGAGAAGAGTTTTTGTCGCGAGGGCACGGTGGTGAAGTCTTGAGGGCAACGCTCTATCGCACTCGCAAGGAGCAGATTCCTAAACCGCTGCTCCATTCTTTGGCTCCTCGCTAAAAATAAGCTCACCAGCATATAAGCATACGCGCCGGCCCCACCCCTGCCCTGCATTCTCGGCTAATCTCCCGAACGCGCCCCTTATCCCATCGCGATCGCGCTATTAGAGCTCCAAGCTTCAAGACAAACATTGAAGCTCGAGGACACAAAACCAAACAAACAATGCACATCATACCCACCCCCGAGACGAAGTCGGAAGTCGACCTACCGATTTCTGAACAGGAAAGTGTCAAGCCGCGATTTCCCCGCGTGTTGGCAAGCTTCACGCTCTTCCCTGCCTGGTTTCGGCAGCACCTGCCTGAAGATAAGGACCGCACGTATTTTGGGTTGCGCCGGAATGTCTTTCTTCTTGTTCTACTAGGTGTGGCGCTGGCGCTGCTTGCGTTGATTCTCGGGCTGGCAATTGGCTTGACTGCGGGAAGACATGGAAAGTAGGTTCCTCCGTCCCTCCTTATAGCTTGACTGCGCGCTGACATCGGCGAAGATCTAAATCCTACATCCCCAACCCTTCCAACAAAGCTCTCAATACCGGCGAGGCAACTTATTACGCACCCGGTCTCGGCGCCTGCGGTATAACCTCGAGCGACACCGAAGCAATCGTCGCCGTCTCTCACATCGTTTTCGATGCCGCCCAGGTCGGCTCGAATCCGAACGCAAACCCCCTCTGCGGAACGAAGGTCTGGGCAACGAGAGTAAAGGAGGAAACTGGAAAGAATGTGTCGGTGGTAGCCACTGTCGTCGATAGATGCACCGGATGCAAGCCGGAGGACCTGGATTTTAGCCTGGGGCTATTTGAGCAGCTGGCCGCGAAGGAACTGGGGAGAGTCATGATTAGTTGGTCGTGGCTTTAATGCTGCTGTTGACCGGACCGCGTGAAGGATGGGGGACTGGTATTCACGGCTGTCTGTTGTCGTCTCCCCGGAGGAGGATTTTTTTCACCATCATTTTTAGTATATTTTTGGCCCCAGCGGCTGTAAGTTAGTAATGATACCCATTCTTTCGGAGTTCTCTTTCTTCAGGAGTCTTGATTACTCTTTAAAAAAGTGTGGTCACTCCCGATGTCCTGTTTAGTATGGATCCTGTTAAGCTAGGGAATCAAGATCAAAGGTGGAGTGTATCGGTAATAAAGGAGCGTTCCATGTGTGTTGCAATTGTAATAGCAATAGAAGAGCAAAAGCAGCATTTGATGATCGGAACTACACTTGAAGCTAGGTATGTGTTTAATTTGAAAGATGAAGATAGGTGGGGAAAAAGGCAAGGTCCTCAAAACTGGAAGAGAAAGAGCTTGTAAGATGTGGTATTTACTTCATAAGTGGCCTTTGTAAGGTCTTGACGCCTACCAGGCGCTTCCCCCATGGTTTCGTTGTTAATTTTCACCAATCATTGACAACTGACATGGCCGCGAGGGGTTCCGCAGGCCGTTGTAAGCTAAGGCATGTGAGCAGGGCGCATTACAAAGGTTTCCTGCGCTTCCTGGGCAGGGCACGCCCTCCAACCACAATCCAACACTTCATCACACGCCATCATCAACCAACACCAAACAATCTGTTGGCCCTCCTTGTCACCTCATCACGGAGCATTACATTCAATAAGGCAAAGTGAGCAATCCTCCTATTTGTCTTAATTGCGCGGTCTAACTCTTGTTCACAGGACATTTGCCTTTCATTTTCAGCTGCTCAATACGCGCGCAGTATAGGCACAGCTCAAGCAAGAAATACACTTCCATTCCTTTCTCCTGGAGACCACACATTTCCTGCTAACTCTAATATCTCTAGGCGCTCCCACAGAAGAAATTAATACTCTCCTGTCACCTGCTTCAAGCGAACTTCCGGTATGCCAGGCCGTTGGTTGAGCCATGACCACATAAGGTTGAGCATAGACTGATTAGAGCGCTGAGATCTTCACCACCGTATACGTACTCTAGAACTGTCAGTATTTGGAGCCTGCGCTTGGCCCCGGCCAACCAGCCCTAGTAGACCAGTCTCTTGTCCTGACAGGTCTAGGGTAGGGCGATTGGTTAAGCCGGAAAGTAGATTTCCTTTTCTTTTTTGTTATTATTATTTTCTTTTTTTTTACTAGGTGTGTACATATGTTTTTCTCCCTTAAGATGCATGGATGTTGAATCCTTCCCGCCCTTGATTTCCACTTTCTTTTTTTTCTACTCGGGTAACCCCAGCGAAATGTCAACCTCACTACTCTTCATCCTCCACAACGAACAACCAAAGATCCTCCCATCATCGACAGAATATTCTCTTTCATTAATTGTCGGTACAACCTGACTTAACAGATTCCTCTTCAATAATTCTCGCTGACAATTACAAGTCTATTATTTCTTCACATCTGCTGGCTGCTCCCACCGTGCTCCATAACCGTTTAGGACGCGATGATGGTATAGTTCCTTGCGGCAATACATCACCCCCCTAAACGGATGTGGAGTAGGGTTGTGTATCGGCATTAAGACACTTCATTGGGAGATATTTTGTGTCTATTATTCTATCGCTTCAGCGCTTCCTCCCTATAGTCACAGTTCGAGAATGCTTGCTGATAGGTCCGGCCGCGCTCCATAAACCGTTTTGCGTGATAACCGAGATAGCATTTTGCGGCAATGCGTCATCGGGCGAAACGGATATGGAGCAGGGCTCACATGTATTTTAACTAATTGTCGAAATAACAACCTTTCCCAATCTTCAGACAATATCCACACCTGGCGCCACGAATAGCATTACCACCATGCCTCACAAGGACCCTACAAACCGCCCCATCCCAAGGCTTGGCATTGATACAGCCGCGGCAGCGCTCCCTCCCATTCATCACCGTGACATTAGCCAAGCGGCCATCAATCTTAAGCAGTCCTTCAATATATCTCGTTCGTAGCCACTTATAACTGAGGCCAGTTGTTTCTTGGGCATCGTGAAAATTTTTGAAATCTCCCACAAACATATTCTCATTTCTTCCGGATAAGAGCTTCTTCCTGAGTGCAGTAGCCTCCCTATTTCGTGTTTGTCCCCCCCGTATCTCGAGCGACCTTGAGGGACCCTCCCGGTAGCTGCCATCGTTGCTGTCATTGCAGTCGTTGCCGTTCTCGTCCTCGTTCTCGTCTACCTCCTCATCTTCCTCATCTTCCTCCACCACCCTTTCTTCCTCCAACTCTTCCTCTTCCTCCGACTCTTCTTCTTCCTTCATCACGACATCCTCCTCCAACCCTCCCCCCCCCTCCACCACCTCTTCTTCCTCCAACTGTTCTTCCTCCAACTCTTCTCCTTCCTCCAACTCTTTTTCTCCCCCCTCTAACACTTCTTCTTCCTCCAACTCTTCTTCTTCATCTTCCTCCTCCTCGTCCTCCGCCTCACTTTCCACAAAGATAGCATGCTTGCGTTTCCGACTACTCATAGTAACAGTACCGAAGAGAAATGCTAGGTCCCGTGGGGTTGGTTTACCGTCTGCCACGGCGCGGTACGAGGTGATTGCCTGCTTACGGATGAAGTAGATGCTTTTGACTGTGTCGGTGGGGACATTGAAAACATGGCCATCGATCTTGAGCATAGTATGGGGGGACATTGTGTATATTGTGGTATTTGCTAGCTAGCTATAGTGGTGAAGAGCGCGACGGAGAGATGCGCGAAGACATGCATGTACATGTATGAAGTTACCCGGTCAATAACCTAACCCATTCCAGTTACTCCTATCTGAGGGAGCAAAGACACGTCACTCGAGGTGCCACTGCTTCGCATGGCCCTTCTCTTCGCTCTCTGGCCCCTCAATTCACCGCCCTCCTCCTTAATCGTAAATCTCGAGCCTGTTAAGAACTTTTCAGTTAACTCCCTAGTTCCTGCCTTGCGGGTGTGGGAAAGTGTTTCTCGGTGGTTTGTCAAAGGGTTGAAATAAATGTTATTATCCCGGAGGTGCATGACGGGATAACAAGGATATAAACGAATGGAATGAGATACGGCTGCGAGACGATATTTGAATCCGTTAACGAATCGAATATATGAAGCTAAAATCCGGGATTAGACTCAGGATTCTATCCGGCGTTTTACGTTCTTATCTATGTGGAGATACTGGTGTCCGAACAGAATACCTGATAGCGCTTGTAACTACAGGTACTTCCGTTCTCTGCCCGGTTACAATATTCCGGCAATGTTGCACAGTCTTTTACTTGCGTGTGTAGTGAATAAAATACCTCGAGCATGCTCACGTTAATATCTCGTTCACCACACTAGGAATACTTCAAGACGGACAGGGTGTTTAATTGTGAATCAAAGATCCTGAGTTATTTCAACAATTTCTCAAAAGGGCAAGGTTTATCAACTTTCAGACAATGCCCACACTTGTCAGTATGGAGGGCGTTGCTGGGATGCCTCACAAGTACCTTACACTCGATGTTACCCCACACAGCATTGTAATCAATGCAGGCCCTGCAGCGACCCCTCCCTTTCATCACCAAAACCTTAGCCCAGCGGCCCTCAATCATGATTAGCCTTTCTATGTATTTTGTTTGTAGCCATCTGTAGGACATTCCAGTCTTCCTCAGAGCGTCGTCGAAGGTGCTGAAAGTTCCCACAAACATAGCCCTATTCTCAAAGGCCACCAACAGCTTCCTGCGCGCAACAACCTCCTCAGGCTTTGGCCATACAAAGCTGATTTCTGAGCGAGCCTTCTTGTTGCCGTCGTGACCATTCTGTTTCTTGTTCTCCTCCTCCTCCTTCTCATCCACGTCCACGCCCATGTCCTCCTCCCCGTTCACGTCCTCGTCCTCATCCACCTCCTCGTCCTCGTGCACGTCCACCTCCTCTTCATCCTGGTTCTCTTCGTCATTACCCTTATCCTTCCCACCCCTGACCTCGTCTTCCTCCAAGATAGCATAACTGCGTTTCCGACCATATGATGAAATTCCAATTTCCTTATCCTGGGTACTAGTACCCCCTGCACCGGTGACCTTCGCAGTAGGAACCTTCGTAATGGTGACCTCCACAGCGGCCGCTTCTGTAGTGTCCGCCTTTGTAGTAGCCGCCTCTGTATCGACCAACTCCACGGTGCCGGCCTCGGTAGAAGACTCCGCAGAAGGAGCACCAAAGAAGAATGCCAGGTCTCGTGCAGTCGGTGCGCCGCCTGTCATAGCATGGTAGGAGGAAACTGCTTGATCACGGATGAAACGAAAGCGCTCGACAGGGTCGGTGGGGATTTTGAAGACGTGACCATCGATACTGAGTTTATCGTGGAGAGACATTGTGGGGTGTTTGCGGAGGTGTTGTGATGGTGGAGGGGTAATAGAGTGATGGTTGAAGACTTATCCGGGTGCACAACGGGAGCCCTAACCCTAGAGGCTAGTGCTGTTTAAGAGACTGCTGCTCGAACCGAGCAGCCAAAAGTGTTTCGACGTTCCTATGCCTCGTATGGTCCATCCATGCTTTTGCTGTTCCTGGCCAAGCATTATCCTTCTTGCCTGTGTTATCTTGCTGTTCGAGGCTTCTAGTTGTCCACCTCTCACTCCGCCCTCCTTGGGGAGACTGGAGAAGGAGGTCGACTATTTCTGACCTGGTGTATCAATTCAGAAACGTTTTATGTACTAACGACGACGATTTAATAATTTTAAAGAGTCTGGTGAAACGTATTATGGTGGTATTACCTCATAGCAATCTACTATTAGGGGAACATAAAAGGTTGCTGAAATAGAAATTGAAGTTGGAGAAAAACCTGATCGAGACCTTGTTCTCTAGTACTTCCTTGCTCTGCCGATAATATTGTCACAACCACTCCTCAAAAATACTCCCATGTCTACTCGAAGAAAGACATGTTAGCATCAGCTAGAATTTCCGATTATACATGGCCTTCTCGGCTACACTCACTACTCCGCGATGGCCTTACTAGCTATCGGGATTCGATTGATAGTGGCTTTGGTTGCCAGTTACTAATTCTCTTTAGCTAGAGGGATATCGCCTACTACTCGTCACCTCCGACGCAGAGAGAATGCAGAGGTTATAAGAATGGCAGTCTGGATAGCCGGGTATGACCTTTACATCAGTGTCATTAGAGCTTGATTCGGATCCTTCTGAAATGTCTCTTCCGTCAACTGTGGACCTCTGGTGCATGACCCGGTGCATGACCCGCTGTGTTATGTGATCTAGCCTATAATTTCACTCTCCGAAAGGTTACAGTATCGGGCTGGTGATCTGACGGTGTATAATACCCTCTGGAGGAGAAGAATGGGCATGGTAGGATTCCAAACGATTAGGAGGAAGAAGAGGAGGAACACCAAAGTACGTAAAAAAATGATATTATGAATAGCACTTGTAGGAATAGTAGCTAAGTGGCTAGTCGTGAGATATTAAGAACTCGCATGTTTATTCATGCGAACCAGAAATCATTATGCAAGATGTCCTATAACTACAATGTGTATCCTGATGACAATATACTAGTTATGTATGTAATATCTATCTTTATCAAGTCACAATCTGAAGAAATAGAGTTACATGCCCAGGCGGACAAAGTAAGACGGAACCTCCTTGCTGCCAACAGTTCGTTCCATCCAATCTTACACGATATATTGAGTAGATTCTTTAGGGTACGACAAATCTGAAATATTTGAGTCAAGGCATTGAAGCGCTGTCTATCTCGCAGGTACAAGCCAGTTCTTTCGGAGGTGTGCTCTCTCATCCATTGGAGTTCTCTCAGCTTAAAGAGCTGTTCAATCATACTCCAACAGGTCTCCTCCCATGGCTAATTTCTATTTCCAGCCCCCAGTGAGCCTCGGCTCCCTCTACTCTGGGGCCAAAGCCTACCAAAGCCATCCGTACGTTTGTTTAACTAGCCGGGGACGATAGAGGTGAGCCCAATACCTAAAGTCACACACACCTGCTACTCCACTGTGTTTCCCAACATCCTGCGATTGTTTTCTCGCGAAATAATGCCCATTGTCTCTTTTTCCCATCAGAGAACACTGTGCTGTGATGTGTTTGGAAAGATTACATAATCTTCCCGGAGTGTTTAGTGTCGGTAAAATGGTGAGACAAAGCAAAGAAACACCCGATTGGTCTGTCACTACCTCAAGCGCCAGCAACAAGGATATGGCGTGTACATGTGTTATTGGTAATCACATTAGGAGCAATGAGTAGAGAGAGCTGTGGCGCTATGTGAGGAAAAGTATCTGGAGGAGTCGAGAACTCAACCGGCGGTGGTGGGCTTCAGCCCAGTGAGTGGGAGAAATCACACTCCTTTCTCACCTCAAGTCACCAACTTTCTTTCTTAAGGATAATGATGGTAGATACCTTTGTGGTGGTATTGCAAATATTTACACGGGCGTGTAGCCTTTCACAAGCTATAGCTAAAAAGAACAAAAGGTTGCATTGATGGTCCAGCCATATCTACAACCCCCACCCCTGGATTGAACCCTGAACCTCCTGTAATCGAAGGCAAGGCACAACCACTCGGTGTCCGTCCGGGGGGCGAGTTAACCGTTAAGCCACTCGCCCATGTGTGTTGTCGGTCTGAGGTGGTATTTGGACGCCAAGGACAGTCGGAAGCACCTAACCGATTTGGGGCCTAGTGAAATAAGCATTCACCCCACACTGCATCGAGGGCAGAGGAATAACGAGATCACGATTCGATAGGAGTGATGATTATTTCACAATTTACTCATATACGCCTCATATTTGAAGCGCGACCATCGGCCACGATGACCATTCTCCCCCGAGACCAAGTAAGATGATTCGGCAGTGAGAGTAAACGGTTCCTAACTTAGTACGGATAGGTCGATCTCGGAATATTTTACACAGCCCATCACACACACGCCAATCATCAGAGTAGGTCAAGTCAGAAGTAAGTACTTGTAGCTGGATTGCCATAACAGGGAACCAATAAATATCCTACTCTTCGAAGGAACATGAGGGAGAGGTTTCAAAAGACCATCGAGTTTTATATAGGCTTAATGGGGGTGAATCACGCTGCTTTCTGGCCTCCATTGGTTAACCTGTTTCGTAATCCCGGCCGGTCCTGATCGCAGGTATGGTACTGCCTAAGGTGCTGTCCGTCAGGCGTGTACATAGTTCAAATTGATTGTTTGTCTGGTTCTCTTTTGTCGTAAAAAAAAAATAAAGAGAGAAAAAAGAACAAAAGAAGAGAAGAAAAAAAAAAAAAAAAAGAACAAAAGGTACTGCAGATATGGCCGGACCCATATCTACTACCCCCACCCCCGGGTTGAACCACGGACCTTCTATAGACGTTCAAAGGCCAGGCACAACCACACGGTGTTCCGGGGGGCGAGTGTTAACCGCTAGGCCACTCGCCCATGTGTGTTGTCGGCTTGAAATCGTATTTGGACGCCAACGGTGCTCAGAGGCCCTAACAAGCTTGGGTTAGTACACAATTCAAAGACGCACTCCACAAACGGATGGAGCACATTTGGAGGGAGTGAGTCACGAGGATTATCTCGAAATGTAGGATGTCTTACACGGCGCTTTTTTGAAGTGCGACCTTTCGTAGATCATCTTAATTTTTCTCCGGAGAAAGGTCTGCCGGACGGTAGGGGTATATGTTGGTGTCACAACGACAAATACCTGTTCGAATTTAAACTATTTTCCGCCGCTCAGTGCCATCTAAATCTTCACAGTGGCTCAAACCCGTACTTGAAGGTAGCTAATAATTAATTTTACGAAAAAATAATGTCCCCCCCTCCGACTCTACGATACCTCAGGTTCATCGTCCACAGGTAGCCGTCATGAAATCTGATGAATCTATCTTCACCACGTTACGGAATCAATGAAAATGTAGAAACCATGCCTGACGATGTTGTAGTATTTGTACCGACACTCGCAAAGAGGCGTTAAAAGTTTTGCCTAGCGCGATTTGGGCCTTGTTCAACCTTTTGGAAACCAATACTAGCACGCCCAGAAGACCCAGGCCGAAGGTGACAAAAGAGATGAAGAATGGCACTCCCAGCTTTTTCTACGCAAGGATGGGGATGGGCTCTTATCACGATATATAACGTCTTGATTCTGTTTCTTCAGTTCTGCAGTTCCATCGCGATAGCTGCGACCTTTATCTGACTATGTGAAAATGGCTTGCGTCATTCTAATCCGAATGTCACATCAGCCGTCTCTTCCGGTGCTCCGCAGTTTAGATTATGTCCATATATAGGATAAGCAGGAACCCCCCCATTAATCTTTTACGGAACTACCTGAGGTTTCTGCAAAACTTCCTCTAAGTGGGGAAGATCACGACTCCTTGGGGTAGACCTAGATCATGTGTATATAGGAATAGTCTTCTAGGCAGAAATTGAATCTGTGAAATCTATGAAATGAAGTAAAAATATCTATCTGAAGAGATGGCGAGCAGCCTTTGTTGTAAGCTTCATTTTGAAAGAAGAAATGGTATATAACAAGCTCTTGAAACAGTCGAAAGATAACCTTGCCCCCTCAACCATTCCCTAACAACAGCGCTCCCTTTCTCGGATTTTCCCACTGCCAAAGAAAAATGAATGCAAACTCAGACAAAGCAATATGCCACTAGAGCATCTATACTCCGGGGAGGAGTACAGACGATCAAACAAGAAATTTCGCTAATCTAACGTGCAATGAGCGGTGACTAGGTAATATCCTGACCCTGACAGATAAAAGGAGGGTATAGACAGCGAATGAAATTTAAGACCCATCAATCAACATAGTAAACTTCGAAAGAAACATGTTGAAAAGAAAAAAGAAACTAATATCAAGAGAAAATGCCACACTGCTCCAACCTTAGCTGGCTCCCCTGACATTTATGAACTCCCTGTAGCTTCGCTGGCTCATCTGACATTTGTCGACTCCCCGTGGTTGTGTGGACCTTTTACTGGCCGCCATGATTATCAGAATAATCATGATCGTCGACCCTACCTCCGCCGGTACCCATTCTGGCCAAGCCCATCTCCATTTCCCTGTACCAGCTCGCATAAGACGTTAACAAATGCAACTTCATTACTCATAACTTGAAAGGATTTTGTAGTCCCTACCTTCTGGCCACATCACCAATTTGATGTGTAGTGACGTGGAAGGACGAGATGTTTGGGTTGTTGTTCGGGAGCTCGTTGACATTAATGACAGTCATACTGTGGATGATTCCCTCACGAAGCTGCTGCGCCGTGTAGGCGGTCTCTGGTCTCCGTAACGGAGGAGTAGGAGCTCCAGCAAAGCGCTGAGGGCTAGACATCGGTGTCGCTCTGGGAAGCTGGGGGGCAGGAGGGCGAGGGGGCGGAGTGGCCGCAATAGGTTCACCGAACCCTGAGCTCCTGGTAGCCGGGCGAGATTGGGAATAATCAGGATGGGGAGCATATCTCCAATCCGTGCCCGCACTCTGGGAAGATTGGTTATAATCTGGGTTAGGAGCATACCCCCAATCTGAGCCACCAGGGAAGAATTCGGTTGAGCGTTGACGGCGAAATACGGGAGGTTCAACTGGTCTCGGAGCAGGCATAGAGCGCTCAGCTGGTCTCGGGACAGACACAGGAGGATAAACCGGCCCGATGGCAGGTATAGAGCGTTCAGCTGGTCTAGGGACAGACATAGGAGGATAAACCGGCCCCATGACAGGCATCGAGCCTTGAGCTGGTCTCGGGATAGACATGGGAGGATAAACAGGTGCCGGAACAGGCTGAGGAGGGTCGGCCGATCTCGGGGCAGTCCTAGGAGAGCGTGTTGGTCCGTGCTCCTCCTCCTCACCATCATCGGAGCTGCATGAGCGACTGAAGCCTGCTTAACTTAGTCGTGGTCCAAATCAGAGTTGTGTGGGTAGGTGAACATACATGAGAACTTCACTGCAGCTAGCTTACGGGCAATTCCACGAGCGCGACCGCCTTTCTTGGATGGTTCAGAGAGAGCCATTTGGTTTTCACTGTCCGAGTCGTTGTCAGAGAGGGATGGGGTGCGGTAGGAGTCCGCTGAATTGTCTGAGTCCGTGTCGGGATGAATCCTGTAGCTGGTTGGGATAGCGTTGGGTCCAGTCATGCGTTGGGGCTCGATCACCCTGCTTGGGCCTGTTGGGCGTGGAGCGTTTGTTGCTGGCATTCCGTTTTCCCAAAAGATGCACACTTGACGTCCGCAGTAATAATGGTTGCAGACCCTGCCCCTCTGGGCCTGGTACCGTGCCATCTGCGCATTACGGCGAGCGATTTCCTCTTGCTCTTCATCCATCTCGACGTGATCAACCAACATTGTTGATGAAGAATTGTGGTTGGTAACTGATGTCTGTCGATGGGACAAGATGAGATGTCGTTGAGCGGCGCACGGCCTAGGGACGAACCAATATACCTAACCCACATTCATTCTTTCAACGGTAACCCGCTCTACTTTCTTCAACTGACGTCATGTAATGGTAAGAGGGCAAGATGTGTGTATGAACACATGTCCTTTCTACATGACTTTATCAAGATCACAATTGCAACGGTATCTCGGTATCTTTTTAGGTGTTTTATATTAAGGTTTTGATCATTAAAGAAGGATTATTTTCATTGTGAGAGACGATACTCATCAACAAACAAGCTTGAATTTCTTGAATCGAGTTTATTTACGGAAACTAAACTTCAAGTCGACTATCTCCCACTCTATCATAATACTTTGTTCACTCCTCAAAGTCCAACCAGTCATAACCAGAGGTGGCTGCGGAGTAGAGCTCATTGACAAAGTCCCTATACTCACTCCATATCTTCCCGCCAAAAGCCTGCTTTTCAACTTCTAGCCTCCCCTCATCCTCGGCAGTTCCAGACCATGTGAGCATTGATTCAGACCAGAGGATATCCAGCCTCTCCATGCTCTCTTGAATCTCGCCAATCATGTGAGTGGTTTCCTCGAGAAGTCGAAACTCCTCTCGAGCTAGAAGAACACATAGCTCTTTCGTGTGATGATTTCCTATGTAGAGCTCCTTGACCTCCTTTATCTGCTTACGGCGTAGCTCCAGGCTATGGCACCGGTCAATTAGCTTATCGCAGTTGTTGCGGAGGAGGGTGATTTGTCTGCGTAGCTGGTAGTCCATGGTTGGGTTTGAGATTTTGAGCTGGGACGATGTGTTATATGAAGATAAGATGGTGTAGAAGCGAGATGGAAAGCGTTGGAAGTCTTGGAGAATGTATTTATATGCAATAATGATATATGGGTACTTGAAAATTAAATACGTTATCGATTGGAACTATATTATCTTTCAAGCTTGAATGTCTTGGATTTTATGTCAACCAGCCTAGTTGGAAGGGTCTCCCTCCCAAACACATTCTTTCTTCTTGAAATACATATACCTTCCAATTATTTTAAGAGATAAATATTTTTGGCGCTATAGATTAGAATACATGTACTCCAAACACATCAATTCACCACCTCAAACCATCCTACCCAATAGCAAATTCCAACACCCCTTATGGAATAAAATATGACCCCCGAATTCCTCAGTCCATGATTGCAGTTTTTTCCATTTTTTTTTTTTTTCAAGTAGTTGGTAAAAATAACACCCGCCTACGCGTACAACGCGGTCTCGCAACACTGATACTTGAAACCAGGTTTACCTCGACCACTAAGGATGCCATAGTTACTAATCAGAAGTTGCGTCCGTTTGTCTCTGGGTAGAAAGAAAAAATATCCTGAACAGACCCTGACGTCAGATATATGAAATTAACTTGCAGTGGGAAACGGAACGATATCCTCTCTAAAGTTCTGCCTTCTCTGACGAAAATAGAAGTGTGCCTCCTGATTCACTTAACCAACGTGGAGGGAACATGGTACAATCTCACATAAAGTCGAATATGAGATCTCCGGCTAAAGCAATTCCTACCAATACTACGCGGAAATAAGAGTCTGGACGAAGATGCTATGTCGTGACTCTTCCAGCGGAGAATATTAGCCTTATATGTTGTCCTTGAAAGTTATTTGTATGCAAAGACTACCGAGACACCCGCGTTGAGTGAGATTTTCAAGATAGCATTTGATTAAGGGGTGCAACAAGAAAGAAGTTTTTATTTTGAATACCTTATCTTGATGTTCTTTCTTAGTACAGATCAATAGCCGGGCAGACCTCGAAACCCAATAGTCTCTGTTGTTGCATTCCTAGATCTCACGCCCTGAACTGGCGTGAATGAGATCCGGCAAGTAACCGAGAACTTTTATATGAGAACTCGAATCGCAGACGTTGATCTTGCCGCGGGACCAGGAACACCGACAGGCTACTCTTGCCAGGGAAGCAATGCGGGAGAACTCCCACAAAAATCAACAAATTACCATATCAGGGCACGACAGCTCCGCGCTCGTATACTACTCTTTTGATTTCTCTCTCCATAGGTAGATCTCTAGCCTCTGCGAATGATAGTTATGGAAGCTAGGTTTAGCTTCATCTATAGAAGGTTAGCTTATCATTCCTTGAGAACAAATACCAATAATGAGGACGTGAGGGTCCAAGAGCATGTCTACCGCCTAAGCGTGACGATAATGTTTGAATAGATAGTAGAAATGATCTTTTATAGGGGTGAAAGTAAAATGTAGTAGATGAAAACCTACCTCGAAAGAAATATGCTCTGGAAGGCTTTCATGGCTCTTCCACCTAGCTAGTGGGAATGGCCGGTCCAGAAGATTCCAATTTCCTGCAAGAAATTCAAGTGCCTCATTCTCGCCATCTCCTTGTCCCATCTCTTTCCCATCGATTTTATTGGGGAAACGAGTCCCTATGACGGCCTACCTGGTACCTCGGGAATGCATTCCCACCTCCATTTGCCCTTTGTTTTATCAAAGGTGAGTAGCTCTAAACGCTCGTGATAGGGGCTCGAGGTGATTAACTGCTTACTCCTTCTCATGCACCATTTTCTTTCTCTCCATTCTGATCTTCCCAGACATTTCCTTCCCATATTCTCTCTTATATGCTCTCCTGTCCCTAGTCTTCTGTCCCATATTTTTCTTGTCCGTATTCTTCTCTCCCCACATATAACCCTATATATCCCTTTATCTTCATACTCTCCCCCCCCCCCCCCAAAAAAAAAAGAAAGAAAGAAAGAAAAACTCCATCCAAGTTATTATCCCCTCAGTCATTCCCGCCGTGCGTTAACAAGAATGAAAGGATGAGCAGTACACGCCTCCCATTCCATTAAGGAAAAGGAAAAGAAAAAAGGAAAGGAAAAAGAAAAAGAAAAAGAAAAAGAAAAAGAAAAAGAAAGAAAGAAAGACTTCATTTCAACCTCCATACGAGTCCCATCATGCGCCATGCTTTTCTTTATAAATAGGTTCATGTAAAGCCTAAGATCAAACCTCATTAGCCTTCCATATCTCCTGGTCACGGCAGCTCCAAGCCCGTCCTTTTTGCCATGAGTTATTTCCGAATATAGAGCCTTGTGCAAGCGTAAGAAGGGAAACTACCAAAAACATTTCTTCCTTGTGCCCGACGCTCTTGAGGGTTGATAGTCCCTGCGACCCTCTGAGGTAGTGATGCAGCCTTCTTATCCGTCTTCTCTGATCACTGCCTTGTTTATTCTCCTTTTCATCCCTAATTTTCGGCCGCATTCGGAGCCAAAGACTGAGAGATTGGCTCTTCCACTGTGCCGTAATTTAAGACAGTAATGTTGAACTGGTAATATAGAATAAGCTGTGTGGTAAAGGAAGGGCAATTAACACTTGATCTTACACGGCGACAGCATATTGCTCAGGATGAATATTATATAGAGAATGTTTTGTGAACCTACCTTATATGCATTATTCTTTCTTCTGTGGTTGTGTGTCCAGAATTGTATGTTCGGTGAAGACGTCGCTGGTTGGAACGAAAAATGACCAGTTGTACATCAGTCATCCAAATACCCCAACTGAATCGCTCTCTGGGCTTAAGGGAGATTTCCTTTCCTCGAGGTCTTGCATAAAGTTCTGTATAAACCCAGTATGGTCGTTAGCATATGGTCTCTTGTAGTTAGGCTAGCACTCACCATAGTCAAGATATACAGGGAACGGAAATGGGCGGTTGCGTGGATTTATATTTACATCTAAACCTAGTCAGCGCGCGACATTCGAGAAATATTACCAGGTTCGGTGCATTATATGTAGGATATGTGATGGACTAGAAAAGGGCCTACATACCACAACTCTGAGTTGATCCGACGTTGAAATTCAAGCTCCGGCAATTTCTGGCATTCTGCCTCCGCCCCCCGGCTCCCACTATCTCCGCGACTGGTACTGATAAGTAGTTGCTGCCACATCTCGGCGAATAGAAGCGCCGGTGGCGGATGAGATGAAGCGAGAACGAATAATGTTGCGGGCTGGGAGTTTAAGTTTGAGATGGTGAGAAATTCGGGGAGATGATGATGATGATGATGGTGGTGGTGGTGGTGGTGGTGATAGTCAAAAACCACGCTAGCGCGGGACGCGTGCAAGTACAGCCACTCTGCAAAAGTGTTCGGGATTTAGCTTTAATGTCAGTGCGCAGTGTAGCGCACCCGTAATGTTGTTATTAATGTTGAGATTCAAAACAACGAAAAATATATAATATAGTTCGTGACTACAGCGATTCACAGGCATTTGGCGAATACACCCATTTGGCGAATTTGTATGTAGCAACCAGCCAGCAACCAGTCAAACTGCGAGTTTGACTAAGATATCCTGATTCTTATTGGCCGTGACCCCTGTTCGTCAAATGGGTGTATTCGCCAAATGCGTGTGAATCGCTGTATATATAAAAGAAGGTAGGTCATTGATCTTATTCGTCATTGATTCTGGGCGCCATTGGTCACTGGAAAAGTCTTCTCTTGGGGGGGGGGGGGGGGGGGGAGTTTGATGATCCGCCACGATTACATATGGAGAAATGTCTCATTCCGAAATCTAAATCACGAACACTTTTGTAGAGTGGCTGTATCTTCAACGAACTATACACATGCCCCATGTTTGGCATCGAAGCAAGAGAGGCGTAGACATATCTTATGCCATCGGTAGGAATAAGAGCGATGAGAAGGGACTTGGGATTAGGATGCGTCTCATTGCGAAATCTCGGCGGGGGCAGTTCGTATTTCGCAGTGAGTACAGTTTTATGATGCCATTCCTTACGACGGTCCCAGGCTAGTTGCGTGTCATAACCCGGGAGCTTGTGTTTATCACTGTGTACGCGTATCCCGTGCCAGGGAATAGATGCCACAAACTACATGTACATGTAAAGGAAAGAAAAGAAATAACAGCTATGAGACATAAATTCAAAGTTCATTTTTATTTTTACTTCGATAGACATACTGCATAGACATAGTTCACATAGTGTTTAGAAATTCTTATTTGAGAGTAATTCATGCGTGAAAACTTGGCAAGCTTGAAGACTTTGGAAAGATTGAAATTTTTTCTATTGAACGGGCGGGAATGTACACGTAGACAGGACAATGTGAACCGGATGTTTGTATCACTGTTACACCTGCATAAATCTTCATTCAGTCTATTGAAGCTAGTAAACCGTAAACCATACTACGAAGACAGGGATTCCCGAGGAGTCATGGTGCCAAGGCCGAGTGATATAATGTGAAAACGGGAAGCGAGTGATACCCTATGAAAGTTTCGAGTGATAGTTTATGACGGCCTGTAAATTGACTCACCTGTCAAACTACTACACAATCTCCTCTTCCTTTTTATTAAATAAAATAGGCTCGTAGTTACGCATGACTCGTTCCACACAACCAGGTGCGCACAAGCCTTTCTAATTAGTAGGGCTGCCCCGGGAGTGCACGGCTTTCCCCACTCCCAATTCGCACACGCCAACTCTCTCACCCCATTATCTTACCTTACATCACACCACACCTCGTTCTCAAGACTTTCTTTACATCAAAAGATATACGAACACTTTCATAACCGATAAAGCTATCTTCTTACCTTTGCAATGGCCGGACCCAGTAGGCAAGTGCCGTCGATCGAAGACCTCGCTGCAGGTGTGGATGAAACACTTGTCTTTGAGAGCGATGATGAAATACCTCTTCTCAGTAGGGAAGTATCTTTCTGGGATGATGGGACACCTATCATCGATCATCAACAGAATGTTCGGAGCATCGGAACAGGTGTTCAAACTAATCAACCACTTGCTCAAGCCAAGAAAACATCCGTTCAGGATAATATACTCGCTCAGATCAATGAAGCACAGCTCAAAATTGATGCATCACCATTTGAGCGAGATGCATATCACGTTAGTGATAGCATCAAACATGTTGAAGAAGCTGCAGAGGCTTCTGAAGAAGTCACACCTTCTCCAATGACCTTATTATGTGGAAAGGATGGCTGTGAATGTCTCATCAAGCACCCTCGTAAACCACGTATCCTACTTATGGGACAGAGACAGTAAGTTATATCATTCATTTTGCAACTACTATTTCTTATCATACTTACACACCATCTCCAGGGCTGGAAAGACATCTATCGTCGAATGTGTCTTTCGGAAGTTGCCACCTGAGGAAACACTCTTCGTCGATCCCACAGTCAAGATGCACAAAGTCTTCGTCACGTACGCTCATTCTTCCACTTTGCTTTTTTTTTTCCGTTCGTGCTATTAACAAATCATCATAGGTCCTTTCTGTCATTTATCATCTATGATGCCCCCGGTCAACTTAACTTCCTCGAACTCTCGTTCGACATCACCGGAATTTTCGACAACATCGATACAATTATCTGGGTCTTCGATGCCCAAACTGTTACAGGAAACACGAACACTGCTCCTAAGTTAAGGAATAAGGATAATACGAGTGATGGGTTGTGATGCGAGTACGGTCGGGTAACGAGGGAACAAGCATAGAAAGGTACCGAGGGGTGTGGGGGCACCGGGTGCAACCACACTAGTATTAGGCTGTTGTGAGGGCACGCTTACTATTGGGTGTCTCACCCTGACGGAATAGAAGCGGGGTTTATGGCTGCAGGCCATTCTACTTAGGGAAGTAGCTCTAGGACAATAGCATGATACAGCTCGGTTACTGGCAATTGCGGGGTTCATGGTTACGTGTCGGAATTAGAATGGAGGAACGGAATTATGCGGGGGCGCTTTTCTATTGGGGTTATCTTCGGGTTGATTGTCTTATCCTATTATCGTTATCTTATTAGTATTAGAAAAGCGGGCCTTGGCATAGGTTCCAATATGTATAAATAGGGAGGGTTCTGCCTCGTCTTAGTGGCATCATCAGTCACTCAGCGAGCGGAATCCGGTTTACAATATTACAAGTTTAAAAGCTACAGAACTATCGCTTAGCACTGGCATTTCCCCAAACACTATATTGTGCCTTATCCACTACGCTATTATTTTATCGATCGCATATTATCAACGTCCCGATAAGACAACTACTTGCTTAGACCAATACTTGAGAGTATTTTGTTTGTGGCGGATAGTCACCGTGCGCTCAAGTAAAAGAATAAGAAAGTAGTCTACTAGAAGGACTCTTTGATACCGTATGCATCCCCGAGTAGCAACAGCAGCTATTAACAACTTCACTTGCACTACCTCCTTCATCGTTCGCAGAGGCAGTGCCGAACATCTCTATTGCGGATACCTCGAGTACGCCGGGTTTTTTACCGAAGCAGGTACTACTTGCACGTTCGAAGAACACGACCCGGAGATCCTCAACTATCCCGAACTCTTCCCCATTAAAGTCACCCTCCGTCAGCAATCCTACGGATTAGCTCACTCCGTCCCTTGGTTCGTCGCTCAACCCTGGTGCAGAAGGCAGCCACAGCTCAGGATCGAGCAACTTAGCGATGTCAAGGGGTCATCAGCAACAAATGGAGGAAGACTACAACATGGAGAGCTCGATCACCGTGAGAGATCGAGGTATAGTCGAGACCCAGGCGAGACAGCGCCACAGGAGGGATCTGGACATGCCGATCAGCGACCTCTTCAGATCGACTCAGCCGGCCGCATCCTATGGCCAACCCCGCTCCCGCAGGCAAGGGGACTTCCGAGATTATTCCCCGTACAAAACGCCAATCAGGGAACGATCTTCTATTCCGAGGCCCTCGGTCCCCAGGGAAACGGACGAAGACGAGGATACGGATATGGACGTAGAGGAACGCCGGATCGAGCACCCCTTTGGAGAAATCATCGGGCAAGAAATCGAACGGAGAGGAGCCCCAGTGGTTCAGCAACTGAGTCGCGGACTTGGAGACCTCACTGTGAGCATCCAAGACCTGCCCGCAATCAGGGAAATTACTCGGCAGCACGCGGCGCAGCTTACCCGGCAGCACGAAGAGCAGACCAAACTCATCCGCGAATTGCAGATGAAGTTCAACCAGGACCAAGAAGAACGGGAGCGCCGAGAAGGGTATATCCTCGCGCAAGTGCGGGCAGAGACAGCCGCAACCACTACGAACCTCGGCCAAGTCTTGGAGCAGATCGTCACCACTACTAGGGCCCATCAACAGCGGCAGGAAGAGCAGGCCCAGCACATAACCATGCTGGCTGACTGGATTCAAAGACTGCCGAAAGATGGTCCAGCCCAAGTCCCAGAAGGCGTAGCAGCCACACTAGCACAATTGGAAAGGACCATGCAGCAGCAGGTCTCCTTGGTAGATGGGTTCTCTGGAACAAAGACGGCCTTAGAAGAAATGGTGGAGCAGATGAAGGAAACAGCCCGTAAAGCGGCTGCGGAAAAACCCCTGGCCCCGGAAACAGGTGGCGGCGGATCAGGCCCACCTCCCCAACCACCTCCCCAACAACCAGTCGTCCCTCCAGCCGGCTCCGAATCCAGTGAAGGCCTCGAAGACCAAAGCCAACAAGGGAAGCAAGGAGGTCAAGGAGCACAAGGTGGAGGAAATGGGAATGGCAATAAGGGAGGTAACGCTCCGGAAGTACCCGGATCATCGCCATCGGATTCCTCAGATTCGGAAGGCGAGCGCCGCAGGCGGCTGGAACGCAAGAAACGAAGACAGGAAAGGAAGCGCCAACGAGAGCAAGAACTCTCGCACCCCTCTCGTGCCACCGTAGGTGATGCACCCAAAAAGGCCAACATTCCCTTCTCCGGAAGAGCCGATCAAGACGTAAGGCTCTGGATCGATCAGATGGAAATCCTAATCAGTCTCCAGAAGAAAGTCCAATGGGATGATGGCACTAAGATTATGTGGGCATCCCTCGAGTTTACCGGTAGTGCGGCAAACTTCTGGCGGAATTTTACGGAGAGATTGGCTGTGGACAGAAGTATCGGAACCTGGGAACGGTTCAAGCAAGAGCTCCGCACTCAATATGGCAACCGTACAAGTCAGGAACAGGCCAAGCAGAAGATGGACAGACTCCGGCAAACTGGCCCAATCGACGACTACATCAACGAGATGCAGAACCTGGAATGGGATGCACGAGTTGGACCAGTTGTCATGAGATCCATGATCCTAACAGGAATAAACTCCTCGCTGGAACAGAGGCTCTCTAACGCGATTGAGGAGCCTGAAGATTTCGTGGACTGGTTAGCCTGGGTACGAAAAGTTGGACGTAAGGACCACGAGGTGAAGGCTCGGAAGGAAATCCTGCGAGGTAAAGACACTGTGAAACCTCGCGAGGAGAAAACGGAACGGCGGAAATCACGCAACAACGCAAATCCTCGGAAAACTTTTCCCACATCAGCCAACAACTCCAAGACCTCGGATGACTTAGGTGTCACCAAAGAAGAAAAGGAGAAATGGCAGAAGGAAGGAAAGTGTTTCCGTTGTGGTAGAGATAACCACTTCGTAAAGGATTGCGTGGCGACGAGTAAGGTCAGGTTAACGAACCTGAAGAGAAAAGAATATCCTTCCGGGAGAAAGGACCACGGAAGGGAGGGTGATAAGAAACGGAAATTGGGGCCACAAAATGAGGCATTTAGGGCAAGGATCACGAATTTGGAGGACTAAATTGATTGGGTATTTCTATTTTTGCGGTGTTTCATTCTATGTTGTGTTACGGCTTTTCTATTCTGTTTTGGAAGAAAGACTCTTCTAAGGGATCGGGTTATGTTATGTTCTATCGGTTTTGTTATTTCGCGCAATTTAAATTCTCTCTACATACATTTCGAAGAGGCGTGGTCACATTCCGAAAACGCCTGGCGTGAAAGTGTTGTACTATGATCTTTATCAACGCTCGAACTTTCTATATAAACTTCCTCGCCCCGCGCTCAGATCAAGAACAATCAACATCAACCCACTCACACCAGAACAATCTACCTTACACTTTCAAAACATACGAACATGTCTTCACATCACCAAGAAACCCGCCTCGAGATTGAGATCTCTTGGAACCACCCCGCAACTAGTACCCAACATGCAGAAATAGTCAACGCACTCCTCGACAGTGGAACAGAGGACTGGGTTATGTCCTGGAACTGTGTCCATCGCCTAAAGATCCCAACTCAACCTCGACCCAAGCCCCTCATCATCAGACAGGCTGACGGTACCCCTATGCCTAACTCCGGCACTCACATCACCCAATCTCTTACCCTCCGCATTGGCAACCATCTAGACAGAGATATCGTCTGCGAGGTTGGCTCATTCGCAGGAGAAGACCTCGTCATACCACATCGATGGCTCAAGGAGCATCAACCTACCATACATTGGGGACAGAACAAGGTCACCTTCGATAACATCAATTGTCAAGTAAAGGGATGCTTCAGAACCGTGTATGATATATACGAAGAAGACCCAGAGCAGCTGGTCATCAGGCTGTTGAGGACGTCACCCGAGACACAGATGATGATCGAGCAACACCCCTTCTGGGCAAGGGCATTGGTAGGTGAGGCTCTCGCTAGTGCTATACCAATGGAGTACCAGGACTTCGTCGACGTCTTCTCCAAGGAGGGAGCCGATCGACTACCTGATCACTCTGAATGGGATCATACCATTCCCCTTATGGAAGGAAAGCAGCCTCCATGGGGACCGATCTATGCGCTCTCCCCAGTGGAACAAAAGGCACTCCGGGAGTACTTGGACGAAATGCTAGTCTCTGGCAAAATAGCCCCCTCCACCAGCCCGGCAGCAGCACCGATCCTGTTCGTGAAGAAAGCCAATGGAAAATTGAGGTTATGCGTAGACTTTCGTGGCTTAAATGCTATTACGGTCAAGAATCGCTATCCCCTTCCACTCATGACGGAGCTGGCCGATTCGACGAAAGGAGCAGAGTTCTTCACTAAGATAGACCTGAAAAATGGCTATAACCTGATTAGGATTGCCGCGGGCGAGGAATGGAAAACAGCTTTCAGAACGAAGTACGGCCACTTCGAATATAGGGTAATGCCTTTTGGCTTAACCAATGCACCGGCGTCGTTCCAGGTCATGGTCAATACCATATTCAAGGATCTTCTAGATCAAGGCGTAGTAGTCTACTTGGATGATATTCTAATATATTCAAAGACTAAGGAAGAGCATACGACTCTGGTGAGGAAGATATTGGAGCGACTGCAACAAAACCATCTATACGGGAACCTTGAGAAAACGGAATGGTACAAACAGGAGGTAGAATTCCTGGGATTCGTACTATCAGGGAAAGGGAACCAGGTCTCGCCTAAGAAGGTGAAGGCAATCACAGAATGGTTACCACCCACCAAGGTCAAGGAACTTCAATGTTTCCTTGGATTTGCCAACTTCCTACGACGGTTCATCCACAGGTACTCCGAAGTTTGCCGACCAATGACCGATCTCTTGAAGAAAGGTTCCGTATGGCGATGGAGCAGTGAACAGCAAAGCGCTTTCGACGAACTCAAGGAGAAATTTACGTCTGCTCCAATACTACGACACTATGACGAACATCGTGAAGCGATCATAGAAACTGATGCGAGCGACTGGGCTGAGGCCGCAGTACTCTCTCAGGTGTTCGAGGACGGTATTCTACACCCGGTAGCTTACCACTCTCGCAAGTTCAACGAGGCAGAGGTAAACTACGAGATCTATGATAAGGAGATGCTCGCTATAGTTTCTGCTCTCTTGACTTGGAGACATTGGCTGGAAGGAACGGACATTCCTATCCAGATACATTCGGATCATCAGAACCTACAGTACTTCACAACGACCAAGAAGTTGTCGAGAAGACAAGCCAGATGGGCCGAAAAGATAGCACCTTTTCGCTTCAGGATTCATTACCGACCAGGCGAAAAGAATGGCAAGCCAGATGCACTGACAAGGCGCCCAGAGTTCGCTATGGAAGGGGGAGTAATGCGTGAACAACCTGTAAAACAGTTGCTCAGCGCAGAACAATTTGTCAGAAAATCACGGACCAGCGTAGAAACTGGCCCTGAAATCATTGGCAACCCCGAAGAAGAATGGACTCCGTTGGATCGGTGGTACGACATACCAGGTACTGAGCTGCCTCAGCCACTACAAGACTGGTATGAACAGGACAGACAATGGGTTCGGAGAGCGTTCCGGGATGAACCTCTCCCTGACGCAAACCTTGAAGTCTTCGGGACAGAGGAAGCTGATGCCGTAATAACGGAGCTTGCCACTGAATGGACCCCGGGATCGAATGAGGCCACCCACGATGGTCGTTGGGTAGTGCCAGGATACGCGGTGAGACAAGTCATCGAGGATCATCATGACAGACCCGTAGCGGGGCATCTAGGAAGGGATAAAACCCTCGAGTTGATCGATAGGAACTACTGGTGGCCAGGAATGTCCACGGATGTAGCCAACTTCGTCAAGACTTGCGATGTATGCCAGAGAGCCAAGCAACGTCGGAGACACTTGTCACTCCCTCAACCCCTAGAGTTAGCCACCACACCTTGGACTGATATCTCAATGGATTTCGTAGTAGAAATGCCAAAGGAGAAATCAGGATTCCGTAACGTATTGGTGATCGTGGACCGTTTTACGAAAATGGCTCACTTCATTCCAATGACGGGAATCAACGCGGAACAGACCGCTAACGCCTTTGTCAAGGACATTTGGCGCTTTCACGGACTTCCTAGGAGCATTGTCTCTGACAGAGGAACACAGTTCGTATCGGCATTCTGGGCTGCGATTACAGAACGACTAGGGATTCGCAGAAGACTCTCGACCTCGTTCCACCCACAGACGGATGGACAAACAGAAAAGACCAACCAGCACCTCGAATCTTACATCCGGGCCTATACCGCCGGAACAGGAAAGAAATGGAAGGACCTATTACCGATTTGCGAGTATGCATATAATAATGCGAAACACTCGTCGACAGGACAATCGCCGTTCTACTGCAACTATGGTTTCCACCCACGAACAGATTGGCCAACGGATGCGAAAATCGGACAGCTGGATGCCAAGGGAAACACCTACCTGGAAGACCTTCTCCTAGCCCATGAGTCAGCGAGAGACACACTGCAGAAGACTTTTGACAGGATGGCGTCAAGACCAGGGCCAGCAGTTCAGCGGTTCACAATCGGCCAAAAGGTCTTGCTGGATACTCGGAACCTCGGCGGTTACAATAAATGGTCGGATAAGTTTACAGGCCCCTTCGAGATCGTCGCGGCTGTAGGAAACAGGGCTTATAGGTTGAATCTTCCGGTAGAATGGAAGGTTCATGACGTATTCCACGAGATGTTGTTGCGACCTTATCGAGAAGATCCCAATTCTGGTAGGCAACAGAACACACGAAAACGACTCGCAACACCCGATCCTCAAGAAGCGCTCTTAGATGAGAACTTCAAACCAACCACGAATACTCGGCCCTACACACGGAGTCAAGGGCCAGTCATCGACTCGAGTCGGCCTCCGAAACGACAACGGACTAGGGAAGACTAGCTCGATACCTTTCCTACTCTATGACTTTTCCCACAGGGTTTTTATCATAGAGAGGTTTTAACGGTCGAGGGCGACGTCTAGGAAGGGGGAGTAGTGTTACAGGAAACACGAACACTGCTCCTAAGTTAAGGAATAAGGATAATACGAGTGATGGGTTGTGATGCGAGTACGGTCGGGTAACGAGGGAACAAGCATAGAAAGGTACCGAGGGGTGTGGGGGCACCGGGTGCAACCACACTAGTATTAGGCTGTTGTGAGGGCACGCTTACTATTGGGTGTCTCACCCTGACGGAATAGAAGCGGGGTTTATGGCTGCAGGCCATTCTACTTAGGGAAGTAGCTCTAGGACAATAGCATGATACAGCTCGGTTACTGGCAATTGCGGGGTTCATGGTTACGTGTCGGAATTAGAATGGAGGAACGGAATTATGCGGGGGCGCTTTTCTATTGGGGTTATCTTCGGGTTGATTGTCTTATCCTATTATCGTTATCTTATTAGTATTAGAAAAGCGGGCCTTGGCATAGGTTCCAATATGTATAAATAGGGAGGGTTCTGCCTCGTCTTAGTGGCATCATCAGTCACTCAGCGAGCGGAATCCGGTTTACAATATTACAAGTTTAAAAGCTACAGAACTATCGCTTAGCACTGGCATTTCCCCAAACACAAACCGAGTGGGTCGACGCCCTGATCCGCTTCCACCGCACCCTCATGATCCTCAAGGACCGCTTCCCCAACATGAACCTCGAGGTGTTCATCCACAAGGTTGAGGGGATGTCCGACGAATATGCCCTCGAGATCAAGGAGGATATAATCCGTCGTACGGAAGAGGAACTCATGGACAACGAACGCTCAGGCATGGCGATCAGGTATCATCTGACTAGCATCTATGACCGTACTGTCTGGGAGGCGTTGAGTAGGGTTGTGCAGAGAGTCACACCGAGGTTGAACGCCGTTGAGGGGCTCCTTGACTCGTTGTGTGAGAATACCGGGATGGTGAAGATCTTTCTCTTTGATCTTTATAGCAAGTTGTATGTGGCGACGGATACTAGTCCGGTGGATATGCAGATCTTGGATACTTGTACTCATCATATTGAGTTTGTGTCAGAGATGGAATCAATCTTTGGGTATGTGATTTCTGAACCAGCTTGTTAAATCGTCAGTTATTAATACTTGCACTGCGCAGATATAAGCGCAAGAAGTATATGGAAGAGCAAGAAGATCCGGAGTACAAGACCCCAGAGGTCTGCAGCATGGTTTCTCTCAATGACGGCAAGAGGCTGTATATGAAAGAAATCAACCAGTAAGTTGGAAAAGACAGATACTTGCTCGGTTTAACGCATGAGAATAGTGAAAGCTAACTGGGCATGCGTTGTAGATACCTTGCTATCGTAGGCGTTACTGGAAGAAGGGCAATGAAGCAACGAAACATTGTCGACTTCAACATTTCTGTCTTTCAAGAGGCAGTTCTCAAGCTGATATCCGAGAAATGGGAGAAACCTGCGAAGCCCTCAGAGTAAGGAATTTGAACACCGGAAAGTGTTTGCGATGAGATGGTGAAGTAATTTTCATATATCTCTTTTGTCGGCCAGGTCTTATCCCGAGATTAAAGATATATTCTGCTAGGGTTGTGTTATTGTGTTTAAAGTCTCCAGCTCTTTCTTTTCTTAAGCCTTACTCTATCTTTCCTTAAACCCTACCTTTCACTACCCCCGCTAGTACATAATGTAGTGGAAGATATTGTCCACTAGAGTTGGGTTCGTATGTCTAAAAGTCTCTTTCTTTCTTTTTACTCTTTCTTGTTTTAAACCTGCCCTTTGTGGCCTTATTCATCAATTTCATTTTCTTCCCTCTTACTTGTCTTTCTTTCCTTAATCCCTACTTCTCCTTATTGCCCTGATATCGAGTGTACTTAGCTTTGTCAGGTAGACCGTACTGGTCCACTACTACTTGTACCTAGCCTGAAATAATACAGCGTGCGACTTGAAACTCAACCGCACATGCAATTTACCACGCATGGTAGACTAGTTATCTCACAATGTTAGGTGCCCGTGACTCCGAACACTGGCACCAGGTGCTCCCCGCCAGCTCTTACCCACCCCCCATAGATGATGCCTATTTCACCGCATAATATTATGTGAAAGTTCAAAGCCTCTATGCCACCGTCTTGCCCTCATCATAGACGTACGACTATATTTTAATTTTTACCTCCCATGGCCAGCTGCAGCGTCCACGCCGGAACTGCCCAGAATCAGTGGTCGGTTTTGGAAGGGGTACTTCAAAACCCATCGCAATCCCCCAGACACAGGATTGATGGGTAATGTTTATGTCGCCGGGGGTGTGGATAATCTAAATAGGAACGATATTGTACTGTCTCTACTCCTCATCACCTACTGACCCTAGTACATCCCGGCATCCCTGGCGAGTTTTGTATAAAGTAGCCTCTCTACTGTTCTCCGTTACTAAGTAGGTAGACGGGCTCGGATACAGCCAGTACATACCCCGTCCGTAGTAGCTGCCCTCCATGGCGTCAAACTCAGTCAATAATCCTACTCCGAACCACACTTCCAGTTTATAATACTTTCTCTGACTCTGTATACGTCTTGGCGATTCTCTGTGAAGAATACAGCTCTCCAGCCGCTTATATAGTACCCCAGCCCCATTGAAGACATCGTGGCGTGGTCGAGGGGTAATAGCCTCTACTACGTTGCATGACATCTCCGGTTCAACCCGGGATGGAAGCAGTGATAAGAATGCCCAACATGGTAGCGACGCTCTTGAGGGATGATACTGATCACGTAAGTCTTTTGTCACTCGCTTTTTCTACTCTTTTTGCTACATGCATGCAGGGGAAGTATACAATTTATCGCTAGGGGAATGGTCTAGGCAGCGAGCATGACGAGTCTGGTGAGGGCGGAGATCTTTTGGCCTGGGTTCATTACTTAACCACCGTTTATACTCTCTTTACCAATGAAAAACATCCACACCCACCACGATAGGAACGGCTATGCTTCGGAAGCGTAATTAATATGGTCAGCGTTGCTCTGCATAACCTCCCCTCTCTTACGGCACTCCTGAATGTTCCCAGGAGGCACTCAGCTATACCCAGGATCGGACAAAACCTTGGAGCTTCCAACGTATACGGCGAACACAGGGCATATCCGAAAGTCTCTCCTGATTCTACAGAGGTCTTCTATCCATGAGCACAGTTAATTTCGTTAATTAATCTGTAGGCGGGAAAGAAAATATGCAATTGTCCGCTAAGAACCATTAAAGATCATGCGGGCTCGGAGACACTGCGTATAACATCGGCAGTTGTGGTAGAAGCGGCTGGGTGTTGCCATTCCAGCGGTGAGCACCGGGGTTTAAGTAGCGATGTGCGGTCCTCGTCTCGTGCTGTGCAATGATAGGATTGCTCAAAATATTAGCATTGACATTAACGGTCCTCAAAGTGAGGATCAAGTTAGGATCAAGATCAAGATCAAGCGTGCTCTGCAACCAATGAGAGCTTTGATTTTTGGAGTCAACTTTGAGTACCCTAACTGTAGTAGCAACAAGATCAAATCAAATTTCCAGGGTAAGGGTTGTCCACACAAAACTTTTGGCGAGGAATGAAATTTGATTTTGATCCTAAGTTTTGATCCGACTTTTTTCAGGATCAAAAGCTCAACCAAGATCAAATTGAATTTAGCCGGTCGGTCAATCACAACAACCATCTTTACTTGATTTTGATCTTGATCCTGACTTGATTCTCACTTTGAGGACCGTTATTATGATGAGGGACAGTAAAGAAAATCAAAAGAGAAAAGGGGGGGGAAGGCTCGAGATATATAGTGCTCTGGGGTGGCCGTCTCTGCCTACCGCGTGGAAAATTGGTTGTCAGAAACTCATCATACACCCATCTTTGCCTGAGGAATGGCCGCTTCTTATTCTCCTCTTCTTTGTACCCAAGGGGGTTATTGGTACAGTTGAAACCGCAAGGACATAATTCCGGACAACATGGGTCCTTGAAAACCTCGGAGTATGTAAAGCACGCGAAACGTAACCCTAACCTGGTTGCTGGAATGTCGGTGCAACAATGCTAGAAACCTACGCGCTCGAAGAAGACTACAATTGTATCGCCCACGATGGCGCAGCAGGCTCAGAGTCAAAATGAAATGAACAAAGACAGAGGGGTTGCATGACCCCTCTTGAGGAACCGCCTTGGAATGAGCGGAGGAAAATAAGGAAAATCTACCGTCTCTTCCTACGGAGGTATGATATCTATGTGTGTCGCATCCAGTCCTGTGCTCGTTCTCTGCATCACTAACAGAGCTTTCCTCCCTAGTCATACTACCTCAACGGGGCCAATATCCGTCTCTTTGGATGTGGGCTAGACCATGGGCGTGTACATCGAATATCCCTGCGGGGGTGACCAATATCACGAAGGTCTCAAAAGCCTCATTAAATACCGCGCTCCAATGTAGTGATCAGTGCTCAATCTTTAGGAGCACACTCTGCTATTGGATCATAAGACGAATGAAGAATTTGCACATTGCTATGGGTAGGAAGGGTGGGTGGTCGCTCTATTTCTATTCTTTCGCAGTAGCTAATTTATTTATATGAAGGATTCCATTGGGACGATTAGACACCTCAGATGCGAGGTGGAGTTCTTCCTTCTCCTTGAGAAGGCGGTTTATATATCGTTCGCTTGCCGCCGACACCAATGAGAAAGAACTCCGCGAACTTGAATCATGGAATCGAGCTAAGGATATAATAAAAGATGAAAAAGGCGAAAACCGGTTCCTGGCGCCCAAAAGGCCAGAGTGTATCTCTTTCCTTGGAAACTCATTTTACACATACCTATCGAAACCGGCATATACTTCTCTGTTGCACGAAGGATACTCGACGGAGCTAGAATATGGTTCTTTCTTGCTGGTAATATCAAGGTGGACACAAGTCTCAGCAGTCAAGACGCTTGCGAGCTTATCCCACACTCAATATCAAAAGCGAAATACCATAAGCTTGATATGAAGAATATTTTTCTACGCTTTGCCTATAATAGGAGTGGGGTTGACTTCGGGCGAGCATTTCCGCGTGGCGGTTTCAATTTAGAAGCTGTTCCTTCCACCTCGCGACTCGACTTTCAGTTGCTCCGGAGTCTAGCTCTTGGCAACGACAAGATCACGTGTTACGGCTCAACAGAACATTCCTCCTCCACCTCACAACAGCGGAAACGAAACGTCAGAGGTTTGGGAGGACTTCTGTGCAATTATGCTCGGAGTTTGAGATACGGCGAAAATTTCCTCCAGATATTCAAAGCTCTGGAGCTTGCGATCCTGCGATCACGAAGTTCTCGCTCGCCATCCTCGGTAAGCGCGCGTGAAATATCACTCGATTTTTCACACCGCGCCGTTCTCCAACCGGCCGCCAATAAATTTAGTTAGGGGAACACCTGTTATCGAACTGTAGACTTGAGCGAGGGAATAATTAAAGAGTTCATTCCTTGGGCTTTTACATCCCCTTTTTCTTTTACACGACGGACTCAGCCGTATCTATCTTTTTCTTGTTTCTGAAGATGGAGCACTCAAGTTCTATACTTCGATTTATGATCACGAGAACTAGAACCATCAGCTCACCGGATGTTAACAACTTTAGGTTTCAATTGGGCCATGGATGACCACTTTTTTTTGTAGAATCTCGCTACTAGGTACCAACTGAGAACTACATGTAATACATATAGTCACTGACAGACAGATACAATAACATTAATAATATAATATCGAAGGAGCAATCAGGTCATACAGCAATGAGGAGGTAAAATAGAAAGGAAAAATGGTTTCGAGTGAAGTTGGCACCTAAGGGTTCTAAAAGATTTATTTGCGCACTTGTCAAGTGTAAATAAAAGTAAAATAGAGAACTCTCTGGCGGGGAATTGAACCCCGGTCACTCGCGGACGGCTTAATGACAAGCGAGTATACTAACCACTATACTACCAAAGATTATTTGAGTGTCGAAATTAGCATATAAGAATCAATTTTTCTCTCGCCAACTCAAATCGCAACACGCAGAATCCTGCATCCACAACACAAATAAGTCTGTCTTAAATAAAAATTGGCTGCCACGATAAGGGTTCCGTATTTACAGTAAGGGGCGTCCGTTGTCTTGGCGTGGATCGCGACCGACACCACATCGCCGCTCGTCATCATCGGAAGAACGACTCAACATCGTTGACACCATGGAAAAACTTGATGCTCGAGTCGTTCCACGTGGAAGACGGGCTCACCTCCTCGCTGTGAAGTTACCAGGGAAAGACTGCGCTGCTCGGTAATTGAAATTTCTGAGGTTTATCTAGTCCCTCCTCTTTATATCTAGGCATGGATATAGATGGTATCAGAAGCCTAGACCGCCTTAGGCTATGGCGCAGAGTTTAGGTGCCATTCTCATTCCCATCCCCATCCCATTTCCAAGCTTCACCTCCGGTCATTATTTTGGCCACCATGACACTTCTTGATCGCTGGGATTTTTGGTTGTTATCCCCCGAAACTATTTTGCGAGGCGCTGAAAGATACACAGGTGAGCTAGTGAGCACATAGGAGGGGGGCGCTGAGCTTTATGGAACTTCCCTAGTGCTCGTTTAGGAATGAAATAATTTCTAGCTGGCCATATCCTACTCTTATAAAGACCCAACTCCTCCCGTCGCATCTCTCCTCTTATCATGGGAATATTATTCTTCCTAGCATATCAACCCAGTATCGGGAGACATCTCCCGCACTTTCGGGGGTTTGCGTAGAACTTCTCAATTAAACTTCATAGACCCTCTGAAGCTGCCTCTGCGTTTGAGAAAAGCAATAGGGGACGTGCGAATTTGGATCAAAACACAATTGAGAGGTGGGTAGCATCGATGCCTTGCTCATGGAAGGTCTCCGATTTTCCGCACTACCCTATACATTAATCCTGAATCCTGATGAGAGGTAAACGCGGTGCTCGGATGCGGGTTGGCGTGACCACCAAGATCCGCCTTGTATACCGGATGAGGCCATTCAATTCATCTCCCCGAACCGAGGACAGCCTGCCACGGTTACGATAGCTTCCACTATTTCCTTGATATTTAAGATCTGCATCCTGTGAATACCGAAACAGCGGCGGCGGTGTCTTTAGGCCCGCTGACTATGTCGCGGCAGCCGGGAGTGGGCTGCATCAGTGAACCCAATGCTTTATTTCCGCCCTAACCAATTTACATGGTGCGACCAACAGTCAAATGCACCTAAGATTTTCGACCTCGTGGGGTGGTATTCGGAGTTCATCTCAGAATCATCTCTTTGTACCGATATCGGTCCATGCGATTTCAGGGTCTTTCCTCGACATCCATCTGCCTCCAACTTTAATTGTCTCGCCATTATAGGGATGCTAGATTCTAGGGCGGCGTGGCGATGATATCCGCAGTTTTCCTTCTTGAACATTTCATCCGGAGTCATGCGTTTCTTTCAATCTATTTGAATCTCTGACCATATCAGTACTTGAAGTGTCAAAGGTTCGAGATGAAGATCATATACCGATTCTCAAGACACGTGGAATTTTCAACGCAGAGTTGCATCAGGATCTGCACCGATATCAAGGACATATCCCCAATAAGATCATTTAACCTCATCACAGACCATCAGTCGCAATCCGGTTCTTCTAGATGGCAGCAACCATCTGACCTAAAGATCTGCTCTGCGGTAGTTATAAAGACGGTGGTGGCTGTCATCCTTGCTTAGTGTTGGATGTCGACGATAGCGAGATATGATAGTGGCGGAAAAGATAGTGTGGGCTGTTAACCAGTAGATGATCATGGAAGAGCGTCGGTATCGGTGGTGAGTGGTGAAGTAAGGTTTTCGGTAGTATGAAGAGATTTGTTTCTGAGCAGATAACCATGAACAGACTTCACGTCCGGTCGTAGTGAAGGTAAAGATAACACAGCGAGATTTCTGGGCCAATGTTAGTTGCGATGTGACTCTGATGAGTTACTGGAAAGGAGCGGGGGGGATGACAGGACTCACCAATCAATCTTGCTCTCGCATCGTCTTACATAGATGCGACCGTATCGTACTTTCATAGACCAAAGGTTGCTGAAAAAATACAGAAAAACCACCTGCTGTCACTTGCGGATATTTGTTTAGTGTCGGCGGTTGACTATCGGTGGTTGAGTTTTTAGGCTCTGTAAAGAGAAAGAGTACCCTAGTGTGGTTCGGAGCGTTGCTGTCTCTTGGGTGGTTGAGCTGTTTCTCTCGCGCGCAAGTAACCCTAGCCCTAGCCAGAGAGTAACCAGTCCGCGGTTTTGAGAAACAGTTTGGAACATAGCGACAATCACGACAGAATATTTTCCCTCCACCTACAGTGCTCTTTCTCCACCTTTTGCTTGGAATAAGGCTTACTAAATACCTAGACCTTCGGGGATAATACTGGGAACGAAGTAAATTTCGAGGAATGGAGAAAATAGCACCAAGAGCATCCAGGAAAGAGCGCCAGCGGCACTGAGAGCGTGTATCTCAAGTGTTCCACAGGAGAAGATGGCTTAGAAGATTTTAACCCCGTACAAGACTCTAGGTATGCGCCAATGCCTTCTTGCATGAACAGTTAATTGAGATTCTCCGAAATCCTGCGAATACACTTGCTAACGAAATATCAGCTCCAGTGAAAGATCGTGTTGATGCGGCCTGATGGTCATCCCCGCTTCATACTTGGCAAAATTGAAGGCAAAGAGAGTATGGAACCCACCTGTGTACACTCTTTTCGGTTCTTTAGTAGCCAGTTACTAACCTGTAAACCTTCGGCAGCTTTACACTTTGTACAAAGGTAGCCTTGACAGGGGAGGGAGCCGTTGGGTCAGATTTTTTCAAATGCTCCGACAAATCATGGATCAACTAAACGCAAGCCCATGGAGCAGGAAATTTAGTGCGGGTCTCAACAAGCGCATAAACAAAAGTCACTGTATTGCTTCGGGTTGGAAAAGGGATTGGGCCAGCTGTGACAACAGCTTCCTGAACGAATAATTTAGGGAATAAGGAAAATAGGAAGATTAGCTAGTATTCTCCTCGCCGAGTCATCGTCGGCCATATCTGGAGCCGCTAGCGGTGGTCATAGGTTGTTTTTTCAAAGCCCCTAGGGCGGTGAAGGTGGTGAAGGCCAGCCCATTGAGTGGTAAATAATGCGGGTGGAACCAAACTTAAGTGTTGCAGGAATGCGGAAGATTTCTTTATGGGAACATATCCAATGGACAAAGAATGGCGGGCATGTATAGACAAGAGTTGTATAATACTTTACCCTCTTTATTAAAATAAATAACATGAGGAACGTTTTGGTAGCGTTATTTCTGAGTAGGATAATGTACCTCTATGTATAATCTAGGAGGATCACTTAGCAGACTCCGTGGTGGATTGTTTATTGGATGGGGAATTGGAAATGCTGTTTAGGGAAAGGGGGCAGAGTGCGAAAAACAAACAGTACGCAGCAAACGCCTGTGGATAAACCGAAGACCGGAGTGGCCTAAGTGAGCTACTTTGGAAGACGGGGAATAATCGTGGGAGGAGATGATATATACGTATACTCGTGCACACTCGATCGCTCGGCCATTGATTATAGCATGATTCACCCCTTCTCTCCCGCTTCTAACATCCCATTTCTTTTTTTTTTTGAAAGCTCTTGTAATTTTGATAGCTAGGTCTCAGCTACCCAATTATCTTTAGAAATATCAGCCACCCTCGTTAGACTCACAATGAACTCATTGTGCTATGTAGATCTTGCTATTCGCGACGACCCCTCAAGAAACGACCCTTTTCATAAAATTCGAGAAAAACCCCAAATACTCAACAGGCCTAGCCCAAGGGAAAGTACATAATAGATTTGCGTTAGAGACTCTAACTGTTGAAAGTTGGCTATTATATACTCCCATCTCGGGGTTGCTGCGGTTGCAAGGTGAACCGCTCCCCGCCTCCCAAACCTGACCACATAATACCATCGCCATTATACCACCCTTCTTTCCTCCCTCTTGTTTCCTCTTGCTTCGACGTACTCTACCTATGTAGAGATATATATTATTTCCATGCACCTCTTCCTTCCAGTAGTCGAATCCATGAGAATTGTTTACAATTTCGGCCCTTACCCAGACTTGGGCGCTTTCGCAGCTTTTGACTCTTTCACAGCCTTGGACCTAGGCTTAGGATAGTTGATAGCGTCATCAATGATCTCCAGATATTCCATCACTTCTTCCAAGGTTGGAAAGTACGGGGGAACCAACTCAGAATATTCGCGCCATCTACGCCCCCATTTCTCAGTAAGCCTCGAAAGTGGGCGATGGGTTCTACTCCGTTGAATTTCGATCTCCAATGACCTGTCCAACTTTCCATTGTACGCGGCGATAAGAGGCCGGTCCAAATACGCTCTCCTCGCTCTTTTCATCTCCTCGGTCAAGCCCTCCGCCTGGGAATGGGTAAGGTCCTTCACACCCGTAGCGGCATTGATCAATTTGATAAGATCTCTAAATTGATCATTGAACTCCCTTACAGATCGCTCAACGAGAAGATTCTGGAATTGTTTCTTGAGGCGCTTGAGGTCCTCGTCAGGATGGTGTTGAAGGATAAACTCTCTTTTAAACTCTTCCCAGTTTATGGTATCCGAGTATGCCAATGTTCTTCCGCGGGCCGATTTCCGATTTCCTGGCCAGCGTCGGCATGCCCACTCGTACGATGACAGCCGTAAATAGCCTATTAAGTATGCTGCCCAACCGTCGGTGGAGCCTGGAGTCGATGATTTGGATTCGCGGTTGGCAAAGATCCGCTCTGCTTTATCAATCCAATCGCGAGCTGTCTGCTCGTTTATCTCTCCGTCATATGGCACCAGTGTCTCCGGCTTCAGTCTGAATCCTAATGTAATTATCTTCCCTGGCGTTGTCTTTTCTGGTTCTGGTTGCTCTTTAGCTGATGCTATTGCCCGTTCGACTACCAGTTCGACTGCCTGTGCTACCACCTCCTTGTTATGGGCTTCCAACTTCTCCCTACTCAACTTTATTCTGGGGTCAGAACAAACTACCAGCTCCTCGCCATCCAACGCCCCGTCTGTTGACTGTTGAGCTGGGCTCTCTGTCTTCACGATAGGCGGTGTTTCTTGTCCACCAGCTTTAATCTCAGCCTCTGGAAATTTCATTTCCATCTTGTGCCGCGTTTCGTGTGCTTCATCGACCAGGGCTTGAAGCATTAAGGGTGAGAGAGGTTCAGCCGGGTTTGTGAAAAGGTGTTTTACTCCTCTTTCAACAATGGCTTTTCTTGCCTTATAGAAGTCTGAGGTTCGCTTGTCGAATGGAATGGAGTAGTCAAGGGGTATAAGAGTCATGATGATATGCCTTGGAATACTCGTTTATAGAAGGATTTAAAGGGGTGATAATAGTTTCTTGAATGAAGATCGTTTGATAAGAGGTATTTTTATTGACAGTGAATAAGATGGTTAGGTTTGTGTTATGTGTGGTAAACTTGTGGAGTGGAATGGCCCCACTTTGTCATAATATACTCGTTAGGATGCTCCCTAGTTGCCAGGTTGCCTTACATAATTATCTATTCTGTCTGCTTGCGTCACAAAAGTTCCCTCCGTGGCATTTATGGTTTGATCTGGCTTATTCGTCTCCCCGTCATCGGTTTCTATCTACTTAAGCTCCGGAAGTGGCCCCCTACAATTCATTGATCTAAATCTTCACAAGGCGCAATCCCATGCAAAGATATAAATATAGAACTTGTATTCACTTTTACCCTTAGTTCAAAATTGTTCTCACATTTCTCAATTGGCTGAGAAGGCAATATACTAGGATCACGCATGTTTGTTTCAACTGGATATGGAGGTTGCGCAACAGCGTGGTGTAGTGGATCGAGTGATATCCCGTGATTAACTTACATGATATTTTAACTGCAATGAAATCATTTCTCGCTTACGTTATACTTCCAGAGACTTCAACAGGAAGGTGCAAGGCTGCCTGGCTGTGAATTCGCCTTCAGAGTTCCGGAGGAGACCCCGTCCCTCTTTCCCACGCACACCACAGGTAGGTGTCCACCCCACGTGCTCATAAGTAAAACACCCGGATCCAAGCTGAAGTTCACTGTTTCGGGAAATACTTGCTCACTCTAAATTCTGTAGGTACGGGATCGAAAATGGACATTTTATAGATGTGGACAAACCTAGTTGTAGGGTTACAAATACATGTCGTCATAGCACGCCGCGGATATCATGAATCCCCCCCACCCGGTGCTAAGGTCTCGCACGCAATGTGGTCGAGACAAGGGAGACTACAACTTTCGAATTTCCATACCCTGGAAAGCTCCTCTAAACTGTTATAAGATTAGTACCCTACGTAAATATTTGCCAAGAGCCGGAGGTGGAAAGGAATGGTGCTTCACGATTTCTGGACCGTTGCGCACTTGGAAATCCCACTTCGTACCAACTTACATGTAATCATGAGCCCATTCTTTTGTGCTTCAGAAAAGTGTTGAATTTAGAAGTTATATACGGGATACTAATTTCACATTTACAAGAGGTTACTAAAAGTTTGATTGATATCCGACTCCACATAGTGATTCTGGTTTTCATCTGCTTTATTGCTTATAAATCTTTCATAACTCCAAGACCGCCTGTAATCTAACCCTCCCCGCTACAATGTCCTAACAATATAATAGCACTCATACCTACCTGTCTTGCTGCCGAACATTCGCTGCTACCCCCGCTTTAACCTACCTACTCATTAGTATTACGATGGCCTTCACTCTCTCAATACTCCTCATCCTCATCCTCATCCTCATCCTCATCTTCATTCTCATTCTCTCCATACTCCTCATCCTCCTCCTCCTCCTCATTCTCTCTCTCCTTCTCCAGATCCCCATAAAGTGTCTCTAGCTCCTGCTTCAACCTCCCCAAATAGCCTTCAAAATCCACAATATGCCTCTCCACATGCGCCAGATCGCCACGCAAAATGCGCAATTTATTCTCCGCCTCCTTCTTTTCCTCCCGGATAAGGGTCTTCAGAACTTGATTCATCATGACCTCGGGGGTCTTGAGTAGGAGGTAGTTGCGAGCGAGCTCGGGGTCTGCAGCATCGGCTTCATAGGCGGCGATTTGGCTGGTGAGACGAAGACGCATGTCGTGGCAGTAGGTGAGCTCGGCGAGTTGGCGGCTCAATAAGTCGAGGGCGAGCTCGCGGGCTTGGTCTCGTGGCATTTTGAGCTGGGGTTGTTGGAGGGTGGTTGAGTAAGGCGGTAGTTTGGAGTTGTTTTTGGTTTGTTGCAGGCGTGTTGTGAAGAGTGTGTGATGATGATGATGCTTTCTCTAGGAGGGAGACGTGGGCGTTTATATACCAGGTTGATGGTGATTCATGTGAACATTTATTTCAACCTCTACAGCCTACGAGCCGGAGGTTTCAAGTATAAGTTTTCAAAATCTTCAGATATCTTGAAGTTTTCAAACACCGCTAGATTGTAAATTTCAAGATAACCAACGCATCGAACTACGAAATCGTTCAAGTGTATAGTTTTTCAAGATTCCCACGTCCCACTATTCGGAGCACTCGCATAACGGCAATACAGGATACTGCCGGTAATAATCCGGCCGAAATCTTGAAACCCCAGTGCTTTAGGGGATCCGGGTTGCCGTAGGTTCGCAGAATATTACTCGCAACCGGCAATCGTTGACAGCGGAAGATAGCGCTATAGCGCTCAACTGTCCTTCTCCAGTAACTAGGCGTACGGTGATGAACAGTCTGCCCGGATACCCTATTTTCCCGGCCTCCGAGCGCTACATCTACGCCACTTCTCCTCTGGCTATCCGCCATCGACAGTACCCATTGCAAAAGATTCAGGCCAGACCTGACAGGTTTCTTGGATACCGGGTGGCACTGGGTTCTGAGTTCACTGCCGAGTGCCGGTCATAGGAGGCTACAGCCCGAAAAAGCGGCTCACATTTTACACGTTATATTTTGACCACACTCAATGATGATTTGACCGACTCGAGCATATGATCGATTGAATCTACACGTTTTTAATATTTATTTTATGGGACGCACATGGTAACAACAGTCAGAATGGAAACAAGTTAATACAGCACACTCTCGGTGAACTTTTCCCGGCAATCAAACTATGGATGCTATCAGCTCCATTCGTTCGTTGGACATTCTTGGCTGAATTTTATTTTCCCTCTATCAGATCACCCTCAGATAGCGCCTCGTCTCACAATAACAAATCTTCTGCGGTCCTACGAATAATACCATCAACCAATGCCCTCTACCTCTCTCACTCCGTGTCACTATCGGAATACAAAAAATCAATCGTCCACCACCCCAGCGCTTGTGAAAATACGCTCCCAGGCCCACGGCTCCCATCCTCAGGAACACTCTCCTCCTCCTCCTCCTCTTCATAATCCTCTTCCTCCGGGCCCCACATTGCCATGGCGTCACCGATCCTCCTCACGCCTGCCCGAACCTCGCGATACCCCACAATAACGCGTCTCTTCTCGTTTTTGAGCAGATCAAGTAATGATTGTGGGCAGTCGCCCGTGCCTTGGAGCAGCTCAACCATGGCGGAGATGTGGCGGGCCATGCGGAATCTGTGGCCTACTTGCGCTCGAAGATAGTCTTGCCCGAGGGAGACGTAGGTGTGGGAGCGGCGGATGGCGGCGGCGGAGTAGGACATTGTGGTTTCGTGTGGGTTGTTGAGAGTAAGTGTTCTGGTGGTATTTGGGTATGCAGGTTTTTGCTTCTTGTTGTTGGTTCTTGTTATGTGTTGATGATGTGTTTTGTGCGATGAGGGGGTCGGAGAGTGCTGCTTTTATTGTGGGTGCGGATATTCAAGTCGAACCCAGGCATGGCAACTTGAAAATCAACACGATTTTTTAATAATCTCCCCGTTCTCAACTTTTATGAGACTTTCAGAACTTGTAAGTCACCAGCCAATCCGATGACAGGGCTCCACTTGGCTTAACGAATGATGAAAGTTTAATCAACGTCGCGACGCCTTTTGGTTTTACGTGTAGTCCTTCCTCCCTACGTTGGTAGAGCTCTCGATATTTCTTTAACGCACACGCCTCTTTTCTCCGAACAGAAATTTCCTTTCCTCGGATATAGAGGATAATATCTCTAACGCAGATTCTTTGCCATGATAGTTCTTCGAGTAAAACGATATTGCCCTGGGAGGATGTCAGCATTATTCCCAAGTGTCGTTTTTTGCGACATCCTACCTATTCATGTGCGAATTCCGAAATAAATATCCCCCGAGCCCACAATATCAACCGCCGGACTTTTAAAGACTTGCCTGCCTTTTATTTCCCATTATTTGAAAACATTTAAGCACGACCCGCCTTTCATCCTCTCGTCCTCCCAGCTATCTTCCTATTCTCCTAGCCCTCCCAAAGGCACTCAATACGGTAGCTCTCATATCATTAAAATAACCCTGTAAATATGTCAGCCTTGAGTCTAGATCGAATGGCCTTAGTGAGCCATACAAAAATCTCATATTAGCCCCCCCCACCTTGGGACCATCCATCGTTTTTTCCAGGTCTTCCAGCGGTGCTGGTGTACGCTTACCAACCCTACCCAGTCCGTGTCTCCACCGCCTGTTGAAGTCCAGACGCCAGCGGAAACACAAATTGTGTAGGGAGATCGGCGCGACGCGGTTGCGGTGCTGACGTCCGGGTCTTGTCGATGGGCTCATTTTAGTGGAGTGCCGCAGGGAACCTGAACGCGGGAGATCAGGGAGTAGGTGTGGTGGAGACCGAAGGTTAAGGGTCGCTGAGTCTGGTGATCTGTCAGATCTATGCGATGTTACTCTGGGTCCTGTGGATGGCGAAACACTCGCGGGTAAGCTTTAGGAGCTAGGTGGTTGGGACTGGGAAGGCGAGGCGAGTAAGGCCCAGGTCACGTAGCATTAGTGAGAAGAAGGAACGTAACGTCAGCAGAAGAAGGAAGTTATTTTTTGGTTGATAACCCTAACCCTGATTTACTACGGTAGTCCTGCGGAAAAGAGAAGGATGCAACATTTTAATTGGCTTAGAGAGAATTTATAAATGATCGGTAAAAGAATCATGGAAAGTTACCTGTCCCTTCTTTGGTCTTAACCTCCCACAAGTCGCGTAGAAAAAACGTCAACGCTTCAAGCTGGATGCGAGAAAAACGCCAAACTGTCGTTTCCTCTGCACCTCGTCGATCTTAACCATCACCTACGGCGGTCTCTGCCCTGAGGATAATCTATGACAAGGACTAGCTGTAAACTTTGCTCTGAATTCTAGAGTAATGGTTTTTTTTGCTTGATTCAAGAATTGACTCCTCGTAGCTACTAGCTCCAGCTCTATCAGAGTACCAAGAGCAGAGTTCAGATGAGGCAATAGAATTTCGTTTCTTGCACAAAACCTGAAGGAAATCACTCACATTTGGATAGTACAGTACTAGAGATCTATGTTTTTTCATGGTGTTTGGAAGAGAATTTATATGTAGACAAACGTAATTTTCACGCTAACCCAAGGAAACCGATAACCCGAGTGAGATCGTATGATTATCTGCTACATCAACCCATAATTAAATTCCGCAGTCATACAAATTTCAACTTGCTGTAAATTTTCTTTCGGTCCGGTATCTGAGCTGTACGCATAAAAAGAAAAGACATGGCACCCTGTGGGTTATTGTTGACAGTTTGCCGTCAAGACGCCCCTCTCTTCGCACTGTTACCCGAGAATTTCTTTGTTAGTGATAACGGATTGACACTCGTACAGCACCTTGCGTGCGCCGGAGCCCTCTGATTGGCCAAGAGCGGAACCTAACCCTGACATCTGCGTGGCAACAGGCTCACCCAAAATGCCACCCCCAAATGCCACGGAATGTCAAATTCAACCGCGGCACTATTATCAAAATAAAAAAGACCCCAAGCGGTACGTTTTGGGTGGTTATAGTATCTCTTCTTTCATACACAAAAAAAGAACAAAAAGTACTGTGCGGTTCCGGGACGAACTGGCACTACTCCCACCCCTGGGTCGAACCCTGGCCTTCTGTGATCGAAAGCAGGGCTAAACCTCGCGGTGTTCTTTGGCGAGGGCTAAACCGTTAGACCACTCGCCCATGTGTGTTGGTGGCTAGAAATGGTATTTGTGCGCCAAGGATGGTTGGCTAGTTAATATGTACTACAATCCGTTCTTTTGGTGTGCACATTTTTTTTCTATTTCTTCTTTTTTTTGCTTTTTTTCTGAGAGAAAAGAGTTTGAACATGAACATTTATATTATACACGAAACCATAACCACATTCTGTGGGCCAAAGGCTCTGCTAGTATATTGGTGCCGTCTCTCCCTCTTTCCCTCTTAGCCTTCTCTCTCTCATTTCCTCCCCCGACAATTTACAACAGTTCCAGACATCGTTCGAAAACAGCTTCCCACCTTCCCCACTTCATATTCTCTCATATAAACGAGTTGCAATAGGTCAGTTTATGAATCCCCGCTGCACTTAATTTACTTTGTGCTCAAACATTATCAATAAACTAACTCCACTCCCAGTCAACAACACATCATTCCCTTCTGTGTTGCAATCCACCAATTGTCCACCATGACTCGTAACAAAAATAAATATAAAGGCCGTAAGCAGATCGAGCTTACCGACTCTGTGCCTGTCAAAGTCGAGGGCCAACCACATCGTGCCACCGGATTCTCCCCCAACGCCGTTGTCATAAAGAATGAGCGTGAACTCCACGATGCCTCTCAATCCATGGCGGACGAAAAGTACATCAAGAAGGAGGATCAACAGCACATCAAGAAGGGGGATCAACAGCACATCAAGAAGGAGGATCAACAGCACATCAAGAAGGAGAATCAACAGGACATCAAGAAGGAGAATGGGCAACACATCAGACAGGAGGATGGGCAACATATCAAACAGGAGGATGGGCAAGACATCAAGAAGGAGGGTCAAAGGCGTCACACTACATCTTCCAGTGCCTTTTACCCATCATCACATCGTGACCTCATAAAAAAAGGGAAAGAGATAATCTATACCCCTACATCCACCACCTGCCCCTCACCCAACCCCAGCACATTCAAGAGGGAGTACGATGGCATTCCATCTGGTTCATCCAAAACCGATCTTGCGATGAAAGAGAACCAGTTGCATCATGGGTTCCCATCTTGTACCTTCGACTCAGACGACCTCAATGCTGCCATGAAGGAAAATCGGCTCCATCATAGGTCAGCATCTGAGAGGTTTGACTCGTATGGAACGGATAGCATGTGGAAGGAGAACCAGTTACACCATGGCACCTCATCAAGTAAATATCGCTCACATGACACCGATCTCATGAGGAAGGAGAACCAGTTGCACCATGAGCCTCAAGCTCAGCCGGCAAGTGTGCGGCAGGCTTATGTCCACCAGCCTCCTGTCTTACCACGTGGGTGGAAGCCTCCAGCAGACCCAGAGCCGGACCGTGGAGCGGTATAGTTCTCTTCCTTTACATAGTTCTCTCCCCATGAATACTAATATACTCTTTATCATAGACATATACTATCCCAAATTACAAGGATAGGATGCTGTGGCCTGCCTCATTGAAACATTATATTGCGCGATCGTTCGAGGATATTCTGCCAGAAGAATGGGACCCCGTTTACAGAGAGCTCCATGCTATCATTTTGGAAGCTTGTAGAGATGATATACAGCTGTGTGTTGATTGGGACAAAATGCCGCTACCCAATGTGATTCGGCACGACATTCGAATTGCTGAACTGAGAAAGTTAAAACAGGAAATTGCAGAGCTTGATGAGTTGCAAAGAATTGAGGATGAGGAAAGGGGGAAAGTCTGGCTAAAGAGAAAAATGGAAAGAGACAAGGAGCGTGCGCCAAAAAGAGAGACAGTCGGTCCTAGCTCACCTCCAAATATCACGGCAAAGCATAAGGAACACATTAAATTGGAGGAAAGGCAGAATGATCAAACTAGTCCTGGAGGCAGAGGGTATACACAAAGGAGGCAGCAGGCAATCAAAGCTGAAGTTTATGATTCCGATGATTCTGATCATCTCAGCGAGGCATGTTTTAGACTTTCTGACAATTCGGAACTCGACTATACACATGAACCCCACGGAATCGGCGCGTCGAATCATCCCGAACTTGCGGCAATGAGTGGTTTAGACTTGAAAGCTACAAAGCGCCAAAACACAGATTACTCTCTTTGGGATACAGAGCAACTCCACCCGAACGACTCGATCTCCCAGGTTGGGAGTCAGAACGGTTGCGAAGATTTACATGATATGGCAAGCACTTTTCGAGGTCGGAAAACATTTACCTTCACCAATAACGAACAAGCTTCAGGCATGAAGACTTCCTACCAATTGGATGATAGCTCCGTATCTTCAATGGCTCTGGATGGAGGCGTTACTGTTCGTTCGGCCCTCTCAAGTAATCACGATTCCAACGGAGGTGTAGCAATTCAGCCAAGTGAGAGAAACACCCAAGACAATCGCAAGCAATCTGACGCAGATCCCGGACAGGGAGGAGGCCGCGTTCACTTTCAGCCGCGTGCGAGTCAGAAGAGCGATATCAGGTCTACAGGTTACCCTTCAAATGATAGACCAATTGCTGGAAGGAACTCACATTCAGGTTCCATTAAAACTCAAGAATCCATTCATACCCAGGGATCCGTTCGTACTAGGGGATCCATTCATACCCAGGGCCATGGTCAGAATCTTCAACAAACGGGAATTTGGCGCGCTTACTCACATGCAAGAAGTCAAAGCAATAGTTCGTGGCATTCCTATACTGCCAGCGACGTTGCTCGAAGTGACGCTGATATCGCTCGCAGACAGCCCGCCAGGACTCCAATTACCAAAATGGAAACCATCGATCTGATGGAGAGCGATTTGGATGGCGTACTTTGAGAAACTTGGGTCACTGTTTGCCTGTTGCTTGAGTATATGTCTCCATGTAGGAAGATTAGTTTGGAGATTTGATTCCAGGTACATATAAACCTATATGATTTAGTCTCTCTAGCTTTGTATATCGCTCGTTACAAATATCTCATCGAATAAATCCACAGAGCGGACTTGGTTTCTTGCATGATGACGCCATACAAACCTTTTTTCTCGCGATATTGAAGCTGTGAGAATAAAGTGTTTTCAGATAAAGGCTGCATACTAATCCTACCGAAAGGATAATTTGGAGACTCGGGGAAAGATGAAATTCGTTTTAAACTGCTCGTGTTTGAGCTCACAGATATCTGGCTGGGGGAGCCTTCCTACCATGAGAAACATCCAGTCTATATTCCTAGGCCGGAGAGACCGCTGGGAAATGGAGATGTGCCGTTTCTCTGTTGGGTGATTCCGGTCCACACCATTATAGGACTCAATTAAGACAACATCACGTCTCACGACTTAAATCTACACTTAAGCCCAAGTGCATAAGTCGTGAAGTTGGTCTTCAGTCTAACCCGGTTTGCCAAGAAATTATTCTGCGAGTGATATTCTGTGAGTATATTGAATTCCAAACCCCGTTCTAATTTAGTTTCGCTATCGGGGAATGACTTTATTGGCCTAATTGTATCTAAGCACATTTACGTCCGCAAAAATACCCTGCTTGCTTGGGCGTGGATTATAATTTGCAAGATAACACCCTGGGGTGTAGGTACATGTAGGGGGTAGGTGAGACATCCCAACCATAGTACCTTGTGGAAATAGATACATTGAGGAAGAAAGGTGGGAACTAGAACAGGAAACAACTACTGTCGTTTGATAGTGGGCCCCAAAAAGCGGAAGTAATTGTGGATCCGATCCCCGACTCGCTGAATAAGCCGGCTTCACCAGCTGTTATGGGAGATTGGTTAGTTGAAACCCTAAGTATATGAGGGCTGCAATTACGATGTTCAAGCTCACAACTAAGAGCTTTGCATTCAAGTCGGCTCCGTCTCACGATTGAAATTAATTATATACATATCTTGAATGAGATTCTATATCCTCCAAATTATCGAAGTGGACAATATAAAATGGCCGGACTACCTGCTCAAGTTTTGGTCTTCATTCAAAACAGGAACCCGCAATCATGATCTCTACCGCATACAACTTCTTTTATAGCGCCTATCTTGACCACAAGATTGAAACGCTTCAGCGGCTCGTTGACAGTGATCCTGCGATTGCTAGGCATAAAGTTCTTGAGAGACGTATCCTAGAGGTTCATCTTAAAATTATTGAACATACCGATGAGATTGATGAGGATGCTGATGTGTGGGAAGTTAGACACCTGCATTTGGTTTCTCAAAAGGAAGTGCTGGAGGGGGTTCAAGTTCCCTTGACTGAACACGCGAAGGAGTTACTATCCCAATTGGGGCATTTAAAGTTCTCGAAGTGGGTATTTGAGTTGCAATTGGGGCGCAGGACTGAATGAGAGATTCCGGGCGGAAGTTGGAGTATGAGTCTTATAAAGAGCCAGACATGGCGCTACCGTTAGGATTGCATATGAATAAGAACGACGTTAGCTTACTGATGTAGTGAGAAGGATCTATCACAATGAAGACAGTTAATTAAACATTTTTATCCAATGAACCACACTGCAACTTGACTCCCCAGAATTCTTGATGATCTACATAGGTGAATAGCAGGAAAGAAGATAAGATTGCTGGTTATCAGTTCACATATAAAGCATGAACACTACCGCCAGCTCGTATATAAAGGCACCGGTCCATCAATTACAAACCGAAAAATAACCGCCCCTGAAGGAAGTAACCGTAGATCTGTCCTTCAATTCTATGATTGGTGATCGTAGTGGTTTGCTACCAATTCATAGCCACGATATTCTTGTGACTCTATGAGCACAACGCGGACTGCCGCACCATATATACGGATCCACCCGAGCCATGTTCACGAGCAGGTCCAAGATATTGTCGCCGCCCGTGTAGCAAAGAAGAGGCTGTCATCTCTCCGGGCAGGGCCATACTCCCCTGGAGGCTTCAACCGAATAATGTAGGGGAACGGTAGGATACGGTGTTCAACTAAGCTGATTTCTAATACTCATGTTAGTGTCAGCTTTCATTCTTTCTTTTCCCACCAATGTTTCGCGTCTATATGTTCTCCTCCGGCTGTAACCGGTACAGGTGTGTTTGTTACGTCCGGGGGAAGTGGAGAAGCAATAAAGCCGGTGGTGTACATACCTACTTAAAGGACATCCCTCCTTCGATTGACACCTGATTGAGCATACAGCTTGCGCTTCAAGCTATTTAGCACGCCTTAAGCCTAGATGGTTGGGAGACGAGCGCGCCTTCCCCGTCTATTCCAGCAGTCAAGCCCGGCGACGGCTTAATCGTGTGTGTCATCTCCAGCCCCGGGGGCCGTTCCTGTCGTGGGCCGTTCCTGTCGTGGGCACTTCTGACCTAGGCGTGATTCTGTGATGGTGAACAAAATCTTTTTCAAGACGTCCACGGTTAAAAAGGTGTTTGCCGAGAGGCAAGTTGATCTGGTTGTCGTCCAGGGTGAGACATGCGTCGGCAAGTCCCGAGGCCAATGCGTGTCCGTGCCAAGACTCCCGGTGGTGCGGCTACGATCACCACAGGGAAGTAAACCACCAATGTCTCACACAGCACGACATGCCATTCAACCACCGACTCCTACCTCGTGGGAGGATTATTTCTACAGCCTTGATCAATTGAGTCGCCTCGGTCACGTTCACAAAAGTATCAAAAGGACAATCTCGAAATGATCTTGGCATCATCGACACGCGCCCGCACACCACCGCCGACTCCGAATCACCGGGCCATAGACAACCAACCACCAGTCAATGGTACCATCGACATAAAAAATGACACTCGAGCTGAAGAAGAAAAGGAAATGAGATGTTATGTCGGTGCCATGAATCGAACATGGGTCCTCTCGGAACAGTAATTACAAGGATGGAAATCCCTGTAAACCCACAACGAGAAGTACTAACCACTATACTACACCGACTTGTCGATGATGGGATGAAAACGAATTATGAAGTTGTTTCTAACAGCACATTTAGCAACAACTCTTTTTTTCGCAACGTCTCCCGATCGTTCCGTTCACTCTTATAATAGCCGAGCTCGTGATCTGTGGTTCGGGTCTGGGGATTTTATCACGTCGGGACTCGAGAAATCGGCCACTGAGCGAACAGAGCGAGAGGTTCTTGAATTACTTCAAGATATCTGTTCAGGATATAGGTTTTCTGTATTAGCCTTTTAAGTGGGAAAGGATTAGCGCACTGAAACTGCTCGGTCAATATAGTGTTCTTTCAAATCACTGAAAGGCATGGCGACAACAATAGCCGTGTCGCACGGAAGCTAAAGTCAAAAGTCTCTTGTCTACCTGCAGCAACCCATACCGCCTAACTACGAACCCCCTTAAGCTGTCGGCGCTGAAATCCAACAAAAGTTGGTGCGAGATCCACCAATTAAGACGAGAGCGAACGAGGTTTGTTGGCATGAGTCGCACTCTTGGTTTCGAGTGTCTTCATCTCACTAATCGATTTACGCATATAATTAACGTGAGAAATTTCCGATGAATTCTCCAGATGAGTATTAGTATGTACTATATCGGGGAGGTTATGGTTCATGGATTCCCTCTACCTTATCATTACCGCGGCCGTCGAAGGTTTCTTTTCAAGGCAATTAATTCCACTTTGGAGGATTAAAAGTAAGCGATTTACTTATGGTTCAATTAACTTTGTTTTTCATTCTGATCATCCTCTAAATTCGCAAACTCATCTAAATTCCTGCTCAAACTCGACTCAACATCGTCTAAATGTCGATCTAACTAATCTATAATCTCCAGTTAATTCACCTCGCACTCCAACCACTCAATCACCTCCATACTCCGACGCAATCTTTCACACCCTAAACTCCCGCGTTCTACTCCAAGGCGGAAGAAGGAATCGCATGGATACCCTTCGTACAAAGCTCAAAAACATATCTACGCAACTTCAAAATTCTCACCCTTGTGAGAATCTTCTTTGCCCTACCTGTCAACGGCTCACGCAGACTCTGCAACCGGGATTTCTCCAGCAGATGTTCGGCATTCTTGGCGGTCCACACCGCAAAATTGGCGTGGCCTCCCTCCATTTCTGCGTTGTTTTCGGTGATCCGCGTGTTTATGTCGGCAATGAGGACATCGAATTGACGTTTGCGGGTGATGCTAGTGTCGTTGGCAATCTCGGTCTCAAGCCTTCTGATTTTGAGGTCGATATAGGCAGCATATGCAATTCTGAACAAAGGAGACATGGTAGGCGGTGGTGGTGGTGTGACGGTGTGCTTGATGAACTGCTAGATTAGAGATATTGATGTTGTTTCTATCGTTGTGGAGTGCTTATAGTTGTAGGTTAACCTTTTTAATGGTATAGCTTGCGATGCTGGTGATTGTGGAGATGGAAGTGGTATTGACATATAATGGGTACTGGATGCCGACTACTTATACTACGGACATGAAATGCTTGCTGTGTTGACTTGGAAAGGTGGATGCTGGTACGTTATTCACCTCCATGAAAGATTATTCAAGCTCTGTCTATCAGTTTACTAACCATGAGAATATTCAGCAGTGTGCAAAGAGTATTCAAGTGAGGAAGGCCCTCTCATCCTTACCCCAAAGTCGCTTTGGTCTTTTTTTCTAGTTATACAACCAGGCACCTAGCTCATTCCCCGGTCATTTCTTTATCGGCAAGAATCTTTACCTCGAAACATGATGCTTAACCACACCAAGTATCACATGGGGGGGTCAATATTTCTGGAGCTATATTCTCAACGGCATACTAGCGACTCTCCACAACTCCAGCGATCTAGAGAGCCCAACTGAGCACCATCTCTGACCGCCTTTCTTACTCCCGCGAAAACCAAGGTGCCGGTCGCTGTTCACACTGTGGAAGTAGAGATAAGGGAGAAACGAGGCCGCTATCATACTCCCAACAAAATAGTTCACTGCGTAAAAACGGACTCCTTCCCTCGTTCAGCGGTGAAGGCCTTGAATAAGGCTCAGACCGGTCAATGCCAAGGACGCGCATGTCACGGCATCATCTTTATATCTAGCATCGGATCGCAAATTCTCATGATAAGCTGGTTCGGATGATTGTGCACCCTTCTCCCACCCTGCAGACGAGGGCAAGCGACTTCTTCGCCCCCCAGCTGTTATGCCTGCCTCGATTATCTTGTTCATGAGGATCGTTCCCATTAAATATGGGAGAAGAGAGATTTCGGTTAGCGGAGCTCGCAGGGGGTTTCCCGGGCAAATACAAGTACATTTAGGGGCTCGAACGGATCCGCGCAGCTTTGGATGGAAAAAGCAAGATTCATGAATTATCACTCGAACTCCGATTTCAGTTTTTTTATAAACTTGGTGCATGAATTCGGCTCTAAGATCAACGCTTGCTTTTCTCTTATAGGGTTTCTCTATTCTCAGCTCTCAATATAAGTCTAATCTATCATCTATAGTCCACTCTTTATCTCTTGTCGAATCTTTCCTTAACTCAATCTATCCCTAGCCCAATCTCCACAATATTCGGTTAGCTATAAGCGTACCTGTCACCATACTTACCTGTCAGCAAGCCCTCTAGTCACGTGGAAGTCGATTCAAAACGTGGATCGCCGCCCTCCTCTCCACATACATTCCAAACACATGTTTCTTCAATTTATACATCCGGATCTTCAACAGCCGTCTTTGCGACTTCTCCGGCAACGGCGTTTTCCTGCTCTCAATCACCGCCTTCTCCGCAAGCAGCCGTCTATTCCTCCCAATATTCCACAGCTTCCGGTCATCGTCGCCGTCAAACTGTACTTCGTTCTCCCTGATCTTGGCGTTGACTGCGTCGATTTCAGCCTCGATTGCACACTTGGCTAGATAGAATTTGTCCTTTGATTGTTCGGCTTCTAAGCTTTTGATTCGGCTGTCTAAGAAGCCGATGTAGAGGACGTTGAAGAGAGGGGGCATGGCGTGGTCGTGTTTGTAAAGTGATATAGTTGTAGTGTGGGATACTTGGAGTTAATACGGGAGAGTATGATATTAGAAATACTGGCGGGGATGAAGATTCTTTTAGCATCTATACTTGAAATGCTTGTGGTACTGTTTTGATAGATATGAAATCCGCGACATATAATGACCGCTTGATAAAGGTTTCAGTATTCAAACACTGTTTGCACTAGGTATGAATACATCGGCTTTGTATCCTGCATTTCCAGACAATAAGAGTTCGTATCAGACTCTGCAGCAAACTCCGTATCCACCCCAAAATTGAGACAATCCGCTCTGCAAATCTTTCCACAGACTCTGAACAGTTCCCAATTTTCCTAGGATGTTCCCCATTATCATGAAGAAGAGGTGGTTGATTATCTGCTTGCTTCCAATATGCTACACACAACCTTCATATCACCCTATTCCACTAGGCTCGTCGTGTCTGTGGTGGGTTTTCTACCTTTATCCCATGCAGCACCCTCCATGCCCAGAAACCACTGTTGATAAGATTTCCCAACTATCAATCTCCCCTATAATTCCAAGCCACCGCTATTTTGCTCCCATATAGCCACCGCTATTTTGCTCCCATATAGCCCCCGAATAACCACTACCGCATCCTAGCATGCCAATACCGGAGATGAAAGTCGCAATATTTGTCTTTCTGACTATGTTCACCGGACGGTGGAATTCCTATAGACCATATATATGCAGAATCAGTAATACAAGAAGACTGTATCTAGACAATTTAGAAAGAATTCACAACATGTTCAATAGTAACACCTAAGACAGTTAACAGGTGCACGAAGAAAAAACGTAATGCCAGAGAAACTAAACTAAACCTGATCGTTGCCCCGTCCACTCCTTAACCTGAAACAAAAGTACGTCTCATACCCAAGTGTCATGCATACCATGCCTCCGGAAGGGATGCCGAGTTCGTTATTGGGTTCACGGCTCCTTCGATGAGTCATAGAATATCACTCGGTCGAGAATCATCTCCCCAGAGATCGCTTATTGAGTTATCCACTGCACAGGAAAATCAACTATCATCATTTTAAGAGTCTAAGTACCGGTTTGCGTCAATAGTGGTTGGTTGACGTCAACGATGTCGACGTAAATACGGTGCTTGCACCCTCCGCGGATCTCACCCCATCTCATGTGCTCGTTGAGCATTCAAGAGAGGTCCCCACAGGACCAGCTCTTCACCACGTGTAGACAATTATGGGCACCATTTGCCGTTTCTCAAAAGCTCTAAAGCCTTCGGGAAAATACAAGTTGATTGAAATGGAAATTCATGAAATACCACTCGATCCGACTCTACTAATAATTGAAGCCTAATGCCTGAATCTGGAGGGAGCAGATAACGTGTTAGGCCCAAACAAAGATTTTTTTCACCGCGAAAACCCCGAATGAAAATTTACGACGCTGGCAAGGGCAAATATAGAATAAAATGGCTTCCTCTTAACACGTTTATTTTGTGACCAACACCTACGACACTACTACATCTTGACTGATTCAAGCCGGTCTTGTACCGGAGGTATTGCTGTGGGAGTATATTCAAGACAAGAGTTGGGAGATAAAAGTTCAAGAGAAGCTATTGTTTTTTGGGAGACGGTTCTCGGGCTTTGCCCTTTGGCGAGGTAAAGAGGCCCCCACTCTTCCTACACTCATCCCTCTTTGCCAAATATGCCACCCCGGTTCCAACCAGCCCACCCGCACAGCTTAATGCTGAGGTATCTACTCAAGACAACCCGGATCTCCCTTAACGTACGGAAAGCAGCCAGGATTATGGAAACCGAAAGCACTCCAGTCTCGCAGCCTATCCTAGGGTTGGAAGCACACCCCCGGAGAAATATTATCTCCTTACTAATAACTCAGATATCTCCCATCAGCTAAGGTAATTCTTTGTGTAGGAGGCATTCATGTGGTCTTACTCGCTCTGCCTCTCGCTACATCGCATCTTTTATCATGGGTTAATTCAAGGCATCCCCAAAGACCGGAAGAAATCTTGATGAGATGGAGGATGGTATTCCGCGCGAGTTATCTCTCAAGGACCTGACAATTGCGAAACCAATCAATATCACTCCAATCAATATGTAAGAGACATACTTACCCCAAGCATAAAGGGAGTAATTAAAGCGCGGGCAACCGGACCCAGAAGGTCCGGATTGAGAATGCACGTCAGGTTTATCACTCCTGGCTCCTGAGAGAAAGAGGATTTGCCGATTTGCTACGAATTTCGTGATGATGAGGAGAGGATCTAGGGGAGATTGATGGTTGTATTTATACGGATGTTGAAGCGATGTATGGGGGGTGTCATACATGTATGTGGCCTATCAATGTGCACGGTATCTTTCTGAAGCAACAGATGTCAACAGTTGGTTCAATATCTTTATGTGTTCGTAGGAGATGAGGATATATCGTGTCTTGAAAGGAGCAGCGTACTGCCGTACAGGTGTACATTCTGTTCCATTCGGCTGTCTCTACTTCGGGAATGGACTCGCAGAACTTAAAGAAAACGAACCCGGACTTTTGCCTACTATACCACTCTGAGGCTTTTAATTTAGCATCCTCATAATACCGTGGGTATACGCTCTCACTGCCCTAACTACATGTACGACGAATCTGCTAAAAATCACCTTATTACCCGTGAAACAACACATGAGCAATGAGTTCTGTTTCCTTTTTCAATTGCTATACCAACGAACGTAATGTGGGCAAGAGGTTTATATTCAACCCTATCTGCGTTGCCCAAATTCTAGAAGCTTATTCTACTGCTCCTAGAATATTGTATAATCATAGTAACAATTGTACAAAACCATGTTTCTTAGGCTTTCCCTAAACATGTCAAGTCCAGCGTAAGCTGAGTTGAGCTTCAGCCCTGTACGTCTGATGTAAATAGGAAAAGAAATCAACACAAAACTAGTTGCAAAATAGTTACAAAGGCCGTTATGCCTAAACGCTTTATTAATCATCCGTAATAAGGTTGTTTTGGGAGCCTCGGATTATCAATCGGCACTCCGGGTACATCAAGCCTTGTGTGGTTGGTCCAAAATCCGCCGGTATGAGGATTTATCTCACCTACAATCAGCTTTACCAAGCATTGTTGCTTCTCAGTGAATACTGCCAGTTTGGTCTCAAGGAGAGCCAATAGAGCCTTCACATCGGCACTGTTTTCCTCCAGTGATGCATAGACCCTTTTGGCACCTTTACTTACATACGCATTCTCGCGAAACCTCGACATGGTGAGCTCGCCATCAAACACCTGTCTTACCAAGGATTTCAAAAGACGGTCGTTAACCTTTATATTCTCATATATTTCGTCCATCTCCTTAAGGTATTCATTCAGTACTTCGTCTGAATACAGCGGCATAGGAGGAGGAACATCCTCTTCGGCCGAATCACATGAAGAGGAATCCGATGGTATCGATGAGTTTTCCCCGGGTGCTCCGGAAGAGGGCATCAAGATACCTGGAAATTCACTCCCCTCTTCATCAGTTGGCTCCGTTGCGGAGTTTCCGTCCGTAGAAGCGGGTGGGTATTTCTCCCTTGAATCATTATCTGCCCCATCTACCTGAGGGGTTTCTATCGGTCCTTCGCCTTGCGAGCCGGATGGAGGAGAATCGACATTTTTTTGATAGAGTTGAACGTTATCGTAGTTGCCCAATCCGCGGAGCAATAACTCTGACCGGTACGAAAAAGTGTCTATAGGTACATGTACATGTTAGCACAAATTGTTCGTCCTCGTTACTATGCCTTAATGTCCCACCTAAGATATTCGCAAACCTTTTAGGCCCTTTATGATGGGGATAGCTTTGTACTGGGCTGACTTGGTTTTCCAGTAGAGTGGGTGGCTCGTGGTCATGGCCTCTATACCACAGCGTCCCGCCTACGATATTTTCGACTGGCTGGGCTTGTTCCTCAGACCCTGAGCTTTCTAATCGGTTTTCTGACTCTTCCAACGGCAAAAAAAGCTCATCATGATCCCCGCGGCACAAAACCGTCCCACCTACGATATTCTCACATCGGTTATGGCTGTTAGGTTCTTCTTTAAGAGTAGAGCTTTCTACTTGATTGGCTGATTCGGTCAACAATGTACCAGCACTCGATACCTCTGCGCGGGCGTATTTTCTCAACTCCTTCTCAAGCAGTGTTTTTAGCAGAGATTCGATGCTAAGCTCCTCTGAATTATTCAGAGAGATATGCGGTGATACTGCACCACCTTCTCTGGAGAGTCCTGAATCTTGATATTCATTAGTCATGCTGTCGCTTGAGGTTATTCCCGCAGGTATGGTGGTTCGGCCACCACCGCAGCTTTCCACAGCATCAGTTATCTGTTCTGTACCTGTGGTTTGCGGTAAACCTGTTGAGCTTGAATGAATGCCTGATATTCCCTCACAATCAAGGCCCACTGTACTTTCCTCTACCCTTGTTGAAGTCGAGATCGGAATTTCATTTGTTTCCGGTATGTTGGGTCCATACTCGCCGCGAAGTTCCACGTCCACAATATCCTTGTCGGCTCCCTTATTCCGAGGGGGGCTGTGGATGGGCATCTCATGTCCACATCTATAAAGTTCCTGATCTGAAGTCTTTTTCACTGATGCATCATACAAGCTGTTACCCCAAATCTCGATCCCCTCGATCATCCATTCTTTCTTTGGTGTGCGGAGTATTACTGATGCGGTGTATTCATTCCACCTCTCTTCGCTCTCAGGAGGATTTTTAACCTCTTCTAGCCCTAGCGACGATAACACTCCCTCGGGCACCAGCTCCGTTGGATGGAGGATTAGTTGAGAACCCTCAGGCAGATACCAATTAGGTTCATGGTCCGAAAGGATTTTCGCGGATACTCCGAGTCCGCTATCACTGAAGTTGCCCATACCGTCGGTACCTCCACCTGTGACTGTGGGAAGTAATAGTGGTGAGATTGGATAATTGTAGGGTCTCTCTTGGAGGTAAAGGCTTCCTCTAACTTCCCGAGTCTTTGGTGAGACTAGACCTATTTTGTGACATACATCGTCCCCCCCGGGAAAATGTCCTGTTGCCTCTGGTATCCTAATTTCATCTTCGCCAGCCAGGTCCGGAACCTTGAAATCGCTCGAGGCGCCTGGTATCACTGATACTGGCTTTGCTTTCAAGGTTTGGGACGCAGGGACATCTGTATGACTTTGCGGGAATCTAGCTGGTCTTATTGTGGCATTGTATCGTTAGCAGATGCGGGGAACGGATCTTTCTGCCTTGATTTCATTTTGAATGATTATGCTCACAAGAGGTTAATTTCATCTACACCACACGCTTTCTGGCCGCCCAATTCCGAAAGAAGATTCTTGATTGGAGCTGATAGTGATTCCTTTTCTGATACAATTGATGGTGGTGTGCTCTGTGTGTCTAAACCCATGTTGTGCGAATAATTAGAAAAGAATATCGATGAAGTAATGTGTGAGATGTGATGATGATATGTAAAGCTCGTTTACTGTAAGACTGCTGTTCTTATACTTCAAATCTGAATTTACTGATACGTGTTTTTGCTGGGTTCGGAGATGTTCTTAATCTATCAGAAAGGCCAATACTCACCACATGTAACGTTAATCACAAGGTGGCATTCTACCATGCAGAACGTGTTCAAATTCAGATTGCGTCTCGGTACTAGAGTTGGTATGGAGAGCACCGACCTGTCCGTATGAGAAAGGACCAATGCGATGATGTTGAACTACGATAAATTCCGTAGGTTCAACTGCACCATCTTTCTGGCATTTTATTGGTTACTCTTCGCAGAAAAAATGGTTAACAGAGTCGATTTCCCCGCAACAGATGCCCCTAGCTCGAGTCCTAAACTACAATCTACTCGTTTCGAGGGTGATTCATGGAACCGACCTTGTGGAACCGCCTCAGCCTCAACACAACAGGGTTCCAGTTCATTGTGAGCTCCATCGGTCAGAGGTGAACTGGTCTATAGGTCTAACAGTGAACAGGAATGTCGAGCTCTCTAAAAGTAAACCAGAGCTGAATTATGAACGCTGGTTGGCCAATGAATACTCCCCCGACCCTCAATATATATGTAATTGGTCTTCCTGCGGCAAAATGTTCCCAGCCCATACCCAGCTCCCCGATTCTCGGCGAGAGGACGGGGGACCTCTCTGTTTGTGTCGGATATTCTCGACAAAATTGTAAAGGGACGTGCTTTCGGCGGTTCTTTAGTTACAGAAGAAGGATTCTAAAGAGAGCAGTTTTGTGATCGCCAAATACAAAATGTTATAACGGTGCACTGGTAATTGAGAAATGCGAACACAAATAGTTTCGGGCTGGAGATTTATTGGTGATTTGGCGGAAGGTGCAGTCTTTTCCAGATCCGAGAGAGTGAAACTTGGCGCCTTCGCCATCGAACTAGATTCGTCATTGCAATTGTCTAGACAAGACTATAGATCACTCTAGTATCCTTTCGAAACTGTGTTTTAATTCTGGGGCCAAATTAAGATCAAAAGAGGACTCTCCGAACACAAATGTTTTGAGGAAAACATTGTCTGGAAGAAAATCGAGCTTGCGCTGCCGGTTTACCGGTGTATTATAAATCGGTTTTGGTCCTCGAGCTCCCCAACCCCGAACACACCCTAAGTAATACACGTAGCTTATGCTAACAAGCACCCTCCAATCTGCTTATTACGCCGACGTCTAAGAACTCAAAAAGTGTAAGTTCAACCCTCATACGTCATTTATTCCCGCTAGTGATATTACACCTCCGGATCAAGCCGAGCTCCCTTGAAAGATCATTCATTATCACTCGAGCATAAGGTATCACTCGGGCATATATAATCACTCGGGAGTTTTATATCACCAATTCGTAGTTCCTCCAGCTGAAGCTAAAAGAATATCTTCAAAACGAGGTTTTCATTGAATTCTGATACTTTCTCCGTATTCGAACTGGTTCATAGTCGACAAGTTTAATCGTCAATTGAGAAAGTAATAGTAAGTAGAAAGAAGCAAGCCCCGTATGCTTGAGTTACGAGAAATTATGGATATAATTTGAAATTACGCCCCAAAGCTTGAGGTTTGGTGGGGTGTATTATGGCTAAGGCCCGAATCAAAAGGGGGAGGGCGGGCAGCTGGGTAGCACACCGCCAGTTATGGGTGAGCAGGTGGAGATGCCCCATGAAACAATTTCAATTCTCCGACGAAACATCTGCAGAAAACCTCCCCCCATCTTTAAAAGGACGTTAACAGACTGAGAAAATCCCATCTGTTCCTACTCGCTCTCTCAGTCCTCATCTGAGTCGACAGCAACAGTTTCTGAAAATAGGGATCGCAGCCTGTCCCCGCGAAATTTCGGAGACAATTTTTCACCCAAGATTAGCCACCCTTATCGGAGATTAACGCTGCTCGCCACTTATCCACCGCCCGCCTACGAGAGTTAGCAAATTACTTTCTATCCTCTCCCTCTCTTTCTCTCTTTTTTTCCTCTCTTTCTCTCCTTCGCTCCTTCTCTCCGTCTCTCCTTCTCTCCTCTTACCCTTTCTCTCCTCCGGACCCTTCCTCCCCACTTCATAAAATAATCATCCGAACTCCAGGAGTCGCTATTACAAACTGAGCGTTATCCTATTACCTCTAGTCTAAATCCATTAAAACATCGACCCAAGTGTATACCGGTCTAAAGTGGTGAGTTCTACATTAACCTGCAACCCCCCCCCCCCTTTCTCCCGCATGATCATCCAAACTCAGTCCTTGGTAGAGGGCTGCAATATCTGTGCTGCCTCCTCTCTTGTCTAAATAGGTGTTAATCTAGAGGAGATTGATTCTGTAGGTCTACCTTCGAAAGTTTCCACTATTTTTCCAAATCCCTGCTCACAGTGATAAAGGTTTTCGTGACGGAAGCCCATCTGAAAAATCATTTCCCCAGTCTGTAAGTACCTCTTCTGCTCTACAACAGGCGGTGGCCATGATGTTTTGTCTGAGCTAATCTATTCCAACAGCTGCTGCAAAGAACATCTTGCGCAAATTCTGGAGGGTTTTATTATAAGGAACCTCTTCTACTATTTTAGTGAGAAGCTTTAGCGAGTACCACCTCTCTTCTGCATTAACCCTTACTGTTTCGTCTAGGCTAACCTCTCCGTTGGTGGGAAGTAGAGCGTTCAAGTGCTCGAGATCATCGAAAGTATTGCCCGCGATCATTGCAACCCCCTGAGAAGCTTTCCAAAGGTCGACGGGTTAGGTATACTTGTTTGAATATTCCGCTGCTGTTCTAGTCCCGTGCTAATGACTTCTCAGGAACCTTCCCAACTTTATAGTTGTGTCTCTCTTCGGGTTGTAGGCTTTCTCACCAAAACTGTAAGTATCTACCTCTCTGCCAATGATTTGTATGTTTGAAAATACTAACCTCTCCTATTAGCATTCGCGATATCGTGCTTTCCTGAGAGTCCGACGTTCTTATCACTGCTCTTCGCTCTTTGTATAAAAGAGGACACAGAGTGCGTTGTTATTTCTTAAGCCCTGTTCCTTACCTTATTGTTGAAAACCTCTTGTGCGTGTGCTAATATAATACCTGTTGGTAAGTAATAGCTATACATTGTCATATTTAGTGTCTTGAATTAAGCACCTAAACACATGTCTCAATTCACAACCGCTCCTATCGGGGAAGGTATTGAAACCGGGCCATTGCTCGTCCCCTCTCCCGCCGGCAGGGAATATGCCCCCAACTCCGGTGTTCCCGGCATTGCGGGCATCGCCCCACCCGCCGGTGAGCTGTCCTCCCGGCGCCCCCTTCATGGCCTACCAAAATTCGCCGACTGGCGAATGTCGAACTCAAACAAGCGCTACTGGACCGACCGGCAGCTGTCTGCCAATGCCGCAAAACGCCGCAAGGGACGGAGGCTGACACAAATGCCGAGCTCTAGAGCTGCACGTCTTAGCTATGGCGACAGTCTTAACCATAAAGCCCATTCTCAGATCCGGAGTGCAGGTGCCAACAACCGCTACCAAGGGCCCCCATTGATTGATTTGTTCGTTTTCCAACCCTCACCCCCACCTTATTAAGCAACACTAACAAGGCATGTCCAAACTTTAGGGAAGATGTGCAAGGCCTTGCTGTCGACGCTGCTTCTATTAGAGCAGTTTCTAGCCCTCAGGGGTTACGCCATTATCTCCCCATCGTTCCGGGAGATAGTACTGTGCAAGCTGGTACCGAGAGACCTACTGGTATTGGGAATTCCGGTCCCGTCCTTGTGTCCGATCATGATGGTACCATACAACGTTGGTTTTCCATTTTCAAGGGGGTTTACAAAAGGATTAAGGGGTTCAAATTCGGACCCCTCTTTCGTAAGGGTAAAAATCAAGGGTAGTCAGTGATGTGGTGTATATGCGCGCATGACTAGCTAAAAAAAAAAGATTTGAGTATCGCTCGAAAGCTGTTTCTCCAATTTGTACTCTTAGCAACTAAATTTGATTTGTGTTTTGCTGGTTAAATATCGTTTATTCGACAGTTTACTGTGACGTGTGGTAATTTAACCAGCCAGAAAAGTTTATTCTTCTACCATTATTCATGCAAACTCGCTCCCTAATATCACAGTCCATAGTGGCTGCCATATGAGGGACAGTTCATCTATTTACACACTCTTAACCTTTCTCAGGGTTTCCTCCCGCCATGATCTCTGATAAACAGGGCGATTTTGATTAAACACACTCTTGGAGCTTCTCAAGAAGTGCATTGATGGTTCTTCTCTCAGTCTTCTCTTGGTACTTAACTTTCTTGACCTTCTGTTCTCGTCGTGAAAGTCACTCTTTGTAAATGACCACTCCCTAACACGATTTCCCTTGCGCATCCCCCGGCCAGCAGACAGTATATTCCTATCTCTTGGTTCCATCATCACCGGCATCTTCTCTGTTCCATCAAAATCAAGCAATTCTTCCTGGATTTCACAGGCCGCAGTCTTGCCAGCATCCAACTCCATCATTTCTACCTTCACTAGACTTCCTTCTGTCGATGTAGTTGATTGAGATTCCATCTCGTTATTGATACTGTCGATGTATCCGATCGCTTTCCACGCCGAGCCATCTTCGATCGTTACAATAGCCGTTTCATATTTATCAATTTCCGGTAGTCGCTGTCCACTGCCATAGGTAATTCGAGCGAGTGACTCAATCAAATTGTCCTTTTGTATAAAGTTCAGTTAATAGAAGATCGGGAGTAGTGAAAGATCTGTGAGAGGAGTTACCATTTGTCTTTCCTCGCTTTCGGTGGCTAAACCACGGCAAAGAGCCATTAAATCACGAGTTTTACTAATTCTGTTCATGATGACGGCGGTTGATTGAATTGAAGTATGTTGTTGGTACTGAATGGAATTAATTTGCCGGTATGTGATGTTGTCCTTGTTGTTATTATAACAGATATCGGTGAGTTGAAGGACTGATTCTGGAGGTCGGAGGAAAGATTTGGCAATGAAGTAGAGAGATCATGAGACAAGACCCATTTATACCGAAAAAAGAAATCTGTCACAGATGTTTAAGGCCAGCTATCATAATTGTAATCTGTACGCCCGGAAGCCAGCTTGTCTTTCAGGGCCCGAGTAATGCCCCTTGATCATGAATTAACCCAACCAGTACCTCCACGTGGATGTGAGGATAACTAATACATGGCCCCACAGCTAAAACCTATTCGAACACGAAAGAAAAGAGACATATAAATCCTGTCCTCGGTGTATTTCAAGATACTATCAGGCCGGTGTATGATGTTAGATATGATGACTTCGTCACAGGCTATCACTCGTTCCGCCCTCCCGCAAATCGATCAGATATTGTTATTCTTGATATTAACTCATTTCGTGGCAGATGAGATCTATATATCCTATCTCCAGGCACAAAGATTTCCGAGATGAGCTCATTTGGAATCAGCGGCTAGCCGGCTACTCATCATATATGATCCAAAAGGATGTATCACTTCTTCCCGACCCCCTCCCCCGCCTCTAACCTGATTCCCCTCCCCCCCCAAATTGTGTTGAAAAAATAAGTTTAGAGTTTTCTACCACGCCACCTTCTTGAACATAGAACGCACTCCAGTGAATGACACTCTCGGCATACGCATATGCTCCACAGAGCGCCCCCAAAACACGCCTCTCAAACTTTCTTCTCGACACCCAGGGGTTCGTCTATAGCTAGAGACTCGATAAAAAGTACTATATAGCCGACTTCTGTCGTCACCGAATTGCGTATAATCCTACGGGGACCGGTGACAGTGGGGTTGGTAATTATAATTATAATAAGGGGAGAATAATACTCAGCTAAGTTAGCCAAACAAAACAGACTCCACAGGTGCACATATATATGAGGACTTGACTGTACCTTGTTGATGGTGTATTAGATATTCCGTCAAAACATTGTGAATGAATATCTGGTGTTATTTTTCGCTTAATTTATTGAAATTATTATTGATTTTGAGAGCTTTGGTGTTCCTGTCCCTGAAGAGTCAGTTTAATTACCGAGAGAATGTTCATTCAGTGGTGCGGCATATGCATTACCTTGAATGTAGTTCAAGTTCAATAGAATCTACTAATTGTTACAAAGATTAGCTAATAGTAGTTTCGCTGAAAGCGGTACCGTAAAACCCCTTGCCGGTCGTTAGTTCACCAATAATGGTTAGCCGATTTTCCAAGACATCCGTGCGCAATTATTTGCAGAGCACGTGCTCTCCTTCACAACGACATTCGACTTCATAGGGTCAAGAATTTATTTACCGGCAGGTTTCTATGTATTTAGAGCAGAGCTAAGCGCCATCATGTTGTATTGAGAAATGTACCGAATAGATAAAGAGATTTAAGTCATTACTTAAACCTATTTAACCCCAAGACGGTCGGAAAACCCAATCCTTATTAGATTCGATAGATTACCTTTAGGCCTCAAAAAAGTATAAAGAAGCTCTGGCTCCTTTCTACTAGACTCGAATTCTTCTTTTCCGCCCTATGTATAAGCTTCTTGCTGGCCTGAATAAAAGTCGAGTCCAAGATGTAAACCCTTCGGATAAGGAGACCATACAGATAGACATCGGGCGGCCTATTCAATAAAATTATGCTCAACGCTTACAGAGAATAAGTTAAGGGAGGCACAGTTATTAGTTTTAGAATGTAAGACATATAGACGAAACTCACCGCGCTCCATGTAGCGCAGACGTTGTGAGTTTCTCTCGGGAAGTAAGCTCATCGGTACATGAATACATGTACCCTCTGAGATAGCAAGCGGGGCCTACTGCCCATATATCGGCAATATGTCAGGGCGTGCTACTCCGACAGATCCAGACGAAAGTGCGTTCTCTAACAAAGAAATTTTGCCCGGATATAGGAGGGGGACAGGTTAACGAAGAGGGAATTAAGCTTCTATTGCGCTCTAAACTCTAAATACATAGACATGTCGAGCTTTCGTCTTTAAGTTATGTTAGGAACGATACTAGTGGTTTACTGCTGATGTTGTCGAAACCCCTTCCAGTAGCTTGAATAACATCTGTTCGAAACCGGTTAAGCTTTCCGTCCCCTTGGAAGAGCGCAAGTAGACAGCAGAACTGCCAAGTTCTCACTTTTACCGCTCGCATATACCTCACCCCTCTTTCATCCCTTCCTTTCCCTCAAACCATCTTCCTTCCTTCCTCGCTCTACACTCCTTCCACTCACTCTAATCATCTTTCCTTCACACGTCAGTGTTCCTTCAGCAAGATCGTGTCCCTCATCATTCGTCAAAGAAACGTTCCTCCACGTTTACACAAAGAGCATCTTGTATGATGATTCCAAATCATTCTCCCTATCGTACATCTTCGTATCTTGCTAACCAGGGTATTACCAGAACTACATTTGGGAACCACAAGAAATCATCAGCAGCAAACAATCTAAACACTCTTTGTATGTCAAGTCCAAATGTCTTGTATCTTTACATGTATACGTAGTTTGTTGTCATATCTTGCTAGCGGAGTTAATAACAGTTAGAACTGCTACTATAGTAGTCCACAGCTGCAAGAGACATCAATAAAAAACGTCGTGGATTTAATACATCTACTTAACATACTGCTTTTTGTATGTTTATTCCGATATATAGTCTTGGCTTTTTTTATTGGTCTACAGATTTTGCTAACGATCAGGTTACCAGAACTACTGTTAAGCATTAAACCAAAAAACTAGTGAATTCATCACCCGGGCTACCTTGTATGTTGTTCATTTCGATAATTTCTTTTTCTTCCACCTGGCTAATTATTCACCTAAGCCGCTGTCAAGCATCAAGAAAAGAATCAGCAGCAAAGGGCCAAGTTGTGAATTTTTCTTGGCAAAGTGGAACGGTTTGTATGTTTATCCATGAGATTCCGCTATTTCATCTTTTATAAGGTAACTTGCTAACGTACGTTCATAGCAAGTAAAACCGCTCCACCCCGCTAAGAAAGAAATCAGCGAAAATAAAGATCGCGGCAGTCTACTCACATACATCTTAGAGTGTAGAGCTTTAAAGTATGTTGATTTTAGAATCTCTTTTTTCTTCCCCTCATAATCATATTTTTCTAACAATTTCCAGGCTACCTCTCAGTATCCGGAGATACAGACGTTATCCAGTGACAACTTTGAATTGATCCTTGTATTTCAAGCATCAAGTTTTGTATGTTCATACTCCGAATAGCCATTCTATACCCTTACTTTCTATTATATCTCGCTGACAATTATTTCTATGGCTGTTAGTAATAACAAACAATGCCGCCATTCAAGACTGATAATGGGCATCAAGCTCCCTCCGCCGCTCCGACTCTCACGAGGAAGCAGAGGACACGCAGGCGTCAGACACGTTACATGACCGAGAACAAAGATTCCCATCCCCTAGCTCCTTATCCTCCTGCTCCCCCTCCTCCGGCTCCCCCTGCTCCAGCTCCTCCAAAACCTGTTGTGCAGTATTCTCTTCCTGAGTTGCTATTACCGCCATCTATGTTACCCATCGACGAGGACATCTGCGAATCCCGCACTGCCCCGTCTCCTGCAAAAGTGACTGCCAGTCACATTCTGAATCTCTCCAGGGATGGAGAGAATTCGTTGTGCAAAAAGAGGGTCAATACCGGCAAGAAACGCACTCGCACTCGCACTCGCACCGCTAAGCCAAAATCCCCCAAGGACCAAGAGCCAAACGCCTCCAAGTCTGCCGGCAATTCTCAAGACAAGCCTACTGAAAGCGTGACTAAATCCACCAGCACTGATGAATCTGGAGGCTCACTCGTTGTCAATAACACAAGTACAACCTCCGCCCCGGCTCCGGCTCCGGCTCCGGTTACAATTCAAGAGAGACGGATTCCCAACTTCGACTGGCTTCCTTGGTGGCTACCTAGGTTTGCTATTAAGAGCAGACTCAAAGCACCAAGAATGGTGACTGTTACTATTCGACAACAACCACAGCAAAATAATAGCGCTACCGCTGTTACTGTCCCGCAACAGCAGCCCCAGCAACAGCCCCAGCAGCAGCAGCAGCAGCAGCAAAACAATAGCGCTATCGTCCCTGTGCAGGCAAACACTGGTAAAAAGAGGCGTATCCGGAAGATCCGGAATAGGAGACCCCTTTCTCTTGAAGAGCAAGCCGAGGCTGCTAAGGATGAGGCCAGAACCGCTTTGTGGAACGAAAGCTGTAAAACCGCGAAACGTGCTACTATCGAGAGGTACGGTAAAGTGTGTTTTTCCAGCGTTGATACGCTTTCTAATAAGGAATATGCCCATTTGACCTCAAAGAATCGTTGAAATCAAAGCTGCGAGCGCCTCCTGGAAAACGCAGAGGAAACTGGACTAGGATGCTGCTGGAGGAGAGCGGCGTGGCGTGTGTATCTCGGGGATAAAAGTTTTCTTTCTTTCTTTCTTTCTTTCTTTCTTCCTTTTTCTTTCTTTTTCCTCACTTTTTTTTGCTTATATTTGATCGTCTTCTTCACTTACTTTACTTTAATGTGCATGCCTAGGAGGATTTTATTTTCCTATATTTTCAAATTTGTCTCCGATTGTTACTAGTTGGAGCTTTAATTGCGATTGTCCTTTGTCTGTTTTCATATATCTTGTAGCTTCTACAACCTAATTACATGTACGCTTGCTATTACCTCGTGCGGGGTGATATAATAAACTTTCTGGCTTTAATTAAACTCATTCTACAAAGGTGTCTCTCGTGGTCAGGCGTCTGAACCTAGTGGCATCTCCACCATCGTCAAAGAAAAGCTCAGCTCACCAAATTCTATTAATCCGGCATTACAGGAACATGGGGCACTTCCAGATTTTAAAAAAGACATTAGTGATCGTTCGAGTCACACGTAGAAGTGAGGATGAGAGAAAGGCTGTTTATGTCTTTTTCTAACCCTATTTTAGGTATGTGTGTGTTGGGAAAAACCAATAAAACTTCAATTTCAGAGTAACGCTCTTCCTTCTCTTCTTCCAATTGGTCTCTTACGTATAACCCAAAAACTAACAACCTAGCGTAAAAGAAAATCGAACTAACATTCTAGCTTCATTTGTCGTCTCTCCTATTGTAATCTCTACCCGATCGCGTACTGACATTGATGTCTTTTCTCCTCGGCCCCGTTCATATAATAATCCTTATTCCATGGCCAATGATAGCGTCAGATAGCCTGTCAACCGAGAGTACCTCCGGAGGGATTGAAGCCAGTAGAGATTTTCGACCTCGCTGCCCTTGGTAAGTACTTCATAAACCTCGCTACACGACATAATAATCAACCCTCCCTCCTATTCAGCTTTCAATGATTCCTTAAGATAGAAAACGTCGTAAGCCAACTGGAGTTGATATTTAACTATCTACCGTAGTTGTACTGAGGAGATGTATTATAAAAATAGGGTTGTAGAATACCAGCCTGTCTTCTGTCAATTTTTATGAGCTGATAAAAATGAGGTGAGGGCGGACAAAGATATGCGATTAAAGTAGGACTTGCCCTATATCACACCCAGAATAAATTAGTGGAAGATTCATAGTGTGTGTGTGGGGGGGGGAGGTCCGACTCTACTTTTTCTCACTTTTCTTTTCACCTCCTCATCTCTACTGCCCTCCCATCCCAAGCCCTACGAAACTGTACCTCGACTCCTCCGAAGCTTTCAGCCCCCAGGATATATCTTGAATCAACGCTCTCCGCGATGTCTGCTAAGTGAGCAGAAACAAGGCTACTTCCTCCAACACGAGTGGCCCACATGTCGAGACCTGCACTTATAAAAAGAAGCTGTATATCTCCTTGCACCAGACTGTTCTTACGAATCACGACACAAATCCCGCCTGTGATGTCGGTGCTCCTTTACCGGCATACGCTCCTCTTCTCGTGAGACTAAGGCCGAACTCGCTTCTTCAATACTTTCTATCCTCAGTCAGTTTGAGATGTTCTAATGGGGCCTCAAAAAGAGGACTGTCCCTTTCCCTACTTTTATGCGCCGATTCTCCGAGAATCGGGGAACATACATGGTCAGCACTACTGCCTTTATCCTGTAGCAGTAGGTGGTCTGCTATCGTTGGCAGAAATTAAGACAAAAGCTTTGACAGGCGTGAGACGCCCCCTCCCAGGTCCTGGATCGGGGCAGCATAATTACGCAATTCCAAAAAGGTCTATTGGGTGCAGATTGGAGTTGCCAATGTGTCGATTCTATTGTCCAGCATACTCGGTAATGATCACCCCCTCCTAGAAAGAACAAATCAACAGGTTTTGTGGTTATATTTCTTTAATACGCGGTGGCGGGCCAATACCGAGCGACTGAGGGAGGCTAGATAGTAGTGAAGCGGAGGCCGTGGAAGAGAAACCTCGGATAGGGGCTAGCTATAGAGGTAGCGAGGAGGGAGAAGAAAAAAGAGCTACTACTGAATATCTATCATAAGCAGGAGGGTATGCAGTAGGTGAATATTGAAAAAAGAGGAAATGCCGTGACGGGGGAATGGACCTTCAGATAAAGACCAGGAAGAACGAAATTTCCATGCAGTGGAAGCTCAGCAATCACGGTTGTGGCGTCAAAGGAAGGTGATGAAAGATTTTAGATTTGGTTGTGAGTATACGTGGAGGTGGGTGTAGTGGGGTAGTGGAAGTGGGTGTAGTGGGGTAGTGGAAGTGGGTGTAGTGGGGTAGTGGGGTCACTTCGGTTGCCTACTAGCACATAGTAACAAACTACCACTCATCCAACCCACCTAAACTTCACTCCATACCGGCCCATTCAGCACCACCACCACCACTACTACTCCAACCAAAAAAAATTCTTTTAATCCAAACTCATGGCAACTACACACCTCTCAGCGCCTTCACCTGAAGAAGCGACCCCAGCTCATTACATTCAACGATGGAACCGGGAGCCCTCAGAACCAGTAGGAAGAAATCGAAGTAATACTCCCCTCCCCGTAGTCTGATAATTATACGTGGTCGATTATACGCAAACACTAATATCTTCAACCTTACACAGGTCGACGAGGGAAATATTTCCCAGAAATAAAGCAGAAGCTCCACACACCAGGGCTATCATGTTCTACCTTGAGTTTATGTAGAGATAAGTCTCATTTGGGCTCAAAGGCAGACAACGGCGCCTTGGGGGTGAGGGGTATACTTCGAAGCAGGCATGGAGAGGGGGGGATAGAAATTGAAGAGGCCGGGTGTACTTGAAAGATCCTTGTATAACGGAGGGCTTGTCTTCCTATTTTTCCTTCATCTATTATCGAGCTCGACCAAAACTCAACCCCCGGCATTGATGGTTGATATCAAGGTGTTCCCATATGCCCCAAAGCATCTTTAATTTCTTCTTTCTTCGATATATTTACATATTCTGTGCGCTTGATTCTCAACGCCTCAATCCTTTGGACACTACTTGAGCTCATTGTCATTAGATGTTAACTTTGGGATATCTGAGAATATTAGAGAAAAACATTTCATCTAAAATCTGGCTTAACTTAAGACCGCAGTATGTTACGAGGCTCAGCATCTATTAAAGCGCATTATGTGTTCCCCTCTCCTTCTGCATACACGACCTGGTACCTCGTTCCTCGAGATTCTCGTCCTACCTGCACCACTGTTTAGCACCTCCGTTAAAATGAGCTTCTGCGAGATCTCAACCGGTACAATCCAATACAAATCTCACAGTAGAGGGAACCAAATTCCCCAATACTCCCACTCTCAAATCCTTGATCAAAAATCCCTCCAATTTGATATGTTTGCTGCAGAAAAGCCCGAGCACTGGAGCTGAATTTCTCCACTATCCCTTTGAGCATTTACACCGAAAACACACCAAAGCGCCAATGTTTTTGAAGGAAAGCTTAACGATGTATTATTATTTCCATTCAAGATAGAACCCCCCACCAAACGCCCACTGTCCTGACACCAATCCCAAACGAATAGCAGAGAAGCATATACCTTGTCTCATGGCCATGTACGAAACCTGTCGTGTTCGAAACTCTAAATGAAACGCAGACGAAACCTCTCCCCATTAGCATTCCCGCACCACCTGCCCTACACAAAAAAGAAAGAAAGCACAAACCCCATCCCCCCTCCCTACATTCCCAACACCGTAACACTCCCCCTCCCACCCACCTTCACATTCCACGTCCCCGCCGCAAACACCTCCCCACCCTCCCCCCACTTACAGCTCCTCGCAATATCCGCGACCAGCACCGCCACCATGCCACACGGATGGCACCACCCGGCCTCGCCACAGATCACAGCCTCCGCATTGCCCACCCTGCGCAGCGTGTTACACTTGCCCGCGCCGTGCTTCTTGACGCAGCACGCCCGCCGCTTCACGATTGACTTACTCAGCGCCGCCACGTCGGCCGCGCCCGGGCTGCCGCTGAAGGACTGGCACTTCTTGACGCTGTGCGGCGAGAGGCCGCCGAGTTCTTCGAGACTGGGGTGCCGGTAGCCCGCGGGGACGGAGCACCGCCCGAGGAAGGTGAAGGGCGTGAGGTCGGTTGAGTTTTGGCGCATCACGGCCGCAGCGGCGGTGAGAGAGGTGAGGAGGAGGAGCAGGAAGAGAAAGTTCATGGCGACGGTGTTCTTTCTGGTGATGGGTGTAGTAGCTGGGTGGGTGGTGGGTGTGTCGGGTGATATGATCGAAGGAGGGAGGCTATTGTGTGGTGGTGGTGGTGGTGGTGGTGTGCAGACGGATACTAACGTCGCATGGTTGCATCTGTGCGAGTGACGCCTGATGAAGCTAGGAAACAACCTTTTTCTCTCTTGCGAGTCGCGACAGGCAGGCTTCGTTTTAAAGGAAAGAATCGTTGGGGCGCCTGGCTGGCTGGCTGGCTGGCTTCTGCCCGGACACGCACGCTATCGGGCCGGATCTGGAATGTTCCGATAGCAACGCTAATCGAACGCCTGGCTGTTTGTGGACCCTGCCCTTCCCTGGGGTCCCTGGCCCTGCCTGAGACTTTGTGGAGAAGCCCGTTGCAACCTTGCATGATGTCACTCGCTCTGTGGTGTAAACAAGCCGTTTGACTGGTGCCCGGATCCATCACAATGCTTGACAGGAGACTACAAATACCCCCTTCGATTCGCTCTTCGATTCGCCCTGGCTATCATCACTGATTTGCACTTTGGTTGATTGATTGTTTCTCTCACAAATGCTCTTGTACTACATACAACCCCCCCGCGGCCGCTTCAAAAGGCCCGCATGACCATGCGCCAGTACTGTGAAGTCTGCACTCCTAAATTTGATTCGACGCGCGCTACAGCTGTCGGCATGCCATCACTCATATCCATCTCACTTAGTACACTTAGCATCAGTTTCATACCCTCGCCAAATTGGCCCCGCGGAAGTCTCGGGTCCCTTGCGCTGCGAAATCATTACCTCTAGCCTATATGCATGCCACCAAGGGGTTCCTCCTCGTCCCAACCACCAGCGATAAACGAAGTTTTCAAAGCCGGTTGTCGCGACCACCTCAGCGAATTGATAGGAGCGCTCTTGATTGGTGGATGCGACGTCTTTTGTGTTTGTCGTGGTGTGCTGTGTCAGCAGCAGCTTCATAGACCGCATTCCCGCGCCAATGATAACTAAGCGGTCGGTGTAGTATAGTGGTTAGTACTTCTCGTTGTGGTTTCACAGGGTTTCTCCCTTGTCACTTCGGCTCCGAGAGGACCCATGTTCGATTCATGGCACCGACACTCACAGTCATTCTTTTTGCCCATCATTGACATTGTGAGGGTTGATAGTCTTTCTTTTTGTTTGTCGGTATTTGGTTGTTGGGACTTCGTGGGGTTGAGCTTAGGCTTGGCTTCTTTGTCACTGCTCGGGGTACCTGCTCTTTCCTTTGCAGGACTATCTGCCTCGGGATCCAACGACAGTCGATTTGCGCCTATGCCTGCCTATTCATATGATGCTACGTATCTTGCAGACGGTATTCGGTTTAGCCATCCTCCGCGTTTTCGGAACAAGTACCTCCGTCCGGTTCCGAACGATATACACGCAATCGCTCAAGTGACTAGCGCATCTTTCTTTTCCATATCCCGAGGTGCAAGAATGAGTTTTGTCTTTTGAAAACTGGTAACGATTGAGACTCGATGCTGGTGGTGAGGGATTGCATGTTATAGCTCTCCGCCGTTGAGGTTGAGGTTGTAAGGTCGCCGGAGGTGGGATCTAGAGATGGGTTCACTGTGGTTGTTAGAATATTATCCGTATCAATTCATAGCTTAGAATTCTTACTTTTCTTTTTTTTTTTAGTATTGCGCCTTGAGCTCCTCTCTGGCGGCTTGTGATATGTAGTTGCCGAAAACGCAAGAAATGAGGGTGCATGCTTCGGCTGCGAGTAAGGCCCTTCGCCTTTCCGTGATTTAGAGGTAGAGGTTGGGTGATAGAGCGCCATGATAGGCGATAGTTGATACGGCATTGAGCTTCATCCCGAATGAAGATCCTTGAGTTCCTTCTAACTAAGCTCATCTCGCGCTCAATACTAGTGTCCCGGCGCTCGAATCTACGTTCGCACGATAATCTAGTTAGCTCAATTGCTTTCAGCGCTTCACCCGAATCTCGTAGAGAAGCGTTCTAAGAAACAGGCTATAGAGTGCGAGCTTACCGGTACTATACTCCGAGCCCAGTAACATCTCACCCCGCAAGCGTACTTCCATCACCGAGAAATTGACACGCCGCTGAAGATAGCGAGCCCGACTGAGTACTCCTAGTGTGCCGGTAGAGATGATATGACGTTGCCGGATGGCGAATTGTGACCTCGAAAGCAGTTAAGGGTTGTGGACAAGCATGGTTGTGGTTGGTAGTGTTAATGGCTGCAGTCAAGCATGGTTGTGGTCGCGGGTAGTGGCTAATTGCGCGGTGCATCACAGTAAGCTTATTTTATGCTTGTTGCTGGAATCTCACACCGTCTACCAAGAATGTGCTTGGATTGCCCCGCAACCAGGTTTATCTGCCAAGGTCTAAATCGAACATCATTTACGAATACTTTCATCGACATTCTGGTTTTTGGTATGGGTATGTCACTTTTTGTGGTTTCAAGTACCCATATACCAGCTCGATTCAAGTACGTAGAGGATGGCAGGTTTAGAAGTAACTTTATCAACGCAGCCTTGGTAACTTGATATCGTTGCTTCTCTTTCTATATGATTTTAAAACTTTGAATGCCAGAACATGAGTTTTTGTTTACTACATGCCCTTCAAGAATGCCACTTGTCGAATTTGTATCCCCCATATAAGTCCTTAATTGCCGTTCTCTGCGAAATCACTTGAAAACCCCCCGAGCTCGTGACGCGGTACATGCCCGACCTTCTTCAGCTGAAAACAGTATTGCAATTGCCAACGAGCTCCAACACATATCACTTCTTCCCAAGATCTGAACGCAAAGCTTTGTTAGATAATAATACGTAGCCACAAAAATATCCTTGAAATAGAGCACCTCTTCAGGCATTCCAAACTCCCATTAGTCCGCGATCTCACGCATCCCGTCAATTCTCGCCTTCGCCTCACCTGCATCGTTTAATTCTTCAACAGCTCGTCCAGGTTCTTCTTCAGGTCCTTCAACTTAGCTCTAGTCTTCTCCAGTGCCTCTCTTGTCTTCACGCGCTCCGCGGCCAGGTAGAAATGATACAGTCCCGTCTCATCGTGCTTCAGCATTTTCAGTGTCAATTCCGCTTCCTTCTGCTCGAGGGCGTTGTAGCGTTCTTGATGGTGCTCGAGCTTGATGCGGAGATGGTCGATTCGGGTTTGGAGGAATCGCATGTTGAGGAGCGTGGTCGGTGAGACGTCGTGGAGAGAACTAGTGTCCAGGGTAATTAGATCGATGGACATAGATTGCTTGGAGGAAGATGTAGATGCGGATACTGATTGAACTGCTGGTGAGAGAGACATGCTGGCTGCTTATATGGTACGTGCGATTGCAAGTTGCGTGGAGATGGAACTTGATGGTTATGGTTGGTGTGAACTTGAATGGGTTGAAATACTTTGCTCAGGAACTAGTTGAAAGTGAGAAGGGCTGTCAATGGGGGGACGTGATCCTGGCCAGTAGTAGATTTAGTCAGAACTACCTGGATCTACATGGGTATATCCTGGCCCTTCGAGAATCGATCTTTCTATATCAAAATGTCAGTTCTGCTTGTTCTCTAGTTGAAGTTCACCCGCTTTGACATTCCCGATTGGGGTTTTGCGGGTTATTGGATTCATTCACTTACTGATAATCTTAAGAGTTTACCATATCCTCATAAGACATCGAAGGTCCTAAGCAGCTTGAAGAGTACTCTATCATTCATTCATACTATTGGTGGTAATATATTACAGCTATACTACATGTACTACTACCATCTTTGCTAATATAACTTGACGGCTAGCCTATTCTAAATATTAGAGGGGGCTTATAGACGGCCAGGAAATTGGCAAACAGCCATAGCTCTAGCACAACCAAATCCATCTCCGAGTATATTCTTTTCTTGTTTTCAAATATGTTTCCCCTCGATCAATTGCAATGCACGAAATAATACATTGCTGTGTGCGTGTATCGTGGGTGAGGAGATGATGATAAGCCGTAGCACTCCAATGATTCCACCCTTACTTCTTCACTCCATAACCTTTCACTAATGATAAAAATCCTAATTGTTATTATGACAGTTTCTCTCTCTATCTTATACATTCCTTACGTATACGAAAATTATACTTATTGGAAAAGGGCCTAATTTTGTGATCACTGGCTGGTCTGAAAAATGCTCCCACTTCTCCCATCTTGGCTCCGGATCAACGTTTCTCCGGCCTCTAAAGATGCATGTAATACCCCCACAAAAATGACCGAAATGTATATGGAAAACAATAGGAATTTGTTTCTCGAGTGGAAATATCTCGCTGTGACCAGATTCCAGATGGGCAGTGTAGTTGATACATTTACGGAAAATTTAAGGCTACGGAAAGACCACGAAATGCTAGGACTCGAGCTGGCCATACAAAGTGTTCTTCTCTCCAGAACTACATCAAATACCAACTTTGGAAACCCTACGTGCCAACTCCACCGAAACTCACATCATGACCAATTCCTGGAACCGTGACTTCCCGCATTACACACCTACACAGACTATGCACGCTGTCAACTCTCGTGATAGAAACCCTCTTCCCTCGATCGGTGAGTTTTATCGCCTCTATATATCCCGGGGTTGGGGGAAATCTGGCTTTACAGCATAAAACTACTTGAAAGACATCCTCTGACTGATGAAAAATAAAAGCACCTGAGGCCTTGAGGCGGACCCCACCACCATCGACATCACCGCAGCGAGATGAACCCGCAACTCCTCCCCCGGCGACCGACCCTTTCTACCTTCCACGGTTAGGCAAAGCGCACGCCTCTGATATCCCTCTCTACGAGCGCTTTGTGGGATGGTACGACTTTTGGAACATGCACAAGCGCGTATTCCTTAAGTATGGTTATCTTGACAACCCTCTCTACGAAGTCATCACCGCTGCCGATATTGACTCGGATTATCTCCCCAGCCTTTGTCAAGTTCCGTCAATCCTCCACATGCAGCCGGCGGTCAGGGATCTCTGCTGGAACGAGAAATCACGCGTCACCAATGTTGCGAGAGGCGGGCTAAACAGGCTCATCATCTGGGTGGAGATTAACCGTTCGGTTTGGTTGCCGAGAGATTGGTTCGAGAATTTGAGGGTGGAGGGTGGAGGAGTTGTGGGGAAGGACAATGGCAAGAAGTACATTGCTGCGTGTACAAGTAAGAAGGATGCGTGGTATGCTATGAAAAGGGAACAGCTTGCTGGTTTCCCCGCCCGCAGCACACAACCCCCGCAGATAGGAGCCTGAGGATTCCTGCAACGAGTCTACGAAGGTGGGGTTTGTCGGTGTACAAAGAAGGCGTTCCGTGCTTCTGGGTTAGAGTTACATGTAATTATATTGCTGGTCCTTCTCGTCTGTCTCCCTCTTAACCTCTCTATTTTTCCTTTCCCTTTCCTCATTTTAGTGTAACTAATACGCATTTTGACATTAGAGTAATACTAGTACTGGAAGTAAAACTACATGTACCTATATTGCTCATATCGATTTTTCCCACTCGAAAGAATAAAAGTGTTCAAAGTGATAGATACAATTACAAGATAATAAAAGGTCGGAATTTTAGTGAGAGATCAAGTAATTGATAAAGAAGATAAGTGATCAGTTAGCCGCACTATTGGCACTGTGTAGCTTTAGGTCGGGCGGTATTTCGCCATGTATGCACATTTGCAACGTCTATCCCAATGTACAAGGGTCAATGATCAGAATCCAACCTAACCCTAACCCTGACGATTTAGCAATTAAAAATAAAAAGTCATTTCAGGGGAAATAAGTAGAATCATATCTTTCCAAGAGTCCATAATCATGATCCTTCAAATCGGTTGGCCACCGGAACGAATGGTTGTTTGATAATACTACACCACAGATAAGATATCCTTGAAATGTACGTGTCCTTCGACCCACAATCGAAAGTTATGATATTCGATTACATATAAGAATTTTATGTCGGGTATTATTTTCTTTTGCGTGCACCTTTTTACTTTATAGTTGGAAATCGTAGACCCAGTGCACAGACAGACTAGCGTCGTCAATAGTGCCCCGGCCCCACAATACAGTGTTGCGGGCCATTCGCCCTCTCTCACTCAACTACCACCCGCCTCTTGACCCCAGAGCCAGTACCATCACTAGATGTATCTATCTTCAACCCGTGGATCTTCGGTCAGATATTGGATACCCAGTTCAGAAATCTACCACGACCCCAATAACTATCCTCAGCCTCAATTGGCCAACCCAGCCTTCAACCCGACTTCAAGTCTACAGCTCAATGTCGCAGCATGTGGAAACATCGTCCTTGAGCACATGAATTTAAGACTCCAAATAATGACTCGCATCTCAGGCTCGAAGTACCAGCTTCAGACACAGCCCGCATGAATAGTTCACCAAAAGATTAATCTCTGCAGCTCATGAATCCAGAACCACTTCTCGTACATTTGAATGAATTCTACCTTCTGGAGTTTCTTCGATAGGATCTAGGAGCATGTGGAGAAAGGGGAACCTTTGCGGAGGAACATAACCCCATCCACCAGCACCGCACAGCCATCGCAGAGAAGGAACAGCAGTCGACCAGTCAGATCCTTGGATGTCATTTATTAGTTTCACTATACTGACATGCACTTAAAGAAACACGAATAACATTTGAAGCTTTTAGTACAGGTAAATATCTCTGGGTACCACCACGTCAGTCAAGATGGAGATACAAGCTTTGTCAGTGTTATCAGAAAGTTTGAAAAGTTAATATCAGGCCTCGGACTCTCAACCCTCTTCAGAAAAAGGTAGGCCGAGGCTTTATTTACTACCACTAACCTAATTTCCCCCCACCCTAAGATTTCTCTAGCCAGCCATTATCGCTTTAGTAGTCCTTTGTTTTCCTGCAACTCAAGTCGTTACCAGAAGATGGAGAACGTCCATAAACACATGGAAACATTACTTTTTTGTAACGGCAAAGGCCGCAGGGGATAAACCAACCGTGCTGCGGATGGCAAAGCCGGTATGAGTTAGTGACGGATTCTACCTTCGCTCATCAGAGCTCTCTATATATCGCCTTCGCACTTTCCCCTCTCTATCTCCATTATATGCTCCTCATTATCATGAAAAGGGATATTCCTCACAACCTTTAAGGACAATAATTCGATCTCACCTGGTTTTTATTAGAGTAGGAATAATGATATTGATCCAGGGAGCAACAAACCTCGGCCTCAGATGTTTTGGGTGCAGGATTGGCGTTATAATTATATTATTGGGCGCAAAATCGCATCTAAATACGCTAGCCATACATTTCTCCAGAATGTCATACTGAGTTTAATTACTGACTGCTACAATCTTTTCTCAGTTCTGACTTCTCTCTTACTTTCCGGGCTGGCTTTTGCACTCTTGAAAATTTTGTAGACCGTTTTACACTGAATCGACGGTCGCTATCCGGATCCTCCTCCCACTCTGAAACTCATTTACGACACTCACAAGACAAACAGTTGAAGAGTCTTGACTATTTTGATCCAAAGTCGATGCTATCGATGGCAAGAGCAGCAGCTATAAGGTCTTTTATCCTCACGCCCTTGTTCCTATACTAGAACGTCACAGCTAGAACCTCACAGGTTAATACAAATTACAGCCTGGAAATATTTCAATACTCTATCTCCCCATAACACTCTTTTCCCAACTGTGCTGGCGGCTTCAGATCACTTTATATGGCGTCTTGGTTTTTCTACACCTTTGTAGGTCCCGTACTCGCTCTTAGAAGCCATTCCCCTCGTAATAAAGCACTCGAGGCCACATCGCGATTACTTACAGCGTAATGTATGTGCCTCCCCTTTGAAGGGTTTTATTTCGCCGACAATCGAGGATTGTGGCCGGATTTCAAGATTTTGCTTTATCGACTCTATACGATTTATTAGCGCTATCACCTTGAAAAAAACATAATCACTCACCCTACATCAATCCGTTGTGGTGTAATGGTTAGCATCAGTCGCTCTCATGAAAATGATCCGACTAGATCGGGGTTCAATTCCCCGCAACGGAAGATGTCTTCTCTTTTGCCCCGGTAGGGGTTGATTATTCTTCAAGTAGTGCATGTGGGCGTTTTTGGCGGACCAATGATCATAGGGCGCGGAAACACTAGCGCTAGCGTTAGCTTAGCGGTTTTATTAGTGGAGAAAAACTTTTTCAGGCGAAGTTTTGGAGACCCTACCAGAGGCAAGCGGATGTCATTTGTGTGTGTGCCTCAGCTTTGGGGACAGTTTCACTATTCGAAAATTACCTTCTCGTGAAGTTTTTGTATTTGCCCGAGGAGTCGCGGTCAATCTAATAGCAGCATAAAGCATACCAACGATCCTAAAGTTTCCGTCACATAGACCTAGGTCTTATCATACCACCCCGAGGTCTACCAGAGCAGGGGCCTTGTGCACTGTGCAGCAGCTCAGCGGAAGTATGTTGTGTGTTCTATCTTTCGACTCTCATCCGTAGACAAAACGACCGCCAAGCCACATCAATCGAGTGAGAATACATGATTAGCATGGCCTGAGAACGGACTATTCACAAAACAATGTTTCAAAATCATGATATCCAGTGTCATATATGCTCTTGATCTTGAAGCGCTCCTAAATCAGGAAATAAATGTCGAGAGATCGGTTTTGAACAACCTCTTTCGCAGTGTTGGTTACTAGAGATTGGTTGGAACCTGAGGGTGCTGTAGAGTAGACAATCCTGGTCACGGGTCATTCTCTTCGCACCTATGGCTCGATTTTCGATGGTGGGTGGGTGTGTCAACTTGAGTGGCGAAAAAGGTGATTGGACTCGCTTCAGGGTCAGGGTCCATGGGTAGTGAAGTTAGCAAGTGGCGATGGCTAGTATGAGGAAGAAATACCTTCAGTTCACGACAAGTTCTCCAAGTCTAGCAAGTGCGATGATAGAAAATCTTTTGTCCTCATCCCATGGTAATGCGAGTGGTTGTTCAAAACCAGTTGTTATCAGTTCTCGTACCCTCAAGCCAATGACTAGGCAGGGAATTTGGAGGCGGAAGAAGCTAGCTTTGCAAAAGGAACTTTCTCTTTCTTCCGGATCGCAGGATGCCGAGAACGTTGAGGTTGCATGAACAGTCTTAGGTGAAATCAATTCCAATGGAAAGCCAGTAGCGGGTGCGTCAAGGAATTGTAATCCATGGATTCGCGACGCAGTTGAAAATTGGCCGTTAGCTGCAGGACTTCAAACAAATATTAACTTGCGAATGACAATTCTCGATACTGGTTAGTAGTTGAACCGCTTTTTTCTGTCCGTTGATGTACTCACTTTAAATTCAGCGATAGAAAATATGAAGCAGCTTTTTAGTAGCAAAAGCCGATGCTGTAACGGGGACTGTGGGCGTAGGAACTATGAAGCCAAGGAATACAACCGAGGTGAAGACGTAGACGTAGGAGGTTCGTGGACTATGGACTATGGGCTGAAGGGTACACCTAAGGCAAGAACGGGGACTGTGGACTATGGACTATAGATGGTTGTACCTGGTCTAGTATACCGGGTAAACCCTATGACGTAGCGCGAACCAAATAGTATTCGTAACTGTAAAGTACAGAGGTTGCGTAAAGAGAAAAGGAAAAGAAAGAGAAACAAGAAATCACGAGACAACGCCCCCTTATATATCCATACCCTATCCCAATGCTGACTCATACCCTCGCATAACAGAAACAGAAAGAACATAATAGAAACCCGCTTCACTAAACCCAACCACACTGCATAATCCTTCTCCCTTATACCCAGACAACTCACATAACCAAACCACATGGCTACCGTTACAGATGCCCAACTGGACAGGACTATACACGCCACCGGCAGGTTTATCAATTTATGAATCTTCAGCAGAAAAAGCCAATGATAAAAGGTTCAGGGAATACCCGAGAGCTAGTTGCACTTCAGGTAGCAAATTGCTATGGCAAAGGGAGGAAGTTGGGTAGTGCAATTCAGGAAAGGGAGAGGAGCTGGATCCAGAATCGTTCAATTCCCAACGGATGTCAGGGCCGGTTCAGTAAGATACAGAGTATGTTGGAGGATGAAGGAACATTACTTGCATGCAGAGAATATATTTCGGAGGCAGGACAGAAAATTACAGCGCAAGGTTTGGCTAATGCAGTCGTATATTATTGGAATTCTATGCCGGATATGGTATATTCAGCAGCCGCTATTGAAGTTGTCAGAAATACGATTCTCGCATTACCCGAGCTAGATACAGATGAAACGAAACGCTCACTATCCCACTCTACAGC